AAAGTGGCCTGCTTTGTCAAACTTGGGTATGAAAACCTTTCTTATATTTCATTTCCCTTCTCCAGAAACCTTATGAATTTCATCGCGTCATCAAAAAAGAACACACAAAAATTTACTTTTAAACGCATTATGAAATCCAAAGAGAGACCAAACCATGCGAAACTGTCTGAAAGTGTGCAAGAAACTCGAAGATGAATGCCTTCGTTTTTGAAACAGCTCAGCAACATCGTGGTCCTATTGGCAGTCTTTGTTTGGTTCTGTAGGAAACTTGCAATCTCGCTATCCCTACAAAAAAATATATGAGTCAAGAATGCCTCTTCTGTAGCTCCCAAATGTGCGAACAGATCACTAAGAGATAAAGAACCCAGTAACACTATGGTGAACTGTAATCATAGCATAAGCCGACCTTTTTTTCAGGTTATTCTTCAATCTTCACATTTGATTTCATTCTACTTGTTTTTGAAAGATGAAATTCATTTTGAATTTTTCTTTTGCGCATGAAAAAGCTTAGAGATGTTTCTAGCATATACAGGAAGGAATAACTGACAATTTGGGATGGTCTTTTGAAACCAGTTTGAATTTTCGCGACCTCTTTCGAAGAAAAATTAAGTCACATGGACAAAGATCGTAACTAAAATTATCTTTCGGATATTTGTCTCAAACTATGATGGCCAGTCTCAAGACAAACTGAAATTTTATAAACCCTTCTTAAGTAACTGGTTTTATTTCTGTTCGCAGGAAATTCGAAGATGCGGCAGAAACGGCTTTTTCTCAGAAAAGCGAGGAGGGTCTGGATCTAGTTCTTGGAAAATGCCCATCATCAAATCGAACGCTAGCCAATCGTATTCAGGAAATGAAGGCTCATTTACGCCAGAGGCGATAACTTTTTATAGAGCGCAAGAAAGTGACCGAATATTTAATTTTAGAAAGTTTTCAATAAAATGAAGCGAAAAAATTAAAAATATTTGGGAAAATTAGATGTAAGACACAAAGGGCCGGTTATTTCCACGAGATCTGTTCGAAACCGCGGTTTTACGCAATCAGTGGGCCTTACAAGGTCTACATAAGAGGGTTGTTTTCATCAAGTAATTGTGCTTTCACTGCTAGCTTTCAGCCCCATGGACTCTGTTAACAAAAATTTAATGTTCAGATGAAAGATTAAGCTAAATTCAAGATAGTTTAGTGCGTGGTTTTGTTAAACGACCTCGGACTAAACTTTGTTTAAATAACCGGCCCAAAGTGATAGCAAGGTGAAGTCGCGTCACTCAGTCAGATTGACTTGCGCTTTCTGATTGGTCGACGGTCAACTCATATCTTAATTATCACATGCGAGATGCATTTAATACTGAAAACTGCATTTTTTTCCAAATTACCGCCGTGGTATTTTTGTCTCTGTTTCTAGAGTAGTTGGTTTGATAATCACTTGAGAAACTAGAGAAAAACAACTGTGAGATTTAGTGAAACTGTATCATTAAACATTACCTAGCAAAACTTGAAACTTGCGTGAAATTGGCCTTTTGTAACTAGTGGTAATCAGAGAAAGCGAATTGCGCTCGACTCTTGTTTGTTTGGTAGTGTGTTTTTTTTGTTGTTTTTTTTTTGTCGCTGTTGTTGTTTTTGTTTGTTTGTGTGTTTGTTTGTTTGTTTTCGTTCAGAGATTTAAAGATGATTGTTCTTTTCGAGGCTGAGAACCTCTGGTATAATTTTTAGGGAATTAACCAGAAAGGACCACGACGCTTTCGTCCTATTTTGAACATTTTTAGACTTTATTTATTGAGGATAGCACGTGATAGTGCACAAACACTAATAAACTTGTGGTCCTCCTAATTACAATAAATATATAAATACAATAGAATCATTAATAGAATGAAATATAAATAGAAAATTAGCTAAAACAAGTAAGAATATATAAAACTACTATCAATAAAATTTACGGATTAAAATGAGCTAAGCATGATTGGTCCTTATAGTAATATTTAAATACGTTGTCTTTAAAGGCCTTAAGTGTATTAGACTTTTTTAATTCAGGCTTTAACTGATTCCATAATTTTATGGCAGAAACTAGAAAAGTTTTCCCTCCTTCTCTAGCCCTTTTAAACTTAGGTAATAAAAAGTTGTATTTACAAAATCTAGTGTTGCGTGAATGTACTGAACTTAATAATCTTAAGCTATCATTAAGATAATTAGGTACACAATAATTAATCCTTTTAAATAGTATTGAACATTTAGCCATCTTAGTAGAGTCATAAAATGGTATCCACTTTAAACGATTGAATAGCATAACTGATGAACTACGTGGTTCAGCATCTAATAAAACCCTAGCAGCTCTCTTTTGTAGCCTAAGTATTCTTAAAAGAGATTCATTAGAGCAAAGTGACTGCCATGCAACATTGGCATAATCAAATAATGGCTTAATTAAACTATTATAAAATAAAAGTCTTTGGTTAAATGGTAAACAAAGTTTGATCTTATTCAAAATTCCAATTCTTTGTGAAATTTTTTTACACAGTCTGTCAACATAAGTGTTCATTGATAAATCGTGGTCAATGTCTATACCAAGAAGTTTAGCTGAGGGTACTTGTTCCAATGATACACCATTCATAGTTTTAAGAGATAAATTATAACCATCTGGTAGTTTCTTCCCAAGGCGTTTGCCTGTGACCAGTAGTGTTTTAGTCTTTTTTTCATTGAGAGGAAGTTTATTGGTGTGCGTCCAGCATTCAATTTCCTTCAAAGAAGCAGCTAGTGAATCTTGTAGAGAATCAACCGCTGAGATATCTGCCGATAATGTCAGTGTGGTGTCATCAGCATAGAGATCCAGGTCAGCACCATTAACATGTAGAGGCAAATCATTGATATAAATGACAAAAAGTAAAGGGCCAAGGATACTACCCTGTGGAACACCATGCCTCACAAGAGTAGAGTCAGATGTCACATTATCAATAGCAATAAATTGATGTCTATCAGTCAAGTATGAACTAAACCATTTACTTGCAACTGGAGTTAAACCATAGGCATTCAGCTTTTGCAAAAGAATTTCACGGTCAACCATATCAAAAGCTTTCCTGTAATCAACTAAAAGAAGACCGCTGACTTGATCATTGTCTAGATTAAATAACAAATTGTCTATGACTCGTATAAGAGCAGTGTCTGTTCCATGGTGTTTCCGAAAACCTGACTGTAAAGGGTACAATAGATTGTTTTCACATAAGTAATTATAGAGATGATCGTGTATATGACGTTCCAGAATCTTTGACAAAACAGGTAATATCGAAATGGGTCGATAATTGTCAGGATCCTCACGGTCCCCAGATTTAAACAACGGAATGACTTTCGCTATCTTCCAACAATCAGGGAATACACCAGAATTAATTGAAATATTCAAGATTTGAGTAATTGAATAAGCAATAGCTGGTCCTGCTATTTTCAGATATCTTGCACTTATCTTGTCAATACCCATAGCTTTGTTTGTTTTAAGTCCTAACAGAGCACCCAGCACAAAATCTTTGGTAACAGGAGGAATATTGAAAAGAACATCCGGATCTTTTCTTGAACAAACAAAGTTTTCAACCTTTGAATTGCAATAAGGTACATTAGGTAGTAGATTCCTCAGTGAATCAGCAATTGAAGTGAAGTGATCATTAAGCTTTTCGGCCAAAACAACATTTGGCGTCTCAACTGATTTTGATACATCGCCCATTAGTGATTTTATGGTTTTCCACATCTTTTTAGAGTTTCCCTTGTTGTTGTTGAAACAGGTATTATAGTATTTATATTTCGCACTGCGAATCATGTTTACAACTTTATTCCTCGCGATTTTGAAGCAGTTCCAATCCGTGACACAACGACTTTGCCTTGCTTTACGTAGTAAAGAATCCCTTCTGCGAAGCGCTTGTAAAATATTCACAGTCATCCATGGAGCTTGATTTTGTTTGGCTACTTTCTTTACTCGCCACGGACAGTGGGCATCCAAGATGTTAATGAAGAGACCCATCCATGCATTTAAGATATCAGTTAAATCGTCAAAGACAAATGCAGTATTCCAAGGAACTTCTTTGAGGTCGGAAACGAAGGCGGATTTGTCAAAATGCTTCGTATTACGATATTTAATCGTTAAAGATTTATTTTGACGCTTGGCGTTATCCTCATATAAACTGTTGTAAAATATTCCTATTTTTTTTTTAATAGTTCCAATATTAAACTATTGCGTCCGGTGTTACTTGCCTCTCCTTCTTATTCATCGTCCCGGGAAGAAAGAAGGAAATCCAACATGGTGAAAAATAGAGAAAATTATCGATCTCACTTTGCCATTGAAACCTGAAAACGGGTACGGTCTCGTAGCTTCTCGACTTAAAAGCAAGTGTTTCGCTTTGGTTATATTTGCATGGAAAAAGAATGGTTGCGCGGATGCACCACGCGTACACTTTTCGCAAAAAACTGAAGAACTACAACCTTGCCAAACAAGTACTTTGAATTTGATGTAAGGATAGGCTGTTCTATAGCTTTTATAGCCACACCTCCTCGTGCCCCGAGTATGTTTCGTACTGCACAACTGCAATGAGAGTTAGTTCAACAGCAACAAGTGACCCGAAATATATATCCGCGAAAGGCGACTCGCCCTGTGATCAGTTTAAACATGGTTGTTCTTAGCTCGCCAACAGATTAACAGAACAAACTAACGTATCAGCCACGCGTTGTTATCTTACTTTAGTACCAAATTCCTCTACCTAGTTTACAAGACGAAGTGTACCAACCGGAAGGGAGAATCAGGAATAGATCTTTGCGGTTAAGAGTTGTACTCTCTTTAACTGTAGAACGTACGTTGGTGCTTAACTGCGCGCGATTCTCCCAGCGTAGCCTTGTTGGTGCGTTACGGACTAAATCGCCTATGATTTTATGGCAGGTTCCTTCCTCATCATATCGGGAAGATCATGGGAACGAGTTTGATTACATCTCCCACAACCCTTTTCGAACGTAGATGAATTCAGCCATATTGCACATGTGGATAAAATGAGAGTACTCTATGCTGGACTAAAAGTTTGGTTATTTGATTATTCGAGTTTATTTAGCGTTTTATTTGTTTGTAACTTGGCAGAGGTAGCCCCTTCATCATGTATGCTTATGGGGCGTTGGCTGAAGTGCTTTGCTTGACTGCAAGCTGCCAGGCTGGGACAATCTGCAGTGTACAGAACATTGAACTAACAATTGAATGAAGGTAAATTTATCATTTTACGTGTAATTTTTGCATTTATTTCGATGTTGTGATGGTAAAACTTAGAGTAGCCGGAAATACCATGCTCTTCCAAGACCTATCCATTTGTTCCATGTATCTGTGCTCTGAAAAGCGATATAATCTAATTATATCAACAATCACAACTTTTATTAAAATGACATTCAAATTAACTTGTGGCTGGGTAATCTACAGGGTAGTAAGAGTAGATTTTTCACATGATAAAACTAGATTTTTGATCATAGAGATATTTCATATCTCCACTCAATAAAAATTTAATTAGTAGCTCCAAGGTGATTTTTATGTCCCTGAGACCCTCAATGACTAGTAAATGCATGTGAAATATGAGGTCTTAAGGTGGAATATGAGGCAAACTTTATGTTTTCAGACTGCTTTTATTTTCTGGTGATTGCATGGTTACCCAACAACAAAGTTCTGTGCTAAATTTGAGGTTATGGGAACAATGCATTTATAAGATATAGGGGAAGGAAGTTTTGTTTCTAAGGGCTAGCTACATTTTTTTATAGCTACAGCCGTGCACCACTTTGCTTCAGGTATATTCTGCACCAAATACAAATTTACACAAACAAAGTGCAGAACATCAAAAAGACTATTAATAATGGTAGAGTCCAATTCGGTTTGCAATCATATGAGTAAGTTAACAAAATCAGATGACCGAGAAGAGGGAGTCTGATTTGATTATCACTTGTATGACTGCTGACAAAATTGGATGACACAAAGTCCTGTTACCAATTGACTAAAACTAGTCTTTGATGATGCATTTTTATGAAAAAAAAACAACAGATAACTCAGTAAAATCTGCAACAGCAGGGTGTGCGCATAACACGTACTGTCCACATACAAAGGTATGACATGTCAAGTGTCCTATTACACTTTCCAGTTACAAGCATGACACACATACTGCCCTATTGGCACTCAAATCGGGCTGGTAACCAATCATGTTTTAGAAATTTGTTATAGTTTTGATTAAAGCCATGATAAAAATATTCTCCAAAGTGAATCCATTTTGTACAGTGTGTAGGCTCAGTATCAATTTCTTCTTATTTTCTGAAGGTCAAATGTCTGATGGGTGAATAAGTGGGCCAACTAAAAGATTCAAGCAGATCAATCCTGATGATGTTTGCTTTCCTCTGTGATCAAGCTGTTTTATGAACCAGGTAAACAAATACTTTTTTTATGCCAAGTTCTGTTCTGATACAATGTAGCAATTGCTTGATGCTGCCAACTTAGTGCACATCAGTGTCAGTGTGTGTAGAACATAAACTTGAAATTTACAGTAGACTTGCAGTGTATTATAACATACAATGAAATAAGGTCCATTTCTTTGTCATTTTCATGGTGTTTTGTAACAGTTGACTGTCTGATTTGTGGGTCCAATAACTTTACAAGATATATGTATCTGAAAGCATAAAGCTGTATTAGAGAGTAATTTAAATCTTAAAAATAGTAAATTCTAGCATGGGGAATTAAGGCCAAAACTAAAACACATTAAAAAGGACAGGGCTAATTAGGGCTTCTCATAAATTTTTTGGGGACTGACAAAACAATTGACTTCCTTAATGACATCAAGAGATTGACAAGCTACCTGCCTGTATGGCTGACTGAATGGCTGACAGACGGTCTGAGTATCTGTGACTGACTGAGTGGTTGGCTGTCTGATGTATGGCCAGTTACCTAAATTCAGGGCTTGAAATTAAAAAAATTCCAAGTTGCCTTTTGGCGACTATCAAAGACAAAATGGTCACCAAATGCAAAAATGCAGTCACCAGATAGTACAAGAACAGAACCTCAGATTAGAGCCTCATTTAATTGGCATTGTTGTTCAACTTCTGGTAGATTGTGGCTGTGGTTGTGGGACAGACCAAAATATTCGATCTTGAATGACTTAAAACATGAAAACATGAAAGAAAAAACTCCAGAAGACTTCTGCATGACAATCCTACCTTAAGCAGTAAGCAAACAAAGTAATAAGAACATTTCAGGGTTACTTTAGCCAGGAACAACTGCATCTGTCACATCGCATGCAAGAAATCATACAATACAAACATTTTTGAAAGGCCTTGAAACACTTCTTGTTTGCATACTAACAACAATCATGCTTCCTAGTAATTTCTAGACTGCAGCAAATTATGAAATTCACATTATTACAGTTGATCTATTTAGGTTATTGTTTGCATGTTAATTGTTTGAGTCATTAATAAGAATTTTGTTTGTTAATGACACTACATAGGGTATTAATTTTCTAAAATTTAATAGATTATTAAATAAATAGGTAGCGAAAAGAAACAAATCAAAATACAAAAGTTGAGAAGAAAAAGGACACAATACAATTTTATAAAGACTGAAAAAATTTCCATTTGTTCCTGAATCCCTTCTCCTTATTATGAGTGACTGCAATATATTTTTCTAGATTAATTTTTTCATGCACAAGTGAGACAAAATCATCAAATTGGTACGTTATGGTATTTAAAGCGTTAACATATAAGAAATATTTATCCAAAATAATGAGATGGTTGAGGGCCAAATCATAGGTGTGACAGCGAATAATTCAGTAATTCAGCAGCAGTTTCATATTACTAGAGATTGAGTACCACTCCTGGAATCTATTCCAAAAAGATCTTGTGTGCATGTAGTTTATAAACAAATGTCACAGGGCCTGACAGTCAGAAGGACAAAGGGACAGGAGGGCGAGGCAACTTTTTTCAAAGTAACAAGCTATTTTTTAGTAAAATTCGGTGAATGATTTTGTATTGGAACATTATCAATTTAATTTCTCTCACAGCTTTGAATGGTAGGAGGTAAATTTTAGTCAATTTTAGTGTATTCTTCTCTTGTGATAAATAATTCATGACTTTTGGTGTAGACTCGTCTCACTTTGTGAAAGCCGGTTCCTTGCGACAGAATCTGCGACAGATCGCTTTTAAATTCAGCTGCCTTTCAACAAAATGTTGTGCCTGCGATCACCATGTAGAAGCCACTGTAATGTTGTCTTGGAAGTTGTAATTTGAAAGCGATTTTAAGTTTTAACTTAAAGGTAAACAAACTTAATTTGCATTTCCTTTTGCAGAAAAGCAGAAACAAGACTTAGGAAATTGTTTCTCACCTTTAATCTTTTATTTATCAGAGGAACATAGTTGCCAAAGTGGCAACTAAACTCGAATTTTTAGTCGTCAAGGTAGAAGTTTTAGTTGCATTGGTAACTGTTTCAGTCGCAATTTCAAGCCCTGTACATGTAGTTGAGAGACTAACTGACTTAGTGTCTATCTGGCTGACTGTTAAGCTGACAGATTGGTGAGCTGACTTACTGATTGAATGACCATATGATGGACTCACCGACTGGCTGACCAACTTTCTGATGAACAGCTGTTTACGTGTAGTTCAGAGACTGACTACCAATTCGGTAGGCCTGTGCACTGACTTACCAACTGACTGACTGACTAACCAACTGACTGACCTAATGACTGACCAACTGACTTACCAACTGACTGACCAACTGACTGGCTGGTTGATTCTTAATTACTAAATCTCTGATATCTGTACTGACTAAGTGTCTGATTGACTGATAAATTGAATGAACAATTGTGAAACATCATTTCTTACTGACTAGCTGAATGACTGACAACTGACCAACTGAATCTTTTACTGGCTGACTGACTGACTGACTGACAACTGATCAACTAAATCCTTTACTGGTTGGCTGACTGACAGACTGGTAGGCAGAATTACTGACTGGCTAGCTGTCACACAACAGAGTGACTTAAACTTACAGACTCTCTGACTGACTTACTGACCTGTGGACGTTATCAAGGCTAGCAGTGTAGTATTGTTTGTCAAAATCACCCACCAAACAGTCAATGGCTTCCCTGATTGTGAAAATGTAAAATAAGAACAGACAATGAAAATTGTTGTTGTTATTATCGTTAATCCTGTGGAGCCATGCAAATTGGGTATGGATGGAACAGTATCAAACTGAAAGTTCACTTTGATTAAAGGTGCTAATCTATAAGTCAATTAATCAAAAGCTAAAGTAGAGTAGGAAAATTGAAGTACGCCTCCCCGTAATACATTGAGTGGAAAACTTATTTAAAGTTTGATATGTCTCCAGCCTGGACTGAAAATAAAAAAACCGAAGCCTTAACTTGTGGTGCCCAATTTTCAGCTTATCGCCATTGAAAGCAAGGATAGATGCTGAGTCCACCAGCCTGGCCTTACTCTATCACACAAACTTCATCATGGAGCACAAGTCACTATATGAGGTCATCGATAAGGATGCCGATTACAGAAGCCCTCTCCAATTTGGAAACAAGTAAGTCCAATTTTTAGTGCCAAGAAAATTTTGGGAAAGGTCTTAATTTGGAAAACTCGGCTTGCTTTGTTTTTTAGACCATCTCAAATCATAAGATGCGAATTGTACTCTTTAAAATTTGGACACATGCAAGAGCGTCTTTATTCGGTGCGGAATGTAGTCTCCTTAGCATCTGTTATTTGGTCTCGTCACGCAACGCGCTCTCTTTCCCCGAGAAGAGACTGAAAAACGGCTGCGACCTTCTGAGATTTTCTCTCTAAAAAACAAGAGGAGTATTCATCGGCTTAAAAATATTTATAGAGAATTACGTGTAAGCTTGTAGAAACCCTATTTATGCAACAATCATATTTAAATTTTTCATGTTCTCAGAGGAATTTTTGGCACAAAAGACAATAGTTTGTGGTGGCGTAGTAATAACCCGTCAGCTTAAGATTGAATAGTTCAGTTCTCGAACACCAAAACCAGGAAAGGTTAAATTTAACTTAAGTTCATTTCGACAACAACTTTTTTTTTCATATTTTTCCGCAGTCTTCTTGAATTTTCCTTAATCCGTGTTTCTTTCTCCTCGTAATCTGTAGTCGTCTAACAAGTTTAGCGTTCGCTAATGATCTGTTTTATTTTTATTTTCTTGCAGACTGATAACATCTCTGATGCTCCAAGCGCAAATGAAACAAGGACGTCTCTGATCCCAGTAGAAGACAGGATTTTTTTCGAAAGTTTCAACCAGATTTAGCACATTTCTTTCAAGCATCTGGCGAGACAGGCCAGGAAGAATTTGTCAAACGTAAGCAAAAGCAAACGTTATTTCGTAATTTTATGTAGAGCTGTTTTGAAATTTCCCCCCCGAAAAAATACGGTTGCTTAAACACGCATGCGCTAGTTATTTTGATGATTGCATCTCTATAACATCTGTTTGAAAATAGTTAAATTTTCCCGCCAAAAGACTTAGAAAAAATACAGGCGCCTAAAATACGCATGCGCCGGTTTTTATTTTTTTAAATATATATATATTTTACTAATAAAAAGTACTTCTTTGCTTGTGAAGTGTCTTGAGTATTTGTTTTTATAATAAAGACTCGTTGATGAACAGTTTTCTTTGTAATCTTTATTGTCTCACAAAGTAAGTCAAATAGCGATTGTTTCCTTTAATAAGTTTTTATTCAACTAATAATATCTTAATTAGTTAATTGAATCTCCATTCAATTGATTAAAAAGATGTCATAAAAATTTTTTCGTATATATACTAAGACTTTTGGCGGGAAATTCTGGACCAATTTGCACAGAGTTTCCCCTAACAACTTTCTTGGCATAAAATTAAATAGGTTTCGTTTCTCAAATTTCCCGCCAAATATATCTGAACATTACCTCGTGCAAAAAAAATTCAAGACGAAGTACTAATTTTCCTTTTTGCGAAAATTAAATGGAACAAAAATCTTAGAAATGTTAGAAAGAAACAAAAATAACATTTTCTGCTGTCAGCTTTCGTTTGTAACACAGGACAACTGAAACTTAAGCGCGCCACAAAGCTTTTTAAATAACTTTGATTTATCTTCGTGGCAAATTATTTTACTAAATCTTCACCTAGTAAACGTAAATAATCCTCTTCACTTCAAAACAGTTTCTTGTTATTTGCAATTTTCTGTGCAATTTGTCATTGAATTGATCATCAGTCGTAGACACGAGGAAGTGTTACTGTTCTTTTCAAAGAAAGGCTTATAATTTGACAGCCTCGCTTGATATCTGCTAAACCGTCTAGGGAGGAGCAAATTTTGCTTTTTTCTTGTAATTCGTCTTCAACCCGTTCCACTCATTCTGTTCAGTTTTTAGTCTAGTCGAAGAGTGTTTTTCTTTGCAAGACATTTACAATCAATCTCTTGGCTCGATGTTCGTTAAAGAAAATTTTTGAACGAGAAATGTTTGCGTTTTACGAGCAGTTCGTCTATGAATTGATTCTTTTATTCCGTTCTGTTGAATTGCTATACTCTTTTCTGTCTAGAAGTTTTGGGAGGATAAAAAATTTGGTGTTAAATTTGCTGTTTAGCTGTGCAATCAAAAAGCTTTGTTTGTATTCAACAATCTTTAATGTGTCCTGGTGTCCCGTATTACAGGAAAGACAGGCGCAAAATGTTATTTTTCTTCCTTTAGCTAATTACAAATTACAGTAAAACAGTGTCTGGTTTAAAAAAGAAAAGGATTTGAATTTTACTCCCTTCTTGAAAAACGAAAGTTAAGCTTTTATATTTGAGACAGACTTCAAAATACGAAATGTTTATAACGAGTGTTTGGTCACCCTCCAATTACGGTCAGGAACTTGGATGTTACAAAGATGATTAATTGTAAATACTCGGGCATTAAAGTCTAAATTTTTCCTCTCTTTCAATCGTTGAACTGAAAGATTTTTCTCAGACATTCCTCGACTGTTAGTTCGTTTTCTTGTAGTTCATTAATCACAACTTACATGCATAAACTGCGGCAGTTCATCAAGACCGTTACATTTCAATTTTTTTTCCAAACCAGACACTGTGGTTTATAATTAACTATAACCGACAAGAGAACTTTAATAGAAAATGAATATTGCTTGTTGCTTTTCATTCACGTTTCGAAAACCTGAGGGAACTCATTGAATTTATTCGTCAATTGAAATTCACGTTCAGTTGAACGAAACATTATACGATCTTGTTTAAAGGTATGATTAGTCAGTGATCGATCGATCGATCGATCAATCGATTTTGAGTCGGTAGTCGTGTGGACCGTACTGCCTTCAGATTTTCGATGTTATGTCGTGAATAGGTCGTTTGTAAAGCATAAGTGTAGATATCAGTGTCCTGTAATGACATTTGTCCACAGCTGCTTCAATGAAGGTTGTCGGAAAAAAGCGTAGAAGTGCACAATAACTCCGAAAGGTATTGTGGGTTCAGGTCACGGCTACTTCAGGGAAATCTGAGAAAACTTCACTGTATGGACAAGGCATAGCGGGTTTAAAGATTTGATTTTGTTCCCAAGTCTGATTTATAATTATAAACTTGGTGAAAAAAAGAACGAACTACGATGTAAACTCGACGTTGGCGAATTCGAAGTGACGCAAAAAAAAATGTCTGTTAGCCACTCTTTGAAACTTGTTAGTGCTTCTGAAAAACTGAGCAGAGTTCTAGTAAACAATGTGGTTGGTAAGTCAATAGTGCACAGAAATACAATAGCTGATATTACAATGTCTGTTCCCCGTTCATGTTTAGTCAGTCTATAACAGTGACGAATGTCATAACAAAGTTATTGCTTTGGTAAACGTTGTAAAAATGTAGAGTTCACGGCATAGCCTTGCATGTGTCCAGAATGATAGATATCGTCCCGATGTAGAAATCAGTGTTCAGTGTGTGGTAAAATTTCCGCAAAGCTCCATACTACACTATGCGTTCAGTTCTCGGTCAGAGAAAACAATGACAAAAGCAATACATTGCCATTGGGAAAACAGATTTGTTTTTCAATAGTATGGGGCTGTGCGGAAATTTTACCTAGTTTGGTTCAGTGGTCTCGGTAGTTCAATGAGTAGTTCCTTCGCGTAATACTGTTAGCAAATCAAGTTTTGTGCAGCTATTCTTTAAAAAAAGCCAAATGAAAACAAAAAAAAACCATTGTTCTCTTGCCGATTATAATTTATCACATTAAAAGCCAGAGCAAACCTATGTAATTAAGGTGGCACTGTCGACTGTACGACATAACAGCTGATGTAAAAAATCAGTCCTAATTACCGAATGATTTCACTTTGAATTAAATGAACGAAAACGGAGAAACATTTCTTTCGTCATCTACTTTCCTAAATGACACGATGAATATAATTGTGGCAAATTGACTGATTAGTAAGAAAAAATTTTAGTCGAAATTTTATGTGGTAACCACTTGATGCTTTTCTCTTCAAGAAAAATTCACTTCGTAAAATGTGAACATTTTTTAGTTTACTTGCAGTGCCACCTTAAGTACACTCTTGTTGCTGTGACATGTTAGAACTAGGCAACGTAGATAACATGGTGACTTTGAGGTACCGAGTGCTTTGCATTCATGAAAGTTAGACCGAAAAAACTTCAACCAAATATTAAATCGGCAAACTCGTTGATTTTGGGTCAAAAAATGAACAACCAGGTCTTATCACAACTGAATCAATTTATGTGCTTTGCATTTTGGAAATGGAAACTAAGCGACTGAGGACATCGATTCAAATCGTAAACCTGTGTTTTCTTTTGTTTCAGGAACTACCAAATTATCACAGCTGAAATTTTTTTGACCATCGCCGAGATTGTATGTTGGTCTGTAAAACATCAGGCACCTCACTTAACTTCTTCAGTCACCATTTTACTACAAATAGAAAATAGTTCAAAGTTCTTATCTTTGTCGAATCTTCTCGTCATTCCAGTGGTTCCACTTGTCCTTTGATAAGATTTTCCTCATCCTTTTTTCCTCTTCACCGAGATAGTTTCCTGAAACAAATGCAAAGCATTCTGCTGATAAGCAACGAGACAAATTTGGTTTACTGAGAAGTAATCTACGTAGTTCTCTAACTGGAAGTATATTAATGGAACGCAACCTGAACAAGTGTGCAAAGTTATTTTACCAAATTTTGCCACGATACGTAACTCTACAAGTAAAAGTGGAAGAAATTTCTGAAACACACCAGCAGATTCTACCACGACGACAATCTTTCAAGACATGAGAATAGATTAACTGTGCGCACGTGGCCAGGTCGAAGACTTGAAATACGTTCTAGGTTTTCAGGTTAAGACGCTACAATTGCCTTATAAATTCTAAATTTTCAGTACATTTAGTCTAAGTTATCGCTAAAATGTTCTGGCCTCAGTGCAGAAATGAACTCTCTCTCCATCTTGCTCTCGAATTCGAGTTTAAGCGACTTGCGCCCAAAGCCAACTACTCGCACATGGTAACCGACCAAGATAACATTTTTACAGCTTAAGTCTACTATTTCCCAACGGGTGTACTGAATTTTACCTTTGCTGAAGAAGAGGACACATTTCTTTCTCGGTCGTGAAGCTTTCTTCAAGCGTCACCCAAATTCATTAATTTTGGTTCGTCTTCAGAACCTCGGCGTTCACGTCTTCACACTTCGATGACAAGCTTGGTTTGAGTTCTTCAAATTTGCATGAAAATGGATTGGAAATAAACGCCAATCACTGACTATTATTCTGACGATTGCATCACAGATGTTGACGTGAGCACGACTTGAAGCACATTCTTAGCGGCCACCGGGCCAATCGGAGAGAAAGCCGTAACAATTGCGAACTCTCTGGTTTGCATTTCTGCACATTACAGGCCTATTAAACCAAATCGTTTTTACTTCTTTTTTTTTTTTTTTTTTTTTTTTTAAGATCGAGGAGTAAATTTTGCAGAAAAATTTTGTGCACTTATCTTCTGTGAGAATAACAAGGCTTGAACGGCAGGTTGTTTTGTTAGTCCTTCTTAATGAGTTGGGAAAAAGCAAGGAGAGACGATTTAAACGAAATGTGGATTTGAAATGAAAAGTTTAATTATACCATAGAGACCAGGGCAAGTTTGGAAAAAAAAGAAGGAAAACAAGAAAAATTCAGAAAAAGAAAGTCACAGTATGACTTCTTACCGATCCTGTGATGACTCGATCTTAACACGATCGGTCAGCAAGCGGAGCACACAGCCACTACACAACATCACAGAATGATAACGATTGTTGCTTTTAAGTATGTTGTAGTGATGCAAAGAGACCACGAAACTATTGGACAACCAAAACTACAGTAGTTCGGATAAATTGATCATAATGAGATACAAATAAATGGCTAAAAACAATTGTTAAAAAAGAGCGAAAGAAAGAAAGGAAACAGGAAAAAAAACCAACAACAACAAAGAAGGCACGCGTCGTGGTTCTCCACGTACCCTGAGAAACCGCTTGGCCTCCTGACAAATACACGGTACAGGAACAGCCCTTAGTAACTATTAGCTCAAGGTGACGTCAGTTGCTTGAGTCCACTCAAACCAAACCAGAGAAATTCAGCTAACCAAATAATGTAACTCCTCGCTTAAGGAAAATGCGCCTTCCTTGAGTCCCACAATTCAGCACCCCTGTTCTAGTTCCGGAACATTTCGACATCGACGGCAAAAAGACAAAATATTAAATCAATATGTTTTTAAATTGCTGGTGTAGTTCGGTAACAAATCAGTAAAACCTCAAAGTAAAAAAAACTTAACTCATATCTTTCTCCACACCTTCCTCCCCTCTTGAGTGCAATCTGTCAACTCTTCTTAATAATGCATGGTCTGAGAACTGTATCCTCAAGAGAGGATTTTATTGTCGTGGATCACGGGTAGTTGTTACGGGCACAAAAAGCAATACTCAAATGAGTTTTTGGGGGACGTAAGAAACTTTCGAGTTCCAATTGAAGAGTGCTTTAAACTCCATACACAGCGAATTCTAAAATCAAACAGTCTAAAAATGTGTATTCAAACTCCAAATCTCCCTTCGGAGAACAGTGTCAGTGAGGTTCCTTCATAAGAAAAAAAAACAAAAAATGTCATTATCGTAGAGGAGAAAGTTTCTTGCCATTTTAATACCAGTGTTACCCTCATTGAGACGAAGGTGAGACGGCGTAGAACTAGGTATTTTTACGTTCTCAAAAATTACTAGCGACCACTTTTTCTCTACAAATAAACTCCCCTCAATATAATGGACACAAACAAGGATTGTCTCGTAAAGATGTAGACACAAAAAAATCAACAGAGCACAATTTTGCAGAGTGGAGTTACACGACCTCCTCCAATCTAGCTGGTCATTTTTATTTACACGTGATTCTCTACTGTACAATTGTAATCACTCATCTTTGCGAAAACTTTTACTGTTGATAGAATCTCCAAAAAGGAAATGAGCAAATCCATAGGATTCTCTCTCGCATCGTATACGAATAAGAATGAGAATTATTTTCTCGTTAACTCACAGATTCACTCAGCTTGCACGCAGCAAACAAACCTTTTCTTAATTCCCTTTATCCGATTCCCAGCTTAACGAAAATAAAAATTAGTTTCTTGTCAGCTACACCTTGGTTTTCGGGTAGAACAGGTTACGTGACGAGAAGATGCAAAATGGTTATTCATTCTCTAGCGTTTTATTTCTTTTATTATATAACATTCTATGCAATATACAAACAATTGGTCGTCACATATACAACTAACTAAACATGACGAAATTCAGCGAGAAATTTGGACTCTCTCCAATTCTAAAACATAAGCCGGGGTGGGTTGAGGGGACAGTTCGTCTACTTAATGTAATCATTTTTGTCACCGAAGAGTACAACTTTCAAAAAACGAAAATATCGCAGAACGACAGAAAAAAAACCTAATTTAACTGAACTCACACAGATATCATGTGATCTACTGTCTCTATTGTCGAAATAATTCTAAGTAAAAGTGAACTGCATCGGTGCCACGCTTACTGTTGTCTCCTTCGCATCCGTTGTTTGGACTCATCACACAACGCCCTTTATTTCTCGCTTGAGAGAGAGCGCGTTGCGTGACGAGACCAAAAAACGGTTGCGAAAGAGACTACTCTTATTGCTGCTCCTTCAACAGAGAGAAAATCAAAATTATTCGTCTACAGTTAGTTACCTCAAAAATATAATTCCGCGTGATTTTACTACGAAAAGCAAACTGAAACTCTGTTTTACCTCCAATAGAACCTAACCAAAGATATATTTAGCGATCAATGTATCTGTGAAGATACATTGACCAAGAGAAAAAGATAATAATTAAAAGAGGGCTCCTTGATTGGTTGTTGCTTATCTGGACTTTGCCCTCTGTGTGTGAAATACGTGATAAAATGCAGGTTGTTTTACAAGGAATTAACACGCAATTGGATCAGTCCAAGGTAGCTTAAAGCGACTTTCATTCGTAGAAAAAGTCAAACGCGGGAGAATGGCGTGGAAAACTCAATATCAGTTGCATTTAGTTTCAAGAGGATTTTTTTTCGGTGGGGTTGGACAATGCGGATAAATTAGTGATAAAATGCAGGCTGTTTACAAGAAAATAAAAAGTGATAGAGTGAAGTCCAATGTGGCAAAATGGAATTTGATTGGTTGAATACAATTCAAGCACGTGAAAAATTCCTAAATCTTCATGTAGTGCAATGATCGAGTATGTTATGGTTTGACTTAAGACGTTGTTTTCACGGTAGGTGATGGAATGTAAGTTGTTTGGCGTAAGCGTTGTGAATATGAGAGCGGAAAAGACACGTTTTAACTTAAAAATTTAAATGCCAACCTTTCATATCCCGATAAATCTTGACCTTAATCGACGAGGCTCTTACGAAGGCCACAAACCATTAGACTTAACAGATGAGCCCAAAGTTTCTGATTACGTCATTCTTTGTGCACAGCCCCCTCATCTATGATATCATTTGCAAGAAAACAATACCCAAACGCTGTGATTGGTGTAAGATATCCAAATGCGGCAATCCGATTGGTGCGAGATACATACCATAATGCGACAATCTGATCGGTGCGAGATACATACCCTACTGCGGCGACCTGATTAGTGAGATACATATCCTAATGCGGCGATCTGATTGGTGCGAGCAACATACCACTCTACACGCTAACATAGAGTTATTTTTTTTTTGTAAAAAAAAACTAAAAAATGCCAAACGATTATTTATACAATAAATAGATGAATAAATTCTTACGTATTTATGAAACGCTGCGCATTGAACATATGTCACGAACGATATAGGATATACAGTTTCTTCCCAAAGGAGAGTTGTCTTGTACGCCATTTCAGTTTAATTTTTAGCAAGAAAAGTGAAAATTGACGCCCGTTTAGAGCGGAATGAAGTCTTCCGTAGGAAAACAGCTTTAATGATCGCGCAACATCAAAATGTCATCAAACTAAATTGCTGATAAATGTTGATGAGTTTCGAAACGTATCATGCGCTCTAGCCAGTCTACAAATGAGAACGGACTCCTAAAGGTGTTAAAGAGAAAAATTGTTTACAACTGCAGGAGCCCATCACTTACACAAGTAATGGGCTCCTGACAACGGTCGACATAACATCTCCGTCTAATTCACTACGCTATTCACTTTCGCTAAGAGGAACACGCTCTTTTTTGAACTGATTGAACACTTTAAATGGTAAACGCGTTTTTCTAGAGTTTCTGCTCTTTTATTTACTTTGACTTTCTGAGGATGGATGACCTCCCGTGGATACACCTCTCTCTTTTACGACTTGCGCATATAGACAATCACTGTTTAGAGAACTACGTTAAGGAGTTTTTGGAACATCGTATGATGTCGGTTGTTCCTGCTGTTTTCGTTTGAGGTAACAATAACCCGGAACTACCAAGATGATCAGCACAACGCCGATGATCAGCACAACGCCAATTATCAGCCCGATGGCAACCGCTACCGTGTCAGTTCCGGAGACGGCTGCAATTCAAAAATGTATATAGATATATAGTTTAAATCTGTCTCACACTTGAAACGATTCGCATCAAAAATCACATTCAGATGTGCAAAACTACCACAACTATCTTTATTCAAGCTACCACCACAAATGCACGCCAACGGTTGGAAAATGATACACTGGCTGCTAACTCCACTGACTGTTAATTCTTCCCTCCAACTGCTACCAATTTCCTTGTAAATTAGTAACGAAAATTTGGTGTTATATCAAGATAGGAACTTCTACCTGATAAGTTTGGTATTCTCGTTACCTGTTTGCTGGATTATGTATTGGTATTATAGGGAGAAGTTATATTTTACTAAATACTGGGAGTTAAATGGTTAACAGTTCACTCTTCAGTAAGCGTGATCAACGCGTAAAACGACATTTCGTGATGGACTCACAATATTTACAGCATTTTTTGGTCAACCTGACCAAGGGTAAAAATCGACCAATCTGAACAAGGGTAAAAATCACCAGGCGTATTCTAAACGTTTTACTAGAATTCACGACTCTTTCTCTCTCATATGTAGTTAGTCATTTCTATTGTGACGTAAATGTAAGTTGGTGTAAATAACACAGTCACTAACAACTTGAGTCTGCCTCACAGCCATTTTTTGAGATGTCACACAACACTCGCCCCTAACCCTCCAGAAATGGCGTTGCGTGACATCTCAACTACTGTTGATCTCACTCACTCGCCAAGACGAAGACTCGAAAGGTGACGAAAATTTATTCAAATCGAGTTTGGCTAGAGCAAAAACCGTGACAAACAGCGACAAAATGACTGTCGGTAGATAGGTAAAATGTCTGGAACAAGCCGTGTGGCCTGCTTCAAAAAACTTTACTTAATAAAAATTCTCTGAAAAGTTTATTCCTTTTGTCTCACGCTTTTGATACAAACTTTGCGGAGACCATCTCAGATATTCAACTTACCAGTACTACAATTGCAAGTTCCATACTGGACGGTATTAGGACATTCCACTGAGTTGGGACAGTCCCTTCGGCACTTAAGTTGCCGAGACCTGACACCACTCCCGTCAGGCAGTTTTAGATCATGATTACACTCGCACACAGACCACACGTCCCAGCTATTAGTGTCGAGTTCACCTAACCGCGAAAAAACAAAGCCTTTTAAGGAACCATCTAACACCACTATCGTCCATTTAACATTGCGCGAAACATTCAATATGCGTTACGCAGGTAGGTAGATGCTCCAAAAGCCGCGCCTAATGAAAAAAAGATGCCTTTTGCGAGGTACCAAAGAACCATCATTTCAGTTATAGCGTTTTAAAAAACGCTGCTCCAGACCCCACACGCAGCAGCCTAATGCGAAGCGCACTGGATTCCGCTTCGAGAGGTCCAGGTTCGAGGCCTGGCCGATTCACTGTGTCAGGTTGTCGAGCAACACATTCAACACTCACAGTGCCTCTCTCTCCGCCCAAGAATACGACTGGGTGCAGGCGAATTGCCTGGGATGGGGAACAAGCATTCCATACAAGGAGTTCAACTCTCCTTGTCGCTTAATGCAGCGCATTGCGGGAGTAAGTCCAGCGGTTCAAGTCACGAGGCTATACTGCAGATCACACCGAGAATATAGTCTACGACAAAGTCAATCTTTACAGCTGACCTTTACAGTTGCTGTGTGAAGTTGGCTCACAGCTTCTTTCTTGTAACTTTTCTCCAACACAAGGCTCCACTTTACAGTCTCTTCTTCTTATTTGAAATCCTTCCCCAGAACACTGACCCCAATCGCGCCAAGCTTTCCATTCTCCCTCTAACACAGGAAAAATATCACAACTATCAAATATCAGCTGCACCATGTACATAGCTTGCGTTTAAACAGACATTAGCAGTTAACTTTACTCTTCGCATGCATTCCACAAAGGTTAATTACGTGCAAGAGTGTTTTTTCTTTACTCCAAGTAAACTACACCCGACCAGCCATCACACAGAAGAGGATCTCACAATTTTCCGCCTTCTATCTCGTGAAGATGTAATTTAAATTTTCATTTGTTACAACAGAACATTGCGTAAACTGAAAACGGAGCGATTTGCAACAAGAAGCGTGAACAATAAAGAGACACGCCCCAACACATTAGGCCAATGAGAGTTTGAAGCAATGCTTGACACGGAAGAGTGCAGGTGACAAACTCGTGAATGATTTTGAACTTGCATCTGATTGGTGGAGAAGATGAAGTGAAGACGTGATGAATAATATAATGTAATTTGTAGAAAAAAACACGTGCACAAAAAGGGGTTTCGGACGACTTTTTCTCAAATAAGCGTTTTACAGGAACAAAGCCTTCTTCTGTTGATGTTCTTTATTTTTTTTGTTGTTGTTGTTGTGGTTGTTTTGCTGTTTCTATTGATGCTTCCAAAAATCTTTCCCTCGAAGTTTACTAAAAAGTAGCAAGCTTAAGGTAAACATCAACTAATCTTTACGCCTGGGAAAGTAAACGATATAAAATTTCTTTGGACACAAAAGTTTCCTCTCACGCAAAGATTTTTATTTGAGTCATTACGAGAAACCGTGAGGACCAATGAAACTAGACATTACTTTTTAGGATAACCTTTTATTAACTCAACGACTCATATTTTTTTACCAGTAAGTGTAACTTTAACTGTAACTTTAAAGTAACAGAAGACCATTTACCAGTACTTCTTACCGTGTTTTCCCAAGTTACAGGACTCATATTGCACAGCCTCTCCTACACACGGTCTCCCTCCTCTCCTGGGGACCGGATTAGTACAGTTTCTTGTCCGCTTTCTTACCCCAACCCATGGCTTTGTTTCACAATCCGTCCAAGTATCCCATGCACCCCAGTTGCCGTGTTGCACACCAGACTTCTCCCATTCCTCTCTCCCTTCCCATCCGACATTTATGTCCACTGAAACAAAAACAAAAAATATAGAAACTAAAATTGGCGATGGGAAGTAAAAAGATAATCAATTTTACAGAAATTGCTAGAGAAATAGTTCCGGTTTCCGGGGAGAGTTCATCATGACTGTTGAATAGTTAGCCTCCATCGGAACTGAATGAATTTGCCTGTTTATCACTCATTTCTAGCACCTCCTCGCTACTATTTACAATGATGTAGTTTAAAGTGAGTCATCAGTGTCTGTGTTCAGCGGTAATTTTACGACAAAAAGGGACTATGATGCCCACAAAGAAAAAGAAATATAAAATACGCATGGAAGGAGAAGGAAAATCCCTAACAAACCTGTGCAGTTTTCAAATCGTAATTCGTATCCACCCTGACAGGACGAGTTTAGCCTGTCCTGGCAGGGACGAGCTTGACATCGACAAAGATTTCCATCACTGCCTTCACAAGTTTTCCAAGGGGACCTTGCGATTAGTTCTTCAAAGAGATAAAACACACAACAAATTACATTTTTTGATCAGAGCAACAGCCACTCCTTCAATTAGTAATATAAGCAAGAACGATTTTGTATCTATTTTGTTGTTGTTGCTGTTGTTGTTGTTTTTGTTATTGTTGTTGTTGTTGTTTGATAATTTAGCACTGAAATTTACTTTCACTGGCATCTGCTTAACATCCATTGGGTGACAATCCTAAAGTGGCCGGATTGGAGACTTATACTCCATAAGATCGGAATTTCTTTGGAAACATTTTAATCAAAATGTAGATCTCATTCAGAATTCTCACTTCTAGCTGCAATACCTGTCTGCATAACTTAGGTACGAGAATTTGGTTCCTTATCATTCAAGACCCTCTAACTGACCATTTCCTCTGTTCTCATCAACTGGTTGCAAGGTAACGTCTTGATACTGTTGGGGGAAGTAACAACTTGATCACTTTCAACAGAGCACTTAATTGACACTGACCTATTTTCTTTGGACAAGTACTCCAGCCTTTTCCCAATTCCTCTCTGAAAAGAGTAATAAAAAAAGCAAGGATTTTAGAAAATCACATCGGATGCACTTATTGCCAGGGCGCCCTTGGCTAGTCTGCGAACTTGTCCTCATTACTTAGCTCTGCAGAACGCACGGTTCTCCACCCGAGGTAAGGTTTGAGAAGATTTGGGGATCATTACAGAGTCCACTCGTAAAATTTGTTTAGAATTTTTTTTTTAATTGATGTTACTGACCTTAAAGATAGAACTGAAACACAACGCCTTGTTTTCTTCATCCATGTACAATGAGGATCAATAGCAGATGAACAGGACCTGAAATACCAAGATGGTATCAGAAATAAAGCGGTAACTACTGTACTTGCATAGTTAAGCCATAGCTAATGGAGGAAACTCATCAGGAAAGAGAGCAAAATTCAAATTCTCCGAAAGAGCCAAAACCTATTCCTTTTTCTTGTTTTAGTTTGAACTGTACCACTCACCTACGGTCCGTGTGATTGCCACACTGCTTCAACCTCAACTTTTTAAGAGCTGTGTCTGAGCCGAGGTACAGGACATGCTGTAAATAAAACCAAAAATACGACGTTGAATAACCAACCACAGACTAAAACACAACGATGAACAACCAATCACAAACCTCTAGGACGACACTTTAACTACTCAGTTGAAATTCACATTTACTAGTAATTATGAGACATTATCTTACCTGTTTTGGATCAATCGTCATAGCTTTTATGACTTCTTGTCTGTTGATCTAAAACAAATAAAGAATTTGTCCATTTCAGATTCATCAAACCTTGATTTTCGACTCGCAGGTAGTCACATTGAAGTCACTTCAGTATTTTCTAGAAATTGATTCCAGTCCCCCAGTAACAACTACTGACGATTTGACAATCTCAGTGGGGGCGGAAGTCACCTCGACGCTGATGATGACTTCTGCTCAGGTTGTTGATCGAAACGCCAGCCACTGCCACCGACAACAGTTCTTTTCAGACAAGACCGATCGACCTTAAGAAATTTTTACGGCCACAATACTCACCGGAAAAAGGTCGATTTCGGTGAGAAGGCAGGGTTGAAGAAGGCCAGCAACTTGTGAAATTTTAAGCACAGATCCTCGGTCTACAAAAATAAATTTCATTATCTTTGAGCTAGCACTCTGCTACTTGTGCCGATGAGGCGGGAGACAGTTTAGTACGGTTGGAGTTCTCCAAGAAAACTTTTCGAAGTAAGCACTCCTCAAACACTTCTGGGGACATTTTAAAAAGAGTTTTAAAACTTGTCCCGACAGAATTGTATAAGGTATGCTTCACAGCGCATTGTGCATGGCCAAGAGAACTCCCACCATCGCCCTTTCCAATCAAATGTAAGATATTTATTACCTGCGTTTTCCCGCGCTTGGGACCGTTAGTGCGTATTTACCATGAGTTCTTATTAGTTACGTGATTGGTTGAAATGATTACTTTCTTTTTGGTTTGAACACATCCAAATCATAAAGCGATTTATTGTATCTTACAACCCCGGATTTAAGAAGTAGTGCACCTCTATCTCGCAATACCAGGTGCCAGGTATGTTGAATTTACCTGTTGATGTGTATACAACAGTGTGTTCACCAACTTTGTCCAGAACAATGGCTGTCATCCTACCGCAAAAAAGTAATTTACTATGAGTACTAATCGGCGACTGTTAAGGACACGTTCAGTCACTATTTGAGGTAGTCATTTTTCTAAGGAACGATAATCCTTACATAGGTAATTGTAACGATAATCTACGATACACTGGTATCCAATTTTCATCTTTTAGCTTTAAAAACTATTCAGGAAAAAAATTTTGTTTTTCTCTTACCAGTGGCTTTGATTGAGTTTTTAAACAGGAGTAAGTAGACTTCTCTTTACGATATTCTATGTGTAATTACCTAGCACTTATTATACTTCGCACAAATTTCTTCATAGATAATGTTGACTATTTATATTCAATGCCAGACAAGAAAACGCAAATTTTAGGGGTTATGCTTTTTTTTTCATTTATTTTCCTTCTTTTCCAGGGGTTCTTATAACAGTAACTAACAACATGCGTGACAACGTGACAGCAGACAAGTGTGACAATGATAATAATGCTATTAATAATGATAATAATAGTTATTTCATACCTATAAAGTTCTTGTAATAATGTTACATCAAAAGCACTTTACGGTACCACTACATTAGATATTGTGAAATTAGAATAAAAAGAGCAAAATGTTTCACATGGAAAGGTAACAAAGATCCTCGAGTATCGAGTCACGGTACATTCGTGAACAAACCTGATCCCATCTTTGACAAACCAGGCTTTGTTCCCTTGGTTTTGAACCGAGTCGAGGCTGGTGGGTAGCACTGGATCACGCATAAGAGGATCGTGCAAGAGGTCTTGATACACTTTAAAAAGCATGTTCTTCGTTCCCATCAAACCGTCTGGGACTGGACGGGGTTTAGGAATCAAGTACGTCTTGTTTATTTTGCACTGAAGAAAATAAACATTTACCACATTGTTTATTAGTTATTTGTGTTAGTATCTTTACTTGTAAGTAAAAGGAAAAAGCAAAACGGAAGAGAGAGGGTGGGACCTACTCGGTTTAACGCTTCCTTCTGTACTGTAATTATCAGAACAGGCTCCCAAGAAACCCACTGTCCTTCAATTGGAACATGTCTTCAGTTATTTGGGAGTAAAAGGGTTACAAGTAACAAGACTTTTCCCCCCTTTTTTCAACAGTAGGTTGCCTGTGTTATCACTTACCCCCTCAAAATACTTTCTAAATTTGTTCTCCAAGGTCACCCACTTTCCACTTCCTGCCTCTCTACTCTTGAGAGGACTCGTGTGAAAAACATTGTTGACATCCGTCAAATTGTACACACATATCGCTGATGATGACGGGCCATTGCTGGAGAAAGACGTGAAAGAAAATTCAAATGGGTATTACTAGTGAGTAAATAAACTAGCTCGCAGTAATTTAGGTAATTCATCTCCTTCAATGTTTTTTGTAATTTTCAATTGTTTTTTTCCTTCGTGGGAAGAGGGTAGTGTCATTATTTGCTAACCCCCAGATGCAAGCTCTGGATTTGGAAAGTGGAAAGCATGCAATTCTTTACTGACCTACAAAAATAACCCTTTGACCCGTAAGAGTGATTAGTATTAAATTTTTCTTCACAATATTACCCCCGAATCTCACACTGAAGCCACGCGAATAAAGGAAATGATCCCCTACTAAAGAAGACCACACCCAAAGAAAAATTTATCTGTACCTTTTTCTCATTTAATTCTTGTATTTCCATCAACAATAGCTACCCAAGAGCAGAATGGAACTTATGAAATACTTACGGATGAGAGGTGAAAATTGTATGAAACAGGTTGGTTTCTGAATCCCACCAAACATCCTCTGCCAAAGAAATAGCATAACAAATTTATTTCCTCATGAGTCAATACGTATTTTGTACTGTATTAACCCTTTAACCCTTTAACTCCCAAAATCACATTAGCAATTCTCCTTACTGTCTACCATACAGTTCTGGTGATGTTGGTTTGGAGAATTTGATATTGGGTCAACTTATATTCCCTTAATTTCTATTTTTCTTTATTCTCATCCCTTGTCTGCTTGACATTGTATTGATATTGTAAAGAGAAATTCTGTCTTGGTTACTCATGGGAGTTAAACTGTTAACCTCTTAGAGTGACTAGCATCTAATTTCTCTTGACAACATCATGCCCAAATCATACATTGAGATCATAAGAATAAAGGAAATGATCACCTATTAAAAGATCCTGACAATATCACCCCCAAATCATAAATTAACGTTATGAGAATACAAAAGATGATCACCAACTTAAAGAAGCTCTTGAGTGTTAAACTAATTCTCCTTGTCAGCACCCTAGGAAATGCATGAGTTTGAAGAATATGCTTACTAATGTTAGCTGGGTACAATGGGTTAGGTCAATCTAAATGGCACATCAATATCATCCCCTAGCTGCCTTACCATCAAGTTTCCTTCTCAGCATTACATAGTAATAGCGGAACTCGCAGAGCATAGCCCCATAATTATACAAAATAGTAGTAGTAACCAATCAAGCCAAAAAAATTGGGATGTACGACCGTATGACCGTACAACTATACAAGATGCTACTTTTAACATGCATGATCAACTGTATCGTGGGCACACCAACGCCACGGCTTTGTCCAGTAGTCTAGTGATCAGTGCACTGGGCTCCGAGTCGGACGACCCGGGTTCTAGTCCTGGCCAGGGCAAGGCGTTGTACCCTTGAGACATGCGGGAAAAAAATGAGAGCTCCGCTTTTAGGCTTGGCTAAATCTATATACTATGCCATATTTAATAGTAAAGGTCACTTACGAATTTCGTTGAAATAAACTGGATATTCTCCTCCATCAGAACAAATAAGTTTGGCCTTCTGGTACGTTATAAATAACTTTCTGAGTTTAAACTGACCACCATAGTCACCCTAATAAAGAGAAAGAGAAATTTCTATTAATGAAGAACATCAATAAAACATTATAACTTAATGACATAGTGAAGTTTGGACAGAGGGGAAAATACAATGGCTCTTGGTCATGACTCACAAATAAGCACTTTATCATTAAGGACCACTGCTCTTTCTATTGATTTCTTTCTCTTTACATTTTCATCATCTTGCATCTTGAAGGGCCTTAATTTAACATACACTGAGCCACCCACCTCTGTTAAATGTTTTTTGATGAAAGCCCGGACAGGGCAGTACTGGTCATATCATTATATATATAATCATTGTTATTTGTCATTTATCTAGCATGCTTCGATTAATTGGCTGCCATACTACAACAATTCATTTATTCAAAACTCACTGGCAGATTTTACTTCACAGATACTTGGTACAGATATGTTGCAATAACAAAAAATTTGCTTCTAGTACCTTACATATACGTGCTACCCTGGAGACTTTATACTTTCCACAGCTTGTGCATTCCAATGTTCCCTCACGAAAAAAGACATACACGTAATTCCCAATGATGAAACTCTTGACAAAATGTACATCTACATGAATAAAAGTTTAAAAAGATTAAGTGATGAAAATGTCATAAAATATAGCTGGAAGAACAATTACTTCTGAGGATGCAAATTTCTCTGCATCATGTTCTTGCACACATTGTGCATGCAAATAACACTTATCAAGACTTCACTGCCATGACAACAAATATCTTTTGAATCCTGACCATCTCTGATGCATAAGGAGGGTCTTCACCAAACCATGGAGGGCATGTAAATGTAAACAAATAGAACTGCATTTGCAGCTACCCCTTTGCAACTACTCCTGGCATTATTTATTGACACTTATTACTCGCACCAAAATATTGATCAAACTTACCAGAGTAAAGTTCTCTTTCAGACATAAAATCAGTGGCCAGTTCTCCAATTCTGGGCTTAAAACTCTTACAATAAATCATGGATAATCTTGTTGCCTTATTTATTGTTCCTCTGAAGACTCTTCCATCTTCTGTAAAAACCAAACAAAGCAGAAAACTTAAAAGTTTAGAATCAGGCATTTTTAACCAGCCTATCTCAAATTATCCACAATTCGCATACCCTTTGTGTTGTTCCAGATACAGAACCCAATTATAACATTACTGAACTCTTTAAGCCTGAAGATTTGATTGTTAATTCTCCCCTCCAGCTGCTTATACTCATCTCTTTGCAAAATCAATAACAAGAATTTGGTGTTTGATCAAGATACATGTAACTATTTGTCTTTCAGGGTTAACAGTGGTTCTTTTGAGACAGACTCGTCAGTGTCAGTTATGTAGGAGGCATTATTGAGAAGAATGGAATATGACAGAACCAGAATCTAGTTTTGTACTGCAGGTCATAAAACCAGAACCTATGCTAAGGTTCATTTCCCTGTAAGAGTCACAATTACTGACTCAGCAAACAGTCTTTGCATTCAATTTTAGTTTTAAGTCTCTACAACGTCAGCAACCATTCCACAAGGAAAACAAAATGTAAAGCACATCTTAACTGCCAAATTCATTTTGTCAATAATTTCCTGCTGTTCATTGATTTTATAGGTTTCCTTTTTTAAGATAACTGTTCTGTCTACTAATTTGTTGGTAGTTAAAATGTTAAGACATAAATTGTAACCTAGTTTGAAATAAACAGATCTTTACACCTTGTTTGTCTGGCTCCAGTTGTTGAAAGGCTGGATAACACTATCCACTACACAAGTCTCTTTTTAGTGGTTAGCACAGTACATCTTGTTACCACTTACACACTAGACCGTGATTTATACAATGGATAGCACCATCCACTCAAACAAAAATTGAGCCCATGTTGTTTATACATCATGCAGACATCATAAGACAACACTTAAATTTTCTTTCTAAATTAATCATATCCTTTCTTGTATGCACACTTTATTTCCATACCCAGAGAACATTAACCTAGCTTTCTGAGGATTTCTCATGATCTGTGATGCATGATGGGATTTCACCCAAATAAAGGTTCACTAGTGTTCTTCTCAAATGCTCACAGTCATCTTAACACAAACCTGTTATGACACCTGTGTCATTTTGACTTGGTCTGCTATAATAATTTTCATCATTTATAAACACATTCTGATTTCTATCTCTGCCTGGAGCTGCATCCAAATTTGTCCTCTGAAAATAACAGAGAGACTATTGAGTGATTTAGAGCAGAAACTCTCAAAAAAAAAAAGAATAAGCTAAAATCACCATTTAAATATGCACATTTCTACACCTCTTTTCCTCAAGCCATAATGGAGTTTTTTTGGCCATAATGCTCCATACTGCCACAACTTCAGGTCAATATTCCCCAGTATAACCCTTGGGCTGGGTAAGTAAGACATAAGTCTTCACCTTCCAATTGAGACATCCTTTTTGTTATTACCTGATGCAAGCCACTTCTTGCCTATATTATTTTCAACCCTTAATATAACTCTGATTTTTTAAAAGCTTGATCCCTAAGTGTTGACTTGCTAGTTTCAGACGTTTTTATCCCAATCTGGACCTTAACTTATTGAAGTCAATTAATGCATCAAAATTATAATAATCTTCATTGACAGGAGATAGAGGTTTCAAATTTTCCTGTTTTTCAGGGAACTGAGAACCTGTTGCACAAAAGGCTCTCTCATTAGTTCCTTTTTATCTGGATTGCTTCAATTAGATGGCAAATAATTAATTACATTTCTCCAGGTGCAGCCCACTGTCAGACAGATAAATATCCTCTCCTCAAATGGCAGCATTAACTTCACATAGTTATGACAAGAACCATTCTGCAATCAAGATGTGATAGACAAGACTTAATAACAGCATTCAATCAGGCAAAAATATCTGGGATAATTTACATAACTGACTAATTAACTTCCAGGCTATGATGGACTCACAAGGGTTGTGGAGGGTATAGTGACAAACAAAAAAGTCTCCAATGAAAAATAATAGCATCCCTATCATCTCACATACAATGCAGATCTCACATTATGGTCCTTTTAGAGTCAAGGTTTCACAAGGAAATTTCAAAACAAAGAACATTTTAGATTTTGGAATGTAGTACTTGTAAGTGTTTTGAGGAACATAGATGGGAAGGTAGACATTCATGGCTATACCTTGTAGTTTTATTACAAGACAGCAAACATTTGCTTACTCTATAAGTCAATTTCCCTCCACAGAGAGAAAAATCATTTGCCCTTCAGCTTCCCTCACACAACCTCAATTAAAAAACTTCTGGATTTCCCAGATTACTAAACCCCTCCCTCGGCTTCCTCCTTCCCATTCTGTCAAACTTCTGGGATCCATCCCTATAACAGGGTGAATTCTGAAAAACAAGTCATAAATTGCTTCACATTTTACTGAAAATGAGGTGGTGCTAATCTAAGGGCAATCGATCCTGAAGCTCACAAAACATGCATGCATATATAACAATTTATCATTTGAAGCTGTTTAATTAACAGTTGTTATATCCACCTGTCCTTTATCACATCCAAGGCTTGGGCTGGTCAAATTCCAGGACTGTATGAGATAGACAAATAATGTTATTAGTACTCATTAAAAACACACCAAACTTAAACTTTAATCTCGGAACAGCCTCTAAAAACAGTACTGCCAAAAATTTAGCCCTTACTTCAAAACTATTTATGTCTCCAAGATCCACTAGGAATGCATTTTCTCTGCAAAACATAACATATTAAACAAATGCACTGTCCACTTCAATACGTCTAACAAAACAATAATACAGCAGAAAATGAGTATTAAAAATCAGGACATTATGGCACCATAAAAAAGTGTTTTAGCCTATGATAACTCACCTTGCTCCTACAAGTAGTTGATTATACTTGCTGTCAACTGACAACACCGAGTAGTTTCCACTCTCTATCCCTCCTGTTTTCAGTGTCTCCATGTGGTGGTTGACAACTACGAAGGTAACAGAATTAATTGACAAAACTTTGCTTCCTTTGTTCCTTACTTAACCAGAAATCAAAAACAAACATAATAAGTGCAGAGTCCTGCTTCTTCACCCTTTAACTGGCAAGATCTGACTATACTTAACAAATCTTCTAGCTGTTATGTGTAAAGCCTATATTTCCTTTAAAGTTAGTTCAAAAAGCTTACACCCAATCACCCTCAAAGTGATCAATGAATAATTTTTCCCCACAGTTTATATCAATAAATTGCCAAGAAGAAAGGTAGTGAGATGAAAAAAAGCAATCTCAGGGATATTGCTTGATTCAACACCAAATTCTCCAGACTTAAATCATAAAAAAATGCATGGCAAACAGTGATGAGAATTGATGATAAGATCTTGGGAGTGAAAGGTTTAGGTATTCTTATGTCAGTGCAACAACCCTGAGCTGATAATTTTTTTTACTCTCACTGATTGTGTACTGGAACATATAAGGATTTTATCCATCAAGGGTTGCATAATTCTCAAAAAAAATAGCAATTCCCTCCACTATCTTAAATTCATATGTAAAGAACATTATCCTATCAATCTAAACACTCCTACAGCATTCTTTAAAGCTCATTATGCATTGAAACAGTGAATTCTTGGGGGAGAGGGGTGGGGAATTTTGGGATTTTTTTTTTCTTAATCAGCAGATAGTCCACAGGACAAGAAGCTGAAGAAACGATACCTGAGTCTCGTACATCTCAATACAGATGGAAAAGGACATGATTCCTCTAAGAAAACTATGTGCCATGGCATACTATACATGAAATGTAGAAATGTAAACTAGAACCCTATAATAAAACACCAAATTAAATCAAAGTGAAAAGAAAAACTTTACCTGTAAGAAAAATGGAAAGTAACATAATAAAAATCCTCATTAAAAAATTCTGGAAAAGGCGTGTGACCCTCTCCTTGAATAGCTTACAAAGAAGTATGACCCTCCTCTTGAAATATCTAAAAGATAGCGATTCTCAATATTTTTTCGGATTTGCAAAATGTTTTTTGGATTGTCCCTTTTCGGCTTCCGTACATTCATCTACTTCCCGACGCTTAATATATTTAACTGCCAAAACATTGAACAATTTTGAAGTGCAATCATGATGTTGATTTTTGTTCAAATTACTGTTGTAGTTAAGCAAGGACCGAGCTCTTTGATGCCAATATCTTCAAACTGATTTAAAATACCTTCGAGTTAATGAGATGCCCTCCAGGCTGGCATGGTTTATTGTTGAATTACACTGTTCAAGAGGGTATGAAGTTTCCAAAACAACCCTCTTAAGCGGTGACAATACAATGCCAAAATGAATGAAAACTGATAGAAATGCCTCAGTACATAAAGACTGAATCTTGCACTTGCGTGTGATTTCAATTTGATAATTGATAACGGGTCTCAGAACATACCTTCGAAATGTACTCTTGAGTGCGGTTCGCCATTGAACGCCACCACAATCCAACCAGATAATATTGCAAAATAGCTCAGAAGTAGCACATACAGCTTGTTCCGTTGCTTCATTTCTTGCAGTCGGGCTGCAAATTGATTAGACGATACATTTGAGAACCATCAACAACCAACACCATGTCTACATTAGTTACATGGGAACGTCATAGTGCTGGAATTACCTAATTATGAATTAATAGCTCATTTGCATGATGACGTCACGTGCGCAACGTATCACGGTAGTTGTAGTAAGCATTAACATTGACATGGCGGACAGTGATGAGGATGGTGGTGTTGGTGGATTTTATTGCTATGTTCCTGGCTGTTACAATAGCTCGACGAAGGATAAAAGTCGTCTCTCATTTTATGTTATTCCCAAAGGTGGCAAACTTCGAAAATTATGGTTAAACAAGATCTCAAGAAAGGGTTTTAATCCCAAAACATCTCAGCTATCAGGCTACCGCGTCTGTTCAGAACACTTCGAAGGAGGTTGTAAAACCTGTAGAATTAATGTGCCCACTATATTTCCACTTGATAAATCACACCGAACTTAAAACCCTGAACCACGACAACAGTTTAAACGGCAATTTGAGTGTGTCAACACTGAAAAATAACTACGAAAACGAGATCGATTCTATTCTCGACAAACAAGACACACAAAGCCAGCGATAGATAGACCACGTTTTATTAAAATCACCTTTCAGTCTGACAACTGAATTGCGTGAATTTACAACAAATTGCGGAAAAAAATCGTATAAAACGCAACAACTTGTCTATTAATTTATCCTAGTTATAAAAAAGTATAAAAATCCATTTTATTATTTAATTATACATGACTTCGTTGCTGCGCTTATTAATAAATGAGTCAGCCGATCCCTTCGTTTTGGTGGATGGCAGTTGATATTTCCGTTTCATTACGAGGTTGTATGCTGGCTTGTTGGAGGCTGGAATTAAGTCGTGGATCTTGTTAGACGGGTTGTTAGCTGTCCACTGAGAGAGTTGCAAAGTCAGTTTTTCTTGATGATCTCGTAGGTTGTCTATTCCGACAAGCTGAGGGGCATTTGCGTATGATATTCTCGGGAAAATGCACGAGAGAGCTCTCCTCTGGACTCTCTAGTTCAACTCGTAGATACTTAGGTAATGCGTTATGCAACACTGGGCATGCGTAGTCTAATGCAGATGTAATACATCCACAGTAGTAAGCTACAAGATCTTTTGACGGGACATGCGCCGTTTGAGCTGAACAAGAAAATAGTGTTTTGGAGACGATTTCGTAACAAGTTCTTCGATGTGATCCTTTCAAGTTAAATTAGAGTTGATCGTAAGTCCGAGTAAATTGGCGCGTTGTACTAATTCGATAGGAACTCCGTTAATACATGCCCTTGGAAACGGTGGTCGTTGAGGATTGAAGTAGATGGTAAGTTCCTCTGTCTTATCGCAGTTTAACTGAAATAGATTGTCCTTTGACCAATCGTGCACCTGATCGACCGCAGTCTGTGTCTTCCTCTGCTGCTCTATGGGAATGGTTTCGGATACTGTTATGTCATCAACGTATTTCCACGTGTTGAAAATTTCGGAAACTGACAGTTCCCTGATCATGAGAATGCTTTAAACAAGCATGCGTCAGTTAAATTGACGGTTGCTTCTCTATAACATCTATTTGAAAATGATTGAATTTTCCCGCAAAAAGACTCTAAAATAAAGAAAAGGCGCCTTTTTTTTTTTAATTTTTCGAGCGTATTTCTTTCATATCTTACCGATGAAAATTACTTCTTTGCTTGTGAAATGTCTTCGGTATTTGTTCAAGATTCGTTGAAATAATATTCTTCGTAATCTTTATTGTCTCATGAAGTAAGCCAGTTATATGGTGTTTCCTTTGATAAGTTTTATTCAATAGGCCATTTTACAGTTGTGTGCTTAGTTGCCAAGCCTTTAATTTGGAGTGAAGCTGAAGGTGACCTTGATGTGATAGAGACCAGTATCTAGTTAGCATGATAACAAAGTAATTTGCATTTGAAAAGCAGCAAGGTTTGTATCATAACAAGGTCACCCTTAGCCTCATTCCTGTTCAAAGGCTTGGCAACCAAACTCACAACTGTAAAATGGAATATTGTAATATCTTAATTCGTTAATTGAATTTCTACTCAATTGATTCAAAAGGTGACTTTTGGCGGGAAAATTTGGACCAATTTGCGCAGTTTCTCCTTACAACTTTTTTACATAAAATTAAAGAGGTTTCGTTTTTCCTACCAAAAATTTCTGAACATTACCTCGTGCAAAAAATTCAAGACTAATTACCAATTTTCCTTTGTATTTTAAAAAATTCTCAAGATGAAATTTCAATTTTCCTTTTTCGAAAATTAAATCGAACATAACTCTTAAAAACGTTTCGCTTCCAGATTCAAATTTTTTTGCAGAGATAATGTTTCCGGCTTTAAAATACAGAGAAGCAACACAAAGGGTTATAGCGTTTCCGATGAAATTTTTTAATGGCCGAGAGACACTATCCTTCCCGCATTTGAATGTTTTTTTTTTCCTATTTAACTGCGAATTCTGAGCTCAAAACTTTTCATGTTGCTTCTGACAGAAAAAATAACTTTTTCTACTGTCGGCTTTTGTTTGTAACCCAGGTCAAATGGAACTTGAGCGCGCAAAAAAGTTTTTATGTAACTTTGATTTATCTTCATGGAAAATTATTTTACTGAATGTTCACCTTGTAAAAGAAAATAATCCTCTTCAGTTCAAAATAGTTTCTTTTTATTTGCAATTTTTTAAGCAATTTGTCATTGAAGTGACCTTCAAGTCGTAGACACGAGCAAGTGCTATTGTTGTTTTCAAAGAAAGACTTCAGTATAATTTGATAGCCTTGCTCGATTTTCCTCATCCTCATCCTTTTCCTCCTCACCAAGATAATTTCCTAAAACACATGTAAAGCATTCCGCTGACAGGCAACGGGACAAACTGGGTTTTTATTGACAAGTGATTTACGCAGTTCTCTAACTAAAAGTATATCACTAAACCCCAAACTGAACAAGTGCGCGAAGTCATTTTGCCAAATTTTGCCTTGATGCGTTAACTCTACAAGCAAAGGTGGAAGAAACTTATGAAATACACCAGCAGATTCTACCACAAAGATAGTCTTGCAAGACATGAGAATTGATCAATTGCATGCACGAGGAGAAGTCGGAGAAGTTAAACGCGTTGTAGGTTTTCTGTTGCCTTCCCGATGTTAAATTTTCAGTACATTTAGTTTAAGTTATCGCTAAAATCTTCTGGCCACAGTGCAGAAATAAACTGTTTCTTGATCTTGCTCTCGAATTCGAGAACCAACCAAGATAACATTCTGCAGCTTAACTCTAATATTTTCCAATAAGAGTGTCATGTTTACCTATGCGTCGTGGTTCTCCATATGCCCTAAGAAACCGTAATAAACTTGACCTCCTGACAAAGACACGGTACGGGAACGGCCCCTAGTAACTATTAGCTCGAGGTGCCGTTATTTGCGTGAGTTATGTCAAACCAAACCAGAGAAATTCAGCAAACCGAGTAATCTAACTTTTCGCTTAGCAAAATGCACCTTCCTTGAGCCCCACAATCCAGAACCTGTTATATTTCCGTAACATTTCGATACCGACGGCAAAAAAGCAACTTCTGATACGAGGTCAATACGTTTTTAAATTGATGGTGTAGTTCGGTAAAAAAATAAGTAAAACCTCAAAGACAAACAGTAAACTCTTATCTTTCTCCACACCTTCCTCCCCTCGAGTGCACTCTGCCAACTCTTCTTAATAATGCGTGGTCTGAGAATGGTATCCCCGAGGGAGGATTTTATTGTCGTGGATCGCGAGTAATTGTGCGGGCACATTGTCGTGGGTCGCGGAAAACATTGACAAATACTAAATTTGCGTGATCTGGCGACGGTTTCTCTCTGAGGATCTACTTCACGCGGGTCGGGGTAAATTGTAGCGGGGTGCGGGTAAATCATCGCGGGTCGTTGGTCGCGGATAAATAGTCGTGGGTATCTTGTGGCGGGTCGCTGGTAAATTAACGCGGGGGGCAAGAAAATTGTCGCGGGCGCGTTGTTTCCTCGACTATCCTACTACTTATAAAATGTATAAGCAACGCTTACACGAGACAAGTTACGGTAAACTTTAATTTTTGTTCAATAATACACAACAGTTGATAACAGTAATCAAATGAGATTTTTGGGAGACGTAAAAAAAATTCCAGTTCCGATTGGGGAGTGCCTTAAACTGAATACACGGCAAATTCTATAATCAAACAGCCTAAATATATACGTATTCAAACTTTATCTCCCTTCGGTGAGCAATGTTATGAGGTTCCTTTACATGAAAAAAAATCTCTAATAAATGCGATTATCGTAGAGAAGAACATTTCTTGCTTTTTATTTCCAGATCTACCCTCGTTGAGAAAGTTAGACGGCGTAGAACCAGGTATTTCTACGTTCTTAATAATTACTACAAACCCAATCGGGAAGCCTGTAAAGTGCGTTTAACGACCACAGCTGATAATCGTGGTTTTTAAACAAAGATGATTAAAACAATCTTGGTTTTCGCCAGAGACCTCCTCTATCTGAATATCATAAATGCGACAGTGCTCCCTTATCATATTCTTTTCTAAAAAAATAAACTCCCCTCAATATAATTAACACAAACGAGGATTGTTTTGTAGAAATATAGACACACAAAAAATCAAAAGATTACAATTTTGCACCTTGGAGTCACACGACCTCCTCCAATCTAACTAATTAATTTTTTGTGATTCCATACTGTTCAATCATGATTACTCATCTTTGCGGAAACTTTACTGAAGATATAATCTCTAGAATGAAATAAGCAAATCCATAGGATTCACTTTCGCATCGTATGCGAAAAATAATGAGAATTCTCTCCTCATTAACTCACGGATTCACTTAGCTCGCAGGCAGCAAAACAGGACTTTTCTTAATTCTCCTTATCCGATTCCCAGCTTAACGAAAATAAAAAATTAGCTTCTTGTCAGTTACACCTTTGTTTCTGGGTGGAACAGGTTACGTGACTAGAAGATGCAAAATAGCTATTCATTCTCCAGCGTTTTATTTCTTTTATTAGACAACATGCTATGTAATATAAAAACAATTTATGGTCATATATAGAATTAGCTACACATGACGAATTTAAGCGAGAAATTTGGACTTCCTTCAATTCCAAAAAAATGTTAAACGTTTATCTACACAATAAATAGATGAATAATCCTTTACTAACGTATTTATGAAACGCTGCGCATTGGACGATATGTCACGAACGATATAGGATATACAGTTTTTTCCCAAAGGCGAACTATCTCGTACACCATCTAAATTTAATTTTTTGCAAAAAAAAAAGCTTAAAACTGACGCCCGTTTAGAGCGGAATGAAGTCTTCCGTAGGAAAACAGTTTTAATAATCGCGCAATATCGAGACGTCATCAAACCAAATTGCTGATAAATGTTGGTAAGTTTTGAAACGAATCATGCGCTCTAGCCAGTCTATAAATGGGAAGGGAATCCAAAAGATATTAAAAGTATTTACAACCGTCTAACTATATTTTGAAGACGCTTCACCAGTATGCAGCCTTGCTTGCTCAAAACGCGTTCCTTTGTTCCTCTTCGACCCTGCCCACAAAATCTGGAACGTGCAGGCGAGTAACTTACCCACTTGCAATCATACTGCACAACGAAAGAATTTTTTCCAAAGCTGCGGGGAAACGCCTCGTTTTCCATTCCCTTGAACCAAGCATTGAAGCTCGACGACATCTGCTTTGAACTGAGAATAGTACCTCTACTCTTTGATCTAATTCGTTGAGCCGTGATATTTGATAGTCCTCCAACCAGGGAAGGGTGGGGTGGGCTGATGCCCCTTCCCCCTCCTCTCGCGCAACAACAAACAGGTCTGTGTGGGAGTGACGGCCCATCGAATTCAGAACATAAATTGCGTGACAGTTGACAGTCGTAGGTTGCCTTGACCGAGGTGCACTAGGGCGGGTCCTTTCTGTAAACAAAATCTCCGTCTAATTCCCTAAGCTATACACTTTCGCTCGGAGCACGCTCTGTTCTGCACAGAATAAACCCTTTAAACTCTAAACACGTATTTTTCCTAGTGTTTCTGTTGTTTTCTTTACTCTGACTTTCTGAGGATGGACGACCTCTCGTGGATACACCATTCATTGGCGAGTAGTGACAATCACTTTTAGGACTACGTTCAGGAGTTTTTGGAACACTGTATGATGATGGTTCTTCCTTCTGTTTTCGTTTAACGCAATAAATACCCAGAACTACCAAGATGATCACCACAAGGCCGACTGGCAGCCCGATTGCGAGACCACTTACAAACTTTGATCTTTCAGTCTCTTCCGAGTCAGTTCGCCTTCCGGAAACTGCTGCAATCCAAAAATACATATCTATTAATGAAATCTGTCTCACACCTGTAACAATTCGCATTAAAAATCACATCCAGATGTGCAAAACTATCACAATTGCTGTTGATCTCACTCACTCACTCACTCACTCACTCACTCACATAGACGAAGACTCGAATAGTGACGAAAATTTACTCAAATCGAGTTAGCCCAGAGCAAAAACAACAACAACAACAACAAAATGGCTGTTGGAAGATAGGTAAAATGTCTGGAACAAGCCGTGTGTCCTGCTTCGAAAAACTTTTACTTAATAAAAATTCTCTGAAAAGTTTATTCCTTTTGTCTCACGCTTTTGATGCAAACTTTGCGGAGACCATCTCAGATATTCAACTTACCAGTACTACAATTGCAAGTTCCGTACTGGACGTTATTAGGACATTCCACTGAGTTGGGACAGTCCCTTCGGCACTTAAGTTGCCGAGACCTGACACCACTCCCGTCAGGCAGTTTTAGATCATGATTACACTCGCACACAGACCACACGTCCCAGCTATTAGTGTCGAGTTCACCTAACCGCGAAAAAACAAAGCCTTTTAAGGAACCATCTAACACCACTATCGTCCATTTAACATTGCGCGAAACATTCAATATGCGTTACGCAGGTAGGTAGATGCTCCAAAAGCCGCGCCTAATGAAAAAAAGATGCCTTTTGCGAGGTACCAAAGAACCATCATTTCAGTTATAGCGTTTTAAAAAACGCTGCTCCAGACCCCACACGCAGCAGCCTAATGCGAAGCGCACTGGATTTCGCTTCGAGAGGTCCAGGTTCGATGCCTGGCCGATTCACTGTGTCAGGTTGTCGAGCAACACATTCAACACTCACAGTGCCTCTCTCTCCGCCCAAGAATACGACTGGGTGCAGGCGAATTGCCTGGGATGGGGAACAAGCATTCCATACAAGGAGTTCAACTCTCCTTGTCGCTTAATGCAGCGCATTGCGGGAGTAAGTCCAGCGGTTCAAGTCACGAGGCTATACTGCAGATCACACCGAGAATATAGTCTACGACAAAGTCAATCTTTACAGCTGACCTTTACAGTTGCTGGGTGAAGTTGGTTCACAGCTTCTTTCTTGTAACCTTTCCCCAACACAAGGCTCCACTTTACAATCTCTTCTTCTTATTTGAAATCCTTCCCCAGAACACTGACCCCAATCGCACCAGGCTTTCCATTCTCCCTCTAACACAGGAAAAATATCACAACTTTACCCGATAGCTCTTCAAATATTAGCTGCACCATGCATATAGCTTGCGGTTAAACAGTCACTAGCAGTTAACTTTACTCTCCACTTGCATTGCACAAAGCCTTATTGTGCGCAAGGGCGTTTTTTCCTTACTAGTAAAACAGACCAGCAACCAAACAGAAGAAGATCTCACTATTTTCTGCCTGCTATCTCGTGAAGATGTAATTACCATTTTCACAGTGGTTACAGCAGAACATTGCGTTAACTGAAAATGGAGCGATCTTCAGAAAGACGCGCGAACGATTAAGACACGCCTTAACACGTTAAGCCGATGAGTTTGAAGCAGTGCTTGGCACAGAAGAGTGCAGGTGACAAACTCGTGAATGATTTTTGACTTGCATTTGATTGGTGGAGAAGATGACGTGATGACGTGATGACGTGATGACATGATGATGCAATGAAGTAATGACGTGATGAAGTTTGTGTTCACTTTCCACAACACTTCTTACCTCCACAGAGATCTCTTTGTTTCTCGCAATCAAATGTCTTGTTGAGTATTTCAACACTGATGTTAGATATGTTATATCCAGTGGTTTTAAAGATCACTTCAAAATGAACACCCTTGTTTTCCGATAGGTTTAAAGATCTTGTTGGGTTTGTTAACAGCCGTTTTTCCACCTCTGATCGACGAAAAAACAAAAGACAGAGGAAAAATTGTAAAAAAAAAAAAAAACACACACACACACACACACGCACAAAAGGAGTTTCGGGCGACTTTTTGTCAAATAGGCGTTTTACAGGTACAACGACTTGTCTGAACACTTTTGTTGATGTTGTTTATTTTTGTTGTTGTTGTTGTTTTGCTGTTTCTATTGATGCTTCCAAAAATTTGGCCCTCAAAGTTAACTAAAAAAAAGCAAGCTTAAGGTAAACATCAATTTTTCTTTACGCTTGGGAAGGTAAACGATATAAAATTTCTCCGAACACAAAAGTTTCCTCTCACACAAAAATTTGTAAAAAAATTCAGCTTTTTAGCTGAGTCATTACGAGAAACCATGAAGACCAATGAAATTAGACATTACTTTTTAACATAACCCTTAACTATACGCACTAAACGACTCATATTTTTTATTAACCAGTAAGTGCTGTAACTTTAAAGTAACAGAAGACCATTTACCAGTACTTCTTACCGTGTTTTCCCAAGTTACAGGACTTATATTGCACAGCCTCTCCTACACACGGTCTCCCTCCTCTCCTGGGGACCGGATTAGTACAGTTTCTTGTCCGCTTTCTTACCCCAACCCATGGCTTTGTTTCACAATCCGTCCAAGTATCCCATGCACTCCAGTTGCCGTGTTGCACACCATACTTCTCCCATTCCTCTCTCTCAGATCCGACAATAACGTTCACTGAAACAACAACCCAAAAAATCTACTAAAATCGGCCATGGGAGGTAAACAAATCATCAACATCTTTTTGAACATTAATTGCGAGTGAAATAGTTCCAGTTTCCAGGGAGAGATCAACGCGACTGTTGAATAGTTAGCCTCCATCGGAACTGAATGAATTTGCCTGTTTATCACTCATTTCCAGCACCTCCCCGCTACTATCTATAATTGTGTAGTTATTAGTGAGTCATCAGTGTTTCAGCGGTAATTTTAGGACAAAAAGAAAAGGAAAATAAAAAATACGCGTAGAAGGAGAAGGAAAATCCTTAGCAAACCTGTGCAGTTTTCAAATCGTAACTCATATCCACCCTGACAGGAGGAGTTTTGCCTGTCCTGGCAGGGACGAAATCGACATCGACAAAGATTTCCATCACTGCCTTCACAAGTTTTCCAAGGGGACCATGCGATTTGTTCTTTAAAGATATAAAACACACAACAAATTACATTTTTTGATCAGAGCAAAACCCAGTCCTTCGATTGGTAGTATAAGAAAGAAAGATTTTGTATCTGTTTTGTTGTTGTTGTTCTTTGATAATTTAACCTTGAAATTTACTTTCACTGGCATCTGCGTAACATCCATTGGGTAAAAATCCGAAAGTGGTTGGATTGGAGACTTGTACTCCATAAGATCGGAATTTCTTCGGAAACATTTTAATCAAAAAATGTAGATCTTATTCAGAATTCTCCCTTCTAACTGCAACACCTGTCTACATAACTTTGGTACGAGAATTTGGTTCTTTATCATTCAAGACCCTCTAACTGACCATTTCCTCTATTCTCGTCGACTGGTTGCAAGGTAACGTCTTGATACTGTTGGGGGAAGTAACAACTTGATCACTTTAAACAGAGCACGTAATTGATACTGACCTGTTGTCTTTGGACAAGTACTCGAGCCTTTCCTCAATTTGTTTGAATCTCTGAAAAGAGTATTTAAAAAAAAGCAAAGGATTTTAGAATATCACATCGGATCCACTTACTGCCAGAGTGCACTTCGCTAGTCTGCGAACTTGTCCTCATCATTTCGCTCTGCAGAACGCGCGGTTCTCCGCCCGAGGGAAGATTTGAGAAGAGTTTGGGATTATTACAGAGTCCACTTGAAAAATTTGTTTACATATTTTTTTTTTATAATTGATGTTACTGACCTGGAGGATAAAACTGAAACACAACGCCTTGTTTCCTTGTTCCATGCACAATAAGGATCAGAAGCAGATATACAGGACCTGAAATACGATGATGGTGTAAGAAATAAAGTAACTAGTCTACACGAATAGTTAAGCCATAGCTAATGGAGGAAACTCATCAGGAAAGAGAGAAAAAATCTAAGTGGGAGCTCCTAGTTAAAAATTTATGGAATGGTAGTGAACGATGTACACGGTCATATCTGAAAAAACCGCCACAAAAACATGTCGCAAAGAAAGGTTTCCTGAGCACCTTTCTTGACTCAGGGTTAAGCCTTCTTCGCCTCTCCCCATTCCCCTCATTTCCCTCCTCCCTATTTCGATAAACTTTCGATAAGTTTCCGATAGTTCACTTGTCCAGTTAAAAACAGACAGACTTCCGTCAAAAGGTCGAAGGTTAACCAAGAGTTTTCTTGCCTTCAAGTTTTTAAGGAAGAACAGCACGAAGATTGAGGCCTTAGCGAGTACCCAGCAGTTGCACTGAGTTTTCTTTTACCCTGTTTCAAATTCTCTGAAACTGCCAGAACCTATTCCTTTTTCTTGTTTTAGTTTTACCCGTACCACTCACCTGCGGTGTGTGTGACTACCACACTGCTCTAGCCTCAACTTTGTAAGAGCTGTGTCTGAGCCGAAGTACAGGATATGCTGTAGATAAAACAAAAAATACGACGTTGAACAACTAATCATAGACTTAAATACAACGATGAAGAACCAATCACAAACCTCTAGGACGGCACTTTGACTACTCAGTTGAAATTCACATTTACTAGTAATTATGAGACATTATCTTACCTGTTTTGGATCAATCGTCATAGCTTTTATGACTTCTTGTCTGTTGATCTAAAACAAATAAAGAATTTGTCCATTTCAGATTCATCAAACCTTGATTTTCGACTTGCAGGTAGTCACATTGAAGTCACTTCAGTATTTTCTAGAAATTGATTCCAGTCCCTCAGTAACAGCTACTGACGACTAGACAATCTCAGTGAAGGCAGAAGTCACCTCGACGCTGATGATGACTTCCGCTCATGTTGTTGATCGAAACACCAGCCACTACCACCGACAACAGTTCTCTTCAAAGAAGACCGATCGACCTTAAGAAATTATCATGGCAACAATACTTACCGGAAAAAGGTCGATTTCGGTGAGAAGGCAGGGTTGACGAGAGCCAGCAACTTGTGAAATTTTAAGCACAGATCCTCGGTCTACAAAAATAAATTTCATTATCTTTGAGCTAGCACTCTGCTACTTGTGCCGATGAGGCTAGAGGCAGTTTAGTAGGATTGGAGTTCTCCGAGAAAACGCATTGTGCTTGGGCAAGAGAACTCCCGCTATCGCCCTTGCCAATCAAATGCAAGTTATTTGTTACCTGGGTATTTACCATGAATTCTTAATAGTTACGTGATTGGCTGAAATGATTACTTTCTTTTTGGTTTGAACACACCCAAATCAGAAAGCGATTTATTGGATCTTACAACCTCGGATTTAAGAAGTAGTGCAACTCTATCTCGCAATACCAGGTGCCAAGTATGTTGGATTTACCTGTTGATGTGTATACAACAGTGTGTTCACCAACTTTGTCCAGAACAATGGCTGTCATCCTACCGCAAAAAAAAAATTCTCCATGAGTAATAATCAGCGACTGTTAAGGACACGTTCAGTCACTATCTAAGGTAGTCAATTTTTCTACGCAACGATAATCCTTACAAAGGTAATTGTAACGATAATCAACGATGCACTAGTATCCAATTTTCATCTTTTAGCTTTAAAAACTTTTCAGGAAAAAATTTTGTTTTTCTCCAATGACTTTAACTGAGTTTTGTACAGGAGCAAGTGGATTACCCAGCATTCATAGTACTTCGCACAAATTCCTTCACTAGATAATGTTGACAGTTAACATTTATTGCTAGACAAGAAAAATGAAAATTTTAGGGGCTTATGCTTTCCTTTTCATTTATTTTCCTCACTTCCCAGGGGCTTCTATTAGATGACAACATACGTGAAAACGTGAGAGTAGACAAGTGTGACAATGATACTAATGACGTTAATAAAATAATGATGATGATAATAATACCAATAATACCAATAATAATAATAATAATAGTAATTTCGTACCTATAAAGCGCTTCTAATAATGCTACATCAAAAGTACTTTACAGTACCACTACATTAAAATGTTGTGAAATTGGAATAAAAAAAGTAAATTGTTTCACACGGAAAGGAAATAAAGATCCTCGAGTATCGAGTCACGGTACATTCGTGAACAAACCTGATCCCATCTTTGACAAACCAGGCCTTGTTTCCTTGCTTTTGAACCGAGTCGAGGCTGGTGGGTAGCACTGGATCATGCATGAGAGGATCGTGCGAGAGGTCTTTATACACGTTATAAACCATGTTCTTTGTTCCCATCATACCGTCTGGGACTGGACGGGGGTTAGAAATTAAGTACTTCTCGTTTACTTTGCACTGAAGAAAATAAATATTTACAGCATTGTTAATTATTAAGTTGTGAGTGTGGTGGGTGAGTTAATTAGTAAGTTGTGGGTGTTTTAAGGACGAAAGTCCCAGGGGGTGCATTGCGATGGTGGTCCAGGCAGTGGAGATACCCATAAGGCTCTCCCTTGTGGTGGCAGCTGCATGTAGCCTATGCTTGCTTGCTCAGCTTTGCTCTGCTTAGCTCACTCTGCTTGCTTGTGGTGCTGTGTGTAGTTGTTGCCTGGCATAAGTTCTGACATTAGCGGGGCATCCCTGTGGTGTTAGTCCCCCGGCTTGGCATAGCCTCTTTCACCTCAAGACCGATTGTGCATGGTTTCCTACCACATCCTCCCAGAGGTGACCTAACTGGCCAATGGGTATCTCATACAGGGAAAAAAAAACAAAGACCAGAGACAACAAGTCTCAAGTTAGCACGCTGGAATATCCGCACAATGCAAGACTCTGACAAAGCTGACCAACCACAAGGATGCTCAGCACTGGTGGAAGAAGAACTAGCCTGACTGGACATTCACATTGCTGCTCTCTGCAGGGTGCACTTTGCAAAACAAGGGTCAATCAAGGAGCATGGAGCAGGATACACCTTATACTGGTCTGACATAAGCAGGGAGGATCATCGCCTTTCCAGAGAAGGCTTCATGTTGAAGAACACGCTGGCTAGCAAGCTGACCAGCCTCCCCCTAGGACACTCAGATCACCTCAAGCCCTTCCACCTTACCCTCCAAGGCAATCAATTCACCACCATCATCAGTGTGTATGCTCCCACACTCATAGCAGACCCTGCGACCAAAGAGGCCTTCTACATCAACTTAAGGTCCCTCCTCTGAAAAGTAGACAGCGGGGACAAGCTCATCATCACGGGCAACTTTAACATAAGAGTGGGACAAGACTACACTGTATGGCCAAGAGTTCTGGGATGCCATGGATTTGGCTACTGCAACGCCAACGAGTGCATGCTGCTGGAGCTATGTGCAGAACAGGGACTACAGGCTGATGTTGACTACAAAGACTGGCAGTTGCTTGCACCAGACAGGGTCGAATGGAGGTCAAATACGCAACTCAGCAGTTGGAGGACTCCATAGTGAACACTGCTAAGGAGAAATGCAAGCATCGAAAGGAGTTGGCCAATCAAACAACACCCCACAGCAATCAGACCTTCCCCTACCCCAACCATGTCAAAAATGTGTAAATCTTTCTTCTCACTGATCCTTGGAACGTGAGGAATCTGCCCATCACCATCATCAATTAGTAAGTTGTGTTAGTATCTTTACTTATGAAGAGTGGGAGTAACCAAACACGAGAGGGGGGGAGGGGGGAGGGGGGAGACTTGGTTTAACACTTGTTTCTCTACTATATTTATCAGAGGAGTCTCCCAAGAGACCCATGGCCCTTGAATAGGAACATGACTTCAGTTATTTGGGAGTACGGGTTACGATACTTTTTTCCCCCTTTTACAACAGTGGGTTGCCTGTGGTATACCTTACCCCATCAAAATACTCTTTGAATTTGTTCTCCACCGTCACCCACTTTCCACTTCCTGCCTCTCTACTATCGAAAAGACTCGTGTAAAAAACATTATTGACATCTGTCAAATTGTACACACATATGGCTGATGATGGCGGGCCATTGCTGGAAAAAGAAGTGAAAGAAAATTCCAATGGGTATTACCAGAGATTAAATAAACTAGCTTGCAGTAATTTACTAGGTAATTCATTTCCCTCAATGTTTTTGTTATTTTTCGTTTTTTTTTTCTTCTTGGGGAGAGGGAAGTGTCATTATTTGCGAATTCCCAAATGCAAGCTCTAGATTTGCAATTTGCAACTTGGAAAGCAATTCTTTACTGACCTACAAAGTTAACCCTCTGACCTGTTAGAATGATTAGCATTCAGTTTCTCATTTTTACCCCTCAATCACCCATTGAGGTCATGCGAGTAAAGGAAATGATCCAAACTAAAGAGTCCCACACCCAAAGAAAAAACACTTTCAATTTTTTCCAATTCTATTTATCTGCACCTTTTTCTTAATTTAATTCTTGTATTTCCTTCAACAATAGCTACCCAAGAGCAGAATGGAACTTATGAAATACTTACGGATGAGAGGTGAAAATTGCATGAAACAGGTTGGTTTCTGAATCCCACCAAACATCCTCTGCCAAAGAAATAACATAACAAAGTCAGTTTTCTTTGCTGTATTACACCACAGCAAAGGCCTAAATTATTTCCTCATGAGTCAATACGTATCTTGTACTGTGTTAACCCTTTAACCCTTTCACTCCCAAAATCACATTAGCAATTCTCCTTACTGTCTACCATACAGTTCTGGTGATGTTGGTTTGGAGAATTTGGTATTGGGTCAACTTATATTCCCTTAATTTCTATTTTTCTTTATTCTCATCCCTTGTCTGCTTGACATTGTATTGATATTGTAAAGAGAAATTCTGTCTTGGTCACTCATGGGAGTTAAACTGTTAACCTCTTAGAGCGACTAGCATCTAATTTCTCTTGACAACATCATGCCCAAATAGGAATAAGAATAAAGGAAATGATCACCAATTAAAAGAAGCTCTTGATTGTTAAACTCATTCTTCTTGTCAGCACCTTAGGCAATCTACAGCATAGAGTACAGTTTGGAGAATATGCTATCTAATATTAGGGTACAATGGGTTAGGTCAATCTAAATGGCACATAAATATCATTCCCTGGTTGCCTTACCATCAAGTTTCCTTCTCAGCATTATATAATAATATGCCATATTTAATACTAAAAGTCACTTACGAATTTCATTGAAATAAACTGGATATTCTCCTCCATCAGAACAAACAAGTTTGGCCTTCTGGTAAGTTATAAAGTACTTTCTGAGGGTAGACTGACCAGCATAGTCACCCTATAGAGAGAGAGAAATTTCTCATGATGAAGAACATCAATAAAACATACTTAACCCTTTAACTCCCAGAAGTGATTAACATGAAACTTCTCCCAATTATATCCATACAGTATCCAGCAAAGGGCAAACGAGAATACCCAAACTTATCAGGCAGAAGTTGTTATCTTGATCTTATACCAAATTTGCCTGACTGGTTTGCCAGGAATTGTGTAAAAGCCTGAGGGGAAAATTAACAATCAGATCTTGGGAGTTCACAAGTAATGACTGAGTATAGTTTGGACAGAGGGGAAAATGCTTGATTCTTAATCGTGACATGTGCTTAAAGGTTTAAATAGAAAGAGCAGTGGTCATATGATAAAGTGCTTTATTGGTGAGTCAGACCTGCCCTGACTCACCAATAAAGCACTTTATCATATGACCACTGCTCTTTCTATTTAAACCTTTTTCCTTGCATTTTATCATCTTGCATCTTGAAGGGCCTTATGCTGAGCCACCCAACTTTCTCCAGCTCTGTTTCATGTTTTTGAATGAAAGCCCACACAGGGCAGTACAGGTCATATCATTATATCTAATCATTGTTATTGGTCATTTATCTAGCATGCTTCAATTTATTAGCTGCCATACTACAGCAATTCATTTTTTCAAAACTATCTATCAGATTTTACTTCCCAGATCCTTGGTACAGATATGTTACAATTATGAAAAAAAGCTTCCTTGTACCTTACATATACGTGCTACCCTGGAGACTTTATATTTTCCACAGCTCATACATTCCATTGTCCGCTCGCGAAAAAAGATGTACACATATTTCCCAATGATGAAACTCTTGACGAAATGTACATCTGCATGAATAAAAGTTTAAAAAGATTAAGTGCTGAAAATGTCCTAAAATGCTGGAAGAACAATTACGTCTAACTATATGCAAATTGTTCAGCATCATATTCTTGGCCAAGCCACTGAAAGCACTCATTGTGCAAATAGCACTTATCTAGATTTCAATGCCAAGAAAACAAATATCTTCTGAATCCAGACCATCATTAACACATAAGGAGGGTCTTCACCAGACCATGGAGGGCATGCAAATGTAAACAAATAGAACTGAATTTGCAGCAACCCTATGCAACTACTCCTGGCATTATTTATTGTCACTAATTATTCCCACATAAATATTGATCAAACTTACCAGAGTAAAAGTCACTTTCAGACATAAAATCAGTGGACACTTCACTGATTCTGGGCTTAAAACTTTTACCATGAATCATGGATATTCTTGATGCTAAGTTTATTGTTCCTCTGAAGACTCTCCCATTTTCTGTAAAAACCCAAACAAAGCAGAAAACTTAAAAGTTAAGAATCAGGCGTTTTTAACTACCTAGTCTCAAATTATACACAACTCACATACCTTTTGTGTTGTTCCAGATACAGAACCAAATTATTACATTACTTAACTCTTTAAGCCTAGAGATTAGATTGTTAATTCTCCCCTCCAGCTACTACCTATCTCCTTGCAAATTAATAACAAGAATTTGGTGTTTGATCAAGATAACTATTTCTATTTCAGGGTTAACAGTGACTCTTCTGAGACAGGCTCTTCAGTGTCAGTTACATAAGAGGCATTACAGAGGAGAATGGAAAATGAAAGAACCAGAATATAGCTTTGTAGTGCAAGTCAAAAAACCAGAACCTTAGCTAAGGTCCATTTCCCTGCAGTATTCACCATTACTAACACAGCACGCAGTCTTCGTGTTCAATTTTAGTTTTAAATCTCTACAACAATAGCAACCACTTCACAAGGGCAACAAGATGAAAACACATCTTTACTGCCAAATTCATTTTGTCAATAATCTTTTTGCTGTTCTTTGATTGTAGGTTTGTTGTCGTAGATACTTGTACTAATAATTTTTTGGTTATTGAAATTTTCAAGCATGAATTGTAACCTAGTTTGAAACAAACTGATATTTACACCTTGCTTGTCAGGCTTCGGTTGTTAGAAGGCTCGATAACACTGTCCAATGCATAAATCTCTCTCCAGTGATTAGCCAAGTACATTTTTTTTTTACCCATTGTGCACTGGACAGTGATTTATACAATGGAAAACAATATTATTTTAGAATTTGTCACATCCTTTCTTGAATGCACACTTAATTTGCATACCCAAAAAGCATTAACCTTCCTGAGGATTTCTCATGATCTATTAAGTGTAGTGGGAATTCACCCAAATAAAGTGATCTTAACACAAACCTGTTATAACACCCGTGTCATTTTGACTTGGTGTGCTATAATAATTTTCATCAGCTATAAACACATTCTGATTACTATCTCTGCCTGGAGCTGCATTCAAATTCGTCCTCTGAAAACAATAGAGAGACTAGTGAGTGATTTAGAGCAGAAATTCTTGAGAAAAAAGCTTCAACCACCATTAAAATGAGCACATTTCTACCGTAAGAGAAGAAAATTCAGATGTAAATCCAAACAATCTGATTGGTTCTTACTTCGCTGTCTTGGTCTGTATTTTGCCATAGCAACTGTTTCCATGTAAACAGTCATAAGCCATGTATTTTTGGTAGCAAAGGCTGGCAAATTCAAATTAATCAAGTTTGGCCTGGGTGCCATACAATAAACAACTTGATAACCTTGTTTGCTTGAGCTATACTGGGGTTTATTAGCCATTGGTCCACACTGCCACAACCTCACGTCAATATTCCCCAGTACAACCCTTGGGCTCAGTAAGTACGACATTAGTCTTCACCTCCCACTTGAGACATCCTTTTTTTTATAACTTCATGCAAGACACTTCTTTCCCATGTTATTTCCAACCCTTCATATAACTCTGATTTTTTTAAAAGCTTGGTCCCTAAATATTGACTTGCTAGTTTTAAATGTTTTTATCCCAATCTGGACCTTAACTTATGGAGGCCAAGGCATCAAAATTATAATAAACTTGACTGGCAGGAGATAGAGGTCTCACGATATTCCTGCTTTTCAGGGAACTGAGAACCTGCTCTCAAGTTCCTTTTTATCTGGATTCAATAAGATGGTACATAATTACTTACATTTCTCCAGATACAGCCCCTTGTCAGACAGATAAATATCCTCTCCTCAAATGGCAGCATTAACTTCACATAGTTATGGCATGAAGGATCCTGCAATCGAGATGTGATAGACAACACTTAATAACAGCACTCAATCAGAAAAAATATATCTGGGGTAATTTACATAACTGACTAATTTACATGGGGGCATGGACCCTCAGGGGGTGGAGGAGTGTGTCAAAAAAAGACTCCATGGAAAATAAAAGAAAGCTTGTCATCTCATGCACAATGCAGATCTCACATTATGGTCCTTTGAGGGAGGATTCACAAAGAAATTTAAAAAAAAGAGAACATTACAGATTTTGGAATATTTGCTTGTAAGTGTTTTGAGGAACATAGATGGGAAGCTATACTTTGTAGTTTCATTACAAGACAGCTTACATTTCCTAGATTACTAAACCCCTCCCTCGGCTTCCTCCTACCCAGTCTGTTAAAATTCTGGGGTCCATCTCTTTGCCAGGGAAATTTGGTGAATTTTGAAAAGCCATATCATAAATTGCATCACATTTCAATGAAAAAGAGTCGGTGTTAACTTAAAGGTAATTAATCACAAAGCTCACAAAATGTGTATACATTGTATAGCAATTTATCATTTGAAGCTGTATAATTACCTGTCTTTTATCACATCCAAGGCTTTGGGTGGTCAAATTCCAAGACTAAATGAGATAAACAAATCTAGTCATTAGTACTCATTAAAAACACACCAAGTTTAACATTAATCTGAGAACAGCCATCTCAAAACAGTACTGCCAAAATTAGCCCTTACTTCAACACTATTTATGTTTCCCAGATCCACTAGGAGTGCATTGTCTCTGCAAAACATAACATTAAATATATGCAATATCCGCTTCAAGATGTCTACAAAACAGTAAAACATCAGAAAATGAATCTTAAATAATCAGGTCATTATGGCACCATGAAAAAAATTTTTAGCCTAATAACTCACCTTGCTCCTACAAGTAAGCGATTATACTTGATGTCAACTGACAATACTGAGTAGTTTCCAATCTTTATTCCTCCTGTTTTCAGTGTCTCCAGGTGGGGCCTGATATCTGGGAAGGTAACAGAATTAATTGACAAAACTTTGGTTCCTTTGTTCCTTACATAACCAGAAATCAAAAGCAAGCATTATGGTGAGTGCAGAGTCTTGCTTCTTCACTCTTAAACTTGCAAGATCTGATACTTAACAAATCTTCTTGCTGTTATGTGTGAAACCTATATTTCCTTTACAGTTCATTCAAAAAGCTTTCACCCAATCACCCCCAAAGTGATCATAGAATAATTTCTCCTTGCAGTTATCAATACATTGACAAGAATAAAGATAATAAAATGAAAAAAGCAATCTCAGGGATATTGCTTGATTCAACACCAAATCCTCAGAACTTAAATCATAAAAAAATGCTTGGCAAATAGAGATGAGAATTGATAATAAGATCTTGGGAGTGAAAGGTTTCGGTATTCTTATGTCAGTGCAACAACCTCCAGCTGATAATTTTGTCTATTTTCATTGATTGTGTACTAGAAAATGCAAGGATTTTATTCATCAGGGGTTGCTGAATTCTCTACAAAAAAATTGAAATTCCCTTCCCTATCTTAACTTCAGATGTAAAAAACATTATCCTCTCAATCTAAACACTCCTTCAGCATTCTTTAAACCCGATTATGCATTGAAACAGTGAATTTACATGTTCGTCACTTCTAAGGAATTTAGGAGTTGAGTCATCTGTGTAGCCTAGGCCACAAAGGGGGCAAAAAAATTCTCCCAAGAAACTATATGCCGTCAACAATGGCCTCCATATTTTTAAAACCTACATACACAAGCTAAGAATATCACAGGTTTCAAATCAAAAATCACACCATAAATAGTTGATGTGTATCAGATAAACCATTACCTAGGGAAAGGTATTAGCTATAATCAAATATTTTTAAGCCATAACTAGGAAATAGATCATCTGCTTTTAATAGTTTTTAGTTCTACGATAAATAAGATCTGATATGTTAATCCTATTTTATTTCTAAGAAGTCAAGATTTTAGAAAAGCTTGTGGATTAAGAGGCAAGGAAAAAATTCCTTCTTTAATTAATGACTTGGTCATCATCAAACGGGTAACAAGGTGGACTTCAGATACCAGAGATACATTTCTGCAAATCTCAACATGTCATAGCTATTTTCATTTTGATAAATTTATGAAATTGTAAGAAAAGTAACTTGTATCAATATTGTAGATTAGACTCCTGTTAGGCATGGAATGGATTTCTTGTCACAAAGTATTCTTGTGGCATATAATGAAAAGTATGACTGTCCAAGTTTAATGCTGTTGGCTAAAAGAGGAGCACTAAGGAGTCTCCTCTTATCATAATGAGGATCTGCCAAGGCTTTAACACCAAAGAACAGTCCTAAGACTAATACAATTAGCTCCTGTCCTATTTTACTTGACATGAAAGAAACTAAACAGCTAATTGATTCTTATTTCACTGGCAGAACAAACACTTTTAATTAAGAAGTACAGTTTAAAGTCCCACAAAATCACTTCACCCAAACAATAACAGAATCTAAATTTGTAGAATGCAATAAATGTTGAGACAACAGTGATCCTTGTTCATTTACAAATCACCAAATTCATCTTGTTTATGGAATCACAGCCAAATAAACAACACATTTTAGAGTTTGTTTGTGTGAACATATCTGTGCAGTAATTTTTTTGATCTCCAATCAGCCAATCTGTCAGTTTAATGTAACTGAATTCCTTAATTTAGCACTAATTACCTTTGCAATGCAAGATAACAAATGGACAGACATTTTGGCTTCAAGACTATCAAAAATTAGTTTCCCTCATGTTGCAACAAGTAAACGAGTTTCTTTTCACATTAAGAGTAAGTTCTTTGTAAAATACTTTAGGTCACTCATCTTATAAATAAGTAAAATACCGGTTCGGTATTAACGAATCAGGATGTATTAAAACGTAATTTAATTATAGCATGCAAACTACGTGATTGTGTTATAATCAGCTTGTAAGGTAAGTGATACATTTGGAACCTCTTGGCCGTCAGGCAAACCACTTACATATGTCTCATATAAGATTGTTTCACAAAGGAGGGTGTATTCCTAATCCAAAGTGGAATGAGACTTGATAACAACAGTCCAAAATGTTATCAAGTCCATTATCTTTACTACAATATATCCAACCAAATTCCCACTTAGTCATTTCTACCTGAAATTTTAAAATGTCAAGGAGATCTAAGGGTTACTACGATTTGGTCTATTTAGATCTTTAGGATGATGAAATGTAAATCAAAGCTTTGAAACCTCAATATCTCTGAGGAATTTAAATAGACTTTGGCACAGTGAGGTCTTTATAAAGTAGACTTGATATTAGGCAAACACAACCTTCATTAACTCCTTAACTCCCAGGATCTAAGAATCAAGTCTCAACTCCATCTGTTGCCCATTTCTATTTATTTTAACTTTGAGAAATTCATGTCCAACCAAACATTATCCCCTAATTGATACTTTTCTAACTTCTTGCAACCTTTCTGCATGAAAATGTATTGATATCACTGGGAGACATTTTTTCCCCTCACTCACAAGGGTGAGAGAGTTCAACAGACATTAAACATACTCCAATTTTGTCTTAGTTCCCACATTTAAAGTTAAAACTCCCTTTAAGCGATCTTTTTAGTAACAAATATAACTTGCACAAGAATAGACTCACAACATTTGATTTAAATAATTAATTAGCCAATGGTGCCTATCATGGAAACTCCAACAGACTAAACAGTTAAGGTTGGCATTATTGCATATTACCATACCCTGTATGAAGGAAACAAAGGCATGGGTCTCAAGAGTAATGAATCAAAACAGCTTTGATTGTTCTACACAGAAAAAGTTAAGGAAAACAGCACCTCAAAGGAAAAATTCACATTTCATTTACAGATGCCAGTCTAGTAACTAAAAGTACTTGTCACTTCAAAATTTCTCTGATCACCCCTAACATTGATATATATATTTTTAGGAACCATCTCCCGCTCCAGAACACAGCTATTGATGACTCCAAATTTGTTATTTCAAAAACTAAAACACAGTGTTGTCTTGAATCAAGACATTTCCCATGAAAATTATGTTTGATTGAATAGATCCTATGCAAGTATATTCAATTTGTTATAAAGACCAAAAGCAAAATAATTTGATCAGATAAACATTGATTAGTTTTGCTTTAGGGTAAAAGGCAATTTTTTCATTAACTAGACCATGAAATCAAAATGGGTGGAAATGATTTCCATTATATCTGGAAGGAGCCTTTTTAGTTAGCAGAACATTAATCAATAACTGACAGCTGTACACCAAATTAGTAAGTGGCAAACTCATTATCTGCCAAAATCCTAGAATACCACGACAGACAAAGAGATGAAATTTTGCAAAAAAAAACAAATTACTAACTCTTGTCCTTAGCTTTATTGATACCTTAATCATGTTCTGGTTGAATCCCAGTCACCCTTTAACATCAAGATTGGAAACAAACTTCTTTCAATGATATTCAAAACACTGAATCAAACTCCAGTCATTATATTATCATCTGGAGAGGCTCTTCAACATAGAGACAGTTGAACCCCCAAATATCACTGAGCCTTTGTGTTTCCTTAATTTTGCCTGCAGCTAAGTAGACAAATTTAACCATATCCCATTTTCATTCAATTTGATTTCAATAACAAGTACAATTTCTCAGTGGTCTAGAAGGAACTCATTCATAATAGATGTTTGTTAAAATTGTTCTTTTACAATTCTACTGTTGAGAGGGTCATGGCACACTTTAGTATGCAACACAACACACTCCTAACCCAATATCAAACAAAGCCAACCATTGTGCACAAGTCAATTTAACCAAAATCCAACCATTAAGCACAAACCATTTTTTTAAGGCAATGCTACCATACAAAACAAAGGCATCAGTGTTTGTGCAAGGCTGAAGTAGTCAACAACACTAGAGCCCTTTTCAATATCATAGCACAGTTCATAGTACAGAACATTTGGCAAGATTGTTATTATTTCACACCATGTTTGTTGATATTTTTCAAAAAAAGTTGGCAAATAAGTTCCTTGATTTTCTTGTTGTGGGTATCTCTTCTAAAATTCTCAGAGATATGCAAGGAGAAACAATATTTGAAATTAATAGACTTGCCTAGGAACAACCCTGGATTGAAATTTTAATGCAGCCTGTATTACCCAAAATCTGACCCTTTACATCTAAAAATACACATGTAGTTCCATCTCTGTGTTTTATCAACATTTAAAGACAACGCATGGCGTTAAGCTGTGTTATTTTAACCTATCCAATAAAACAAGTGCAATAACTTTGAAAAATGCAATTGCTCATTACAATTTAATTGTTGCTCAATTTTATTCCAATCAAAGCTGAGAAATATTCTGATCAATTAGGTGAACTCATAAAATAAGGAAAGCCTCCGCGTTGGTTGCAATGTAATTTTTGTTAAGCTTCCTTTGTTTACTTTACAACTGTGCTAATGAAATGCCGATGAAAAGCTAATTGATACCAGACTACAAGCTCCAATGCTTCTGCGTCTAAAATTTCACTCCAGTGCAAATACAACAAAGCGTACCTTCAGAGGAGGAAAAGTCACGCCAAAAAACAGTACATATACAGGCTTATTCCGCATGAAATTGCATAGTATATGACGAAGTCTCAAACTATTCAATCAACTTGAAACAAAAGATGTTTTACCGCCACTCACAAAACATACAATACATTTGCATTTACTACAGTGCCTCTATTTACAACCTGGTGTTTTAAATCCTCATATGGTTTGTAAAGCAAATAGCTCTGATCCTCTCAGAAGGGGTATACGCATTGAGGTATTTCGTGTTTTTCCCTTTCGTGCAGCCGTTTGCATCAGTAGTGGGTAGCAATATCTGATAGCTAAGTAAACTTTATCAACCAAGTTTCACCTGCTTCCCGACGCAAAATATTTTTAACAGCCAAAACATTGAATAATTTTGAAGCGCCATATTGATTTTTGTACAAATTAATTATGTAGTGATGCAAGGACCAAGCAAAAACGCTCTTTAATGTCGAAGAATTTCAATATCTTCAAACTGATTTAAAATAACTTTGTGTAAACTATGAGATTCCCTCCGGCTGGGATGGTTTATTGTAGAAATACACTGTTCAAGAGGGTATGAAGTTTCCAAAACAACCCTCTTAAGAGGCCTTCCTTAGTCATCACCGAAAACACCGTGACAATACAACGCCAAAATAGATGAAAACTGACAGAAATGTCTCCGTACGTGAAAGCAGAATCTTGCGCTAGCGTGATTTTCATTCAACAACTCGCATGTAGTTTCATGATAGTACGAGGACGGGTCGTGTGTGCACGAGTAGAGAACATACCTTCGAATTGTGTTCTTGAGTGCGGTTCTCTGTTGGACGCCACCACAATGCATCCAGATAATATTGCGAAATGACTCAGAAGTAGCATATACAGCCCGTTCCGTTGCTTCATTTCTTACAGTTGGGCTGCAAATTGATCAGACGATAGATTTGAGAACCATTAAAAACCATCACAATGGCTACATTAGATACATGAGAAGTAGTAGGTAGTAGTGTTACAAGACTAGACGCACGATGCGATATCGTACTCAGATTTCATAAAACAAACCACATTGTTTGCAGATAAAATAATTCTGCGTAAATTTTAACGTAACAAATACGACAGGACCGTTTTCACGTAAAAATATTGTTGACCTCGATGGAAAACTTACATTCTACGCACTAAGTGTCGCTAAAAGTTCGAACAAAAGGTAGTAGTTCACTGAAATATAATACTACCAAGATAATTTGCCCTGTTAACTACAAAGCGTTCTTGACTCCTGGATTATCACGCATTGTGCTAAAAGTTTCGCCTTCTTGTTGAAATAAGCCCTGAAACTGTCAAGATGGTTGGACGCACCGACCGTTAATCGTATACAGGAATGTAGTTGGAGTGACTGCAACAATCAATCGACACAAACGGAGTCCATATACGGACAAATAAATCATGATGGTTTCACAGTTGTATTTATACTCACTAAAACACTGTTGCTGAAATCCTTAATCAAACCAATTATGCACTTCGACTTTTCACAGATTGTGTTTCTCCTATGAATTCTCAACGACAAACTTTGAGTGTGTTGAGCCAAAATGAAGCCAGAAGAAGACTTGCTTATATATTCCGGCAAATTTCGCGTTTAACATCGATGAATTCGATCACCCAGGCAATTAAAACTTCTTAAGGATAGACTGAAATATTCAATACTCGAGAACGTAGACGTTTGGTCTCGGTTTTCGACTAGAAGCTCACTGGTTCTTCTTATGCATTTAGGTATGTTGACAAATGAAACACTTTAGCAACGCCATGTTCCATTGGTGGAGAGGTCAATACTCGAGTGCTAAATTCATTCGTCGTCATTTGCATTTGAACCTTTTTGCCGCTCATTCGATGAGTGAAATGAACGGTGACATCACGCATTGTTTAAGATTAAGCGATGAAAACTACGCAATAGCTCGTAAAAATTCAATTTAAACTTGACATATGCCGTAACACTAAGAGCTAGAACCCACACAAATGTAAAATTACCATAATATAATCGCATCTGGCGCTTCGTACCTTGAGATCTTTCTTGTCCTGTACGTTTGAATATTTATTAAAAGAATCTATTCTTTCCCACACCAAAGTACTAATTACAGGCTTTCCGAAATAAAGTGGATACCACAATAAACCGCAAGTGATGATTGTATTCTAAAAAACTTCAACTGTGGGCTTACCTCTTCCCGTGCAAGTTTACCACTTCCTTTGTGTTCAGTTGCCAAGCTGTTCTTCTTGGTCTGACGTCGTGGGTAAGCTTTCCAAAAACAAAAACAAAGCATTAAGACTCAAAATTCAATTTGGCCTTCTCTTTGTCTTACTTCTGTGTAAAATTCGCTTTCGAAAATTGTATCGGCAGTTACACAGCAAACCGCCTCGCCATAATCATAGACTTGTTACGTCACGTACGCACTTGAATACATGACAGGCATTTATGCGTCTGATCCAAAAAGGTTTATAATTGCGGGGGAACTCACAAACAATTACGGCAGCTGCTTCTTTTCCACACACAGCGCATTAAACTAATATTCAGCGGACTGCATTCCTCTTGGCTGATACCCTTTCAACGTTTTTCAATCAAATGCACTTCGCCTTACTTCGGAAATCTGGTTTTCATTCACACTCGTTGGATTAGGCTACAGTCATGGTGGCAGGGGTCGCAGTTTAAGTCCACTCACTTGATGTCTGCTACTGGCCAATGCTCCTACAAAATTCAAACTGTGCAGTTCAAATCTTTTCAATTCTCCTGCGAAGACAAATTCATAAATTCTCTATGAAAATCTTTATTCTTGCCATATGTCGGCGTGCTTCGACACCGTACACCACACGATTAGCGGGTGGAGAACAAAAGACCTCCTTCCGCCTCCATAAAATTACCCAACGTGATCACTAACCATAACCCAACGGGTTGCTTTTGTGAGTCAAATGAGAGCTAATCAACTAGCAAACGCAACAAAAGCCGTAAAAAATTCTACTAGAACAATTCACCTTTCGAATTCGTCGCGTGGAGCAATCAATCAAGCCCGTTCCAGGTCTCTGCGCGTTTTTTATGTCATATAGCACGTCAGCAAACAACAGTGTTTTAACGAATATCGATAACGATCTTGTTTCATCGGGTAAAAATGTCAATCAATTTAGTAGCACCTCAGTTCGCAAAGTCTCTCTGTGCGACGGCTGTTGAGGGGGCCCTCCATTATCTTCACCAATGGTAATAAAAGAAACTTTAATCCTGCTCAGGTCGCATGTTCACACACGACAATGAAGAACTGAATTAACTCACCGCCTGAAAGTCAGTGTATTTACTTTTAATTCTAAAGCTTTAATAAATCATTCACAAATGACACCCACAGCCATTCAGAATATTTTCAAGGACGCCGACCACTGATGTTCTGTTCTATGTCATTCCTCGCTCATTTCGATTCTTTTCCGCATAAGCGAGACTTATCGTGGGGGTTCACTTGTTAGAACACTGATTGAATATCGCTCTTCAAAAACATTACTTTTTTGCTCCAAGAAGTACTCGATCTTTCGAAGATGTTAACAAAGTTGACGTACAATTTTCATCGCAATCTTAAGAAGGATTACCGGGCAATTAGTTGAAAATTTGTTCTTTACCGCACCCGAAACTCCTGTTTGTTCCGATTACGTTTGTTTGGTTTTGCTTTTTGTTAATTACTCCTAATTTCCTGCCTTTTAACTTCTGCAACACACAGATGCCAAATGGAATTCCTGATATTCTAAAAATAAGCAAAAGAAACTATTTAATGAGCGCAAAATAAACAAATATATTATGTGATTGTCGCTTGAAAACGAGGAACAATTGATCGGATGGAATTGCCACACTGACGTAAAATTTGAGGAAATACGTCATCAATGGTGGGTCTCGCAAAAATTGCTTGAAATTCCTTAATAAGCAAACGGTTCCCTTTTGTATTTCACACCTAAGCCGTTGTTTCAAAGGATAACTTTCCTTAGGGCCTGATTAGGCAAAGAAACTAAACCTCAGAAAAAGTCTTAACGAAAACAAAACCAATATATTCTTAGGAGTTTGGAAACGGAAGTTGAAAAGAAATGACGTTAAAACATCAGAAAACGAAAAAAAGAAAAATGGAATTTCAGAGAAAGATCACAGCTAAAATTTCTCGTCAAAGGATGCCTAAGTCTAACAATGACTCATAAGACGCAATGCACAAAACAAGAAGAAGCATGTGGAAGCAAGCACGTGCTAATGCATCTTTCAAGCACATGTACGTTCCAGGGTTCCCAGAGCCGTTCGAGAATTTTGAAGCCATCGGCGTAAACCATGTACAAGATTATTTCGCATGTCATTGACTGAATAAACTTCGACTCAATAAAAAGCCGCTGATCGGGAATATGGGATTCCCTCCCAAACAATGACTTCCTCGAGCACGTACCTCGGTCCTCCTCAAGTCGCGGGAAGGAAAAAAGGCTGTGCTCGAGAAAACGCCGACTGGGAAGCCACGCCAAACTGAACTCTGAAAATGTCAGCTTATTTTCGGTGAAACTTGATTCAAGTTTTTCAGTATCTCAAGAAAAAACTTCCGACCTTATAGCTGATATTACTCTAACTTAGAAGAAAGTCGTTGCTCCAGATCTGCCACACTTACGTAACCGTCCCACGATCAAGACGAGACACAGTCAGTGTCCACTCTTGTGATGTAATACGTACATCCTGATTTATCAAAATTCGTGCCAACGAGAATAACTTCAAACAGATTTCCATGCACTCTTTTTTGTTATAGGGATATTTTTCCAGCAGAATATTGAGGCTGAAACTGGGCGATTACGTTCACAATATATATAAAACTAAGGCTCCATTAAAATCATAAATTTCTGTTCGTTCTCTATTTTACACTCAAAGGATTTGGTAAACTCTCTCTTTTTTTCAGAAGAAATTAGCATGATTTAAACCGTACCCAATTTTGATCAAAAAATGTATAAAATTTCCGCGATAGCTGGTCATTTAAAACGATCAAGAATCATGATTATGTAAGAAGTTTAATGGTGTCAATGATGATTAACTATAAATTTTTATTAATGTAGCAATGTAGCCAAGAATATTCAGTTTGGTTCGATCAAATCTATTCAAAATGATATCTAAAAGAGTTCATTGTTACATAAAAGAATGTAAATAGGGCAATGGAAAAAAGTGCTTAGGTGCATTAGAAAATCTCGAAAAATAAAAAATAAATAGAGTGAAGTTCTAATAAACAGGGTCTCACGTATTGGCCTGTCGAGGTGCATGTTACGGATGTATGCAAAAACCTCTATAGTGAACATACCTCTCAATTACAATTGTTTTAAAAACGTTCTTTGGCTTCCCGTCGAGTTGCTGTGGAGAAGGAAATCAGAAAACTCTGTTTGAACGAAGCTTTCCCTATTTGCTTTTCATTGTTGTTTTGTCTGAGCGATGTGAGTTTTAATTTTTTTTTCTGCCCGGTTACCAATACTTACAGCCGATCAGATGACTATCACATTTTAACCGGTTTCAATCCTCCTTTTATGGTAAGATCTAACCTGTTGTATGATCTTCCATTCTACCCCGGCTGTTCCTCATTTGTTTATAAATCAGTCAGGAGAATTTGTTATTTGATAAAGATACCTTCCATTCGCTAATAATTTTGTGTATTCTCATGAACGTTCCACTGGATAATGTTTTAAAATTGTGAGGGGAACTTGCAACTTGATCGATTCTGCTGACACTCGAAAGGGTTCAAAGAAGGAAATATCCACTCAAAAAAAAAACAGTTAGTGCGTGATGCCAAGATTTGATCGATAACCACTATGATACTCGTGCGAACACATGATTTACTCAGAAACAAACATTTCCAGGCTATTTTTAGTAAATTAATGTTAAATTGTTGTCAAGCTATCGTTATCGAAGATGGTGGAATTTCGATTGCGATACGCACGTCTACATTTAATCAAGTGCCTGACGAAGACCAACGTTGTGGCAGTCGACAGCCAGTTAAGCGCTGTGATGTTCAATTCATAGCTTGACCGTACAATTGAGGGTGACTTGGATTATAATATATTGTGAAACGAAACGAAACGAAACCAGGCGAGATATAACAAAACTAAAGGAATAATTCCTATATATTTTATAATAAGGTAAAAATAACTTTCACACGGATTTTGGAGTATCGTTAATTAACAATAACGATTTTTATTCATTTCGCAAAGTGGTAATCTAAGAAGAGTTACTATTTTGCGAAATCGACTAATAGTCCATTTCGCAAAATAGTATCTCACCAAAATAGTATCCCACCTAAAATTACTATTTCTTTTCGTTTCGCAAAATAGAATAAGCCGAGTGACATGAGGCATACGGTGAGTTATTCATTTCTAATCATCTCCACGAAAAACAAAAACATTTTCTATCGACAATTTTTTACGGTCGGTAATGAACTCCCTACGTTATGGGATTATAACTACTTACGACAAATTGCATTAAATTTTCTTAACTGGAGAATTAAAAAGAAATCCAATAGACTCCTCGAAGAAATAGTAACCCTGACCAACACACTTAGTTTCCAATTGCAACAAATATCGACAGAGCGCAGAAAGGAATACCGTTGCCAGATCCGCTATCATTGGAGAGTGCACACGGGGTAATCTATCGTCTAGACTTATCTCTTGAAATGTGGTGTGTCAAGAAAAGGTGTGACCTTTTTCCTCCGATCTGCTCTCGAACCGACCAGTGCCAAGAAAAACAGAAACTATATACCTTTCTTGATCAGCAGCCAAGGCGCGACTCTAAAGGGGTGAAAAGGCAACAAGGAATTTTCTTTCATACACTCAGCTGGAAAGATTAAACATAAATCAATTGAATTGGGTGTTAAAAGGGTACCTGGGATGAAAATGTAATTAAAATCAGGCGCCTTCACGGATAAATTCGTTTCTAAAGCTCGACATGTTACTGATCTCCTAACTAGACCAATCTCGTACCCAGATCCTACAGTGTACCTGAAATGGCCGTGGAAGGTCTGGGTAGGAGATACGCTCAGACTGCCTGCCTGCCTGTGGTTTCCCATGCGTTCTATTTCTGTTTGTCTGAAGTGATCGCATCAAAGCGATTCTTTGAAGCCTCCTGAGGAAAGCTGAATAATGAATATAGCTGAGATAAAAAATAAAAAAAAGAAACGAAGCGTGCAATTTACGAAGTGGAACACTATTGTTCAGTATGGGATATTTCAATGAGCCTTGCGTGAGGTAAAATGCGGGAAAACAGTCTCGAGACCGCAATAAAATCTCCATACATGTTTATCCTAGCTGTCAGTCAAATATCCCGACACCTTGGGAAAAACATTTTTATACTAAAATGGCGGTATGCTTAGTAAAAGTGCCACCAGACCAAGACATTATCTCTGTCCGAGTCCGACTTCGTCAATTACCAACGTCTAGATTTTACGATTACGTTGTTGTCGTTGAATTAATACCATAATCAAATGCGAAAATATAGCCTGATTTGAACTTGTTAATGGACTATTAGCGTAAAGAAAACTGAGAAAAAGAAGCAAAACTTTGACTGCGAGAGACTGAATACATCTGCTCTGCTATGCAGCGATTCCACTTTCGTAAAATTATCATATGGACGAAAAGGAAGTAAATAATTCCGAGAAACGACGGATGGTCTAATGGCTAATGGGTTATTTTGGGAAACGGATTAATTACAGCCTTTTCACTCATTCTGACAGACGCTTATGAGTGAACTAGCCACTGAATTATGCAGTCTGTCATGAAGGAAAAAAGGTAAAACAAAATTGTGGTCTCGAAATTCTGAGAAAACAGAATCAGTAGACTTCTTCTTGACTTGGTATAAAAATATTAGTTTACAGCGCGGCGCGAACGGGCGAAAGTGTGTGAAAAATGAGCATCGACTAGTGACATGCATGCTAGTTGGCAAGGCAAATTTCTGGTCGATCTAAAATTAGTTGTAAGTAGAGGAAGATATACTATTTCAAGAAAGGACGGAGTTTTGAGAAATGACCAAGCTCAGAATGCACAAGTGAAGGCAAGCGAATGCTCAGAGTGCACGGGTGAAGGCAAGCGAATATGCCCTTCAACGCCTGACAGACATTCTAGTTGGTAAAGCAAATTTCCAGTTAACGAATTATCATTAGGAAGGGAAGGAAATTATACTATTTCAAAGAAAAGGCGGATGGTTTGAGAAGCTAATTTTAGGGGAGGAGTCTTTGTTCCAAATGATTTGGATTTGTTCCAAATCCAAACCCTTTTAGCATTAAATTGCTTATCACCTGCTGGACAAACAGAAGGAATCATTCAACTGCTGCCAGGGAATTAGATAACAGAGCCGCTCATGCTTAAATTCCCTGAAAACGGTATCAGCTGACTTCCTGTTTGGGCTATTAATCACTTTGTTGCTCCTTGTTTATATTCGCGGGCCGTTTGATTAAAAGGCAGTTAGTACTAAACCGGGGTTAAAAGGTTCTATAGCTTATGAAAAAGCGTATACATTTTCTCTCGTGTGTACATTAGGCTAAAATGCTAACATGGCTAACGTTTCGTTAGGCATCATCCTAGTAAGACGAAAAACTTAACATCATAAAATATAAACAGGGAAATTTCTACATTGTTAAGTAACTTAACGACCAGTTTACTCTTAACCTCGATGAGCTTACTTACGTTCTAAAAAACTCCTTCCTTATTGTACGGTGCTGCACAGCATCGAATGATGCGATCGAAATTAGTCATTTCGTTTTTAAAGCAATTTACAATGGATATAACAAACCACTTAGCTAAAATGATTGGTTACCTTTTTTGGAAGACTGAATCAGCGCTAAAAATTTCCGTTTCACTGCCCTCTTCCTTCGTCTTGGACTTAAAATTTTTCTATCTGTGCCATATAAACATCCTTAAGTAACCTAGACGTTTGTGCCCATGGTTGCAATTGGATGTGAGTGAAATTTAATCAAGGACAACTGGCCTTAAAAATAGTTTCACGTTATAAGTTCTTTTGTTACCTCAATGTAATTATAACTTTCTAGTGGACTCGTGAATCAAACGCGAAGTTTTACAAAACGAAGGCCATTTCGTGATACATACTTTGGTAGTTACAGGTGATATCCTCTGATATTTACATTGGCAAAACTTGTGTGCATTTCTTATGCTCATAATTTAATATTTACTCTTGAAAGTCATTGTGTTATCATAACTCTTCTCAGCTACTCACGAATGAAAACAAGGTGAGAACGAAAAAGATATGTAAATTGTTGTTGCATAGGAGACTGTGTTTAGTTACGTGTATAATCCGGGAATCGAACCCGTTTATGGAAGATTCAGAGATCTCCTACAAGGTACTCACCGTGATCGATAATTTTTCTCAGTCGGTGGCGTACTGCAGAAATTTTAGAGTTCTTTTCGGTTGCACTTTCCTAAGCAATTAAGGGCGTTTCTTTGTACACACTTGTATATATGACATTCGAAATAGAAAGTGAAATGTAAATTTAGTCAGTTTCATCTCCACTCAGCAGGGTCGTGGCAATATCCTAAGTTTCCTTTCTTAGAAATTCCTGGATGAGAAGCTCCTTGACAACCCAGCCTTACTCAGATCTGATTCTCTTCCCTCATCTTCACCCGACCTTTCTCTTCCATCTCTATTTCCCAGAATATTTAATTGTTGCTACCTTAAAACTAAGTTCCATTTCAATTTTATTTAGTTAGTTGTGCCGTAATTTTAATTGATATGAAAACAACATTTACATGTTAATCGGTTCCTCTCGTTTATCAAACGAATAAGTTGGTGATATAAAAGCATCTTTTGAAAAAATCTTTAATCAATACAATTGCCAAAGCTGTCTAAAACAGGTAATACATTTTTTTTAGTACAGGTATAAATATCTTTTTAAAATAGCGTCTTACGCACAGGAAGCTGAGCCTGATTTGGTGTGTTTATCTGATATCCGATGACGTTCATGGTTACAGCTCAACACACTCGATGTTTGACGCAGCAAAAATTGGCTGTCAATCACGCTAAAAGCATTACAGAAAAACACCTTATAAAGACCTTGGAAAAACAATGAAGCTGGCACACCTAGGGATACAATGTCTCGTATATTGTCCTGTATTGTTTCGTGTAGCTTTCAAAAACAAACGATCCTACGTCGCGATCTATTTACTTGCGAAGGTCGTCTATTTCTGGAGCAGAATATGTCTGTAGGTGGCCTATTGACAGAGACGTAAAGCGATAAAAAACCTGTTTGACACTGTTGAAGGTGGTTTCAATAATCACTTGCGCTGAAACAAGCAGAAGGTAAAAAACTTTGACAGTTTTCACCGCAAATATTACAAAGATTTGAAATCCTTATTCTGATCCGATATAAATGCGCTATTGAGTCGAGTCTAGCTTTGCCCTCGTGGCTTAGTCCTTACTTGGAATAATTACGGTAAAAAATTTTCCTAGAATCGATGGCAAAGCTCCTAGTTTACCTCCGGCATTGAGCTTGAGAAGAAAAATTGTTTTGGTAAAATTACACTCTGAGTTGTTTTCCAATAGTTGCGTACTTCTTCCACTAACACTTCGAGAAAAGGCGCGGTGGCATATTCTGAAAAAAGGTATGACACAAAGCTGGATCAAATCGCAGTGATCACGCGATCAGTTATAGAAAATCAAAATGTGACGTGTATTTGACCAATAATCTCGTAGACCTTCGACAAAATTGCTTAGAAAATTATGCTAGGGGGAAAACGTCCCTTGCATGTTCCGTGATCCCGCCATGACAACACTCCCTCCTTTCCCCTGACCCTCTCAACTTCGATAAGATTTGGAAAAACACCGTGGATCTCCTTTCTCAGCAAAAAACCGGTGTCAATTTGCGGACAGAAAAAACTCACCACATGAAGATTATTGATTAATTATCCCAGCTCACCGCGTGTCATTACTTTTAAACAGTTGGGAATGTTTTCTTTTGTTCAATTAAGCTGCTTACACCTTTGGCACAGCTCAATTTGAAACACAACGGAAGAAATTTCATAATTTAACACATTTGAAGTCAGTGAACGAGCAGCAATTTCCAATAAAAGTGTATACCATATAGCTATATTTTTTTTACAAAAATTCCCAAATGAATGCCAGGTTTGCTGTCTACGACACACTTCACATGCTGTCTTCATTCTGGCACGACTGGCAACTAAATCTTTCAATATTGAAAACTTACCAAACATGGAAACATTTGACAACAGTTGTTGGACATCAGAGTCTTTTGTGTTCTGAATAGTCTTGACTACCAGACTTATGCCAAAATATGAAATCACGAGCGCGTTTTTTCCTTAAAAGCACGCTTGCCCGAGGGTTTTTTTTTCAAGAAAACCGATTAATTATTAATGATTTTCAAAGGAAAACATTAACGCTGCTGCTTCATTTCTCGCGTCTCTCTACTTTACTGTTCCCCAATCTAGACAGGATGTCAAAGGATCAGTGTGAAAATATAAAGCTCGCCCTCAGAAATCTTCGAGTTATCGGTCGGTTCGGATAACATCGTGCGTATATTATCGTGCCATGTTAAGCAAGGACGAAGTAAGTAAAACAAGAAAAAAAAGATGAAAGATGCGATTTTGTCAGAGTAAGAATAACATTTCGGTTTCAGTGAAGCTACTGAATAGCTCTGACTTCCTTCGAATTAAAAATAAGCCTTACTTGTCTTACTTCAAGGACTCGTGTTCTCCTCCTGAACCGTAACGAGGAAATAAAAACCATCAAAATATTTTTGGTCCATGCAAATAACTGTATCATAAATCATCTAATATACCTTTTAGAATATTCTTCAGTCGTTCTCTCAATAGACAAGTTCGCCGAAGTGTTGCTTAGTTTTGTTTTAGTGTGTAGCGTTGCCCTGTGACTAAGATGCTTTGATCAGAGTTCAATTTCGTGGATTCACGCCATAAGCTGCGAGCACAAACAAACGAGTCACAGCATAGTTAATCGGTCCCCTCGATTAACTATGGTCACAGGGTAACCAATGAACATCCTCACGAGGTGAAATTTATTCTCTCCTTTCGATGTCATGCACAAGTGATGGTAATTGATGCACTCGTCAACCAAAGATTTTTTCTTGTTGTGAAATATCCAAAAATTTTAAGATGTTATTTGATAATCTACAACTGCGATGCAGGAATACTCCTGGCGGAGAGTCAACTATGGTGAGACACACGTGATCACGTGAAAAAAGAGACACGACAGATAAACAGATAGGAAAACGTAAAACGAACTATATTTCATTAAGTATTATGGTTTATCTTAAACAAACTGTCATCCTTCTTTCTAATTAGTTCTTTTGAAACTAAAAGATAAACCATTAAATAGTTGTTATATTAATTTGTGAGTTCCTCCGGGCAGACTGCCCTGTAAACAGATCCAGTCGGATCCTCCTGGGCAGGATTACCATAAGCAGCTCCCCCCTGCTGATTCATAAATCTGTTTTCCCTGCCAAAGAGGATGTATTTGGTTTTTTCATTGTCAAGCAAACATGTTTGAAGGTAAACTACTTTTAGTATATCCCTCGATTTGCATCAACTCTGAAGCACATATTGGTCGTACTAAAAAGTATGAAAATTCTCCGGACCAGGGGTGGGATAGCGTTGGGGTTAACCTCGAACTCACTTCCACAGGGAATGAAGAAATGAAATTGGAGCTGGTATTTGAGAAATAGGCATGGAATCGTGACAAAAATAGGCCACGAAATAGAACTTACGTCCTGACGCGAGTCACGTACCTTTTAATGGTGATTGTTTGACTGGAGGAGATGACGCCCTCGTGAAACGGGTAGTTCCATCCAGTTCCTTTCTCTTTTCAAATATAACGTTCATGAGGTGGTGCACTTTGCTGGATTACTCGAACAAACAAGGTGAGAACGTCAAGTCATAGCTTACGCAAACAGGCGAGGCCGAAGCCTGTTCAAGTTTGCAAGAGGAGCGAAAAAGGGAGATTTTTCCAGCAGTGGAAGGCTGAGGAGAGAGGGAAATTTGTAAAAAGATGAGGGGAGAGAGTGTCTGAGCGATAGTGTGATAGTCAAAGAAATGAGAGGGGAGAGGTTAGAGCAATAGAATTATTATTGCATTTCGCGCCCCCTCCCCCCACCGTCTATTTTAATTGTAAATCGAACATGGCGAGTCGAAGAAACGATCGTAAGCTTGTGACGTCAACTAGCCCTAATAATGACGCCTGCGATGCAGGCTGATACTAACTAGCAATGACTTGAAGAGAAAACAATCTTAGTTGCTGAAAAAGCCTTTGAGAAATTCACCACTGCACATGCAAATATACTTAAAATACATTTGATTTTTAATCAATCCGCTGTAAATAAATTACAGTATAAAACAGACATTAAATTCGCCCGCAATTCACACTCGCATTTAGCTTTGAGAAAATACTAAAAGTAAATCGTGAAGACAAGTCCATTTCCACGAAATGCGAAGCCTAATAACTATCATTTCAAAAAAATTCTGATATATATTTTACGAGTGATAGCGTTCTGATTTCTGAACTTTTGTACTTGGGGGCTTCGAGGATCTAGGTATTCCCTTAATATAAAAATTCTTCAAACAAATACAAACTAAAAAGTTTAAAAAAGGAACAAGCTCAGGAAACAACAAGGGGCAGAAACATTTTTCCCCCCATAAATTTACGCAGCACTATTCAGAGAAGACATTTTTAGTGAAAACATGGACCTATCTTCACGACTTACCCGACACTTACTCCATCCAATTTATCTGAAATGAAAACATTAATTATAATAATTATTGTCAAGCCCCAATCGTCCACATTACTTTTCACACTAAGGCACAAATACTTCTATATATTGATATAAGAATACACCCTTGACAACAAACTATACAAAACTTATAGAGCTACGCGCTTGCAAGGGGAATATTGAAATTTATAGAAACTTTACACTGCACAGTTGGGATATAAAAATAATGCTGTCAAAATAGAAACCTTCTAGGCCTTGTCAAGGAATGTGACTCTTACTTGTAATTATTTGCAGTCTTGTAAGCTTTTACTTTAAGAATTTGTTTTTAAACGTAGGGCACCTCAATTTTAAAGAATAGCACTTAGTCTATAAAATAACTTTATGTTACATATGAGGAAATAGAAGTTGTAGTAGCAATTGAACCATTTCTCAAAAAAAAAAAGTAAAAATTTCATAAAATAAAGGGTCTGTAATGTACAGCAGACTTACGAGTCCAGCAAGTCGCGTCATACAATCAGCAACATATCAAAATATGCAAGAAACGTAATAAACGAGCTAGCTGTAAAAATTTTTTTCTGTACAACAAAGTCTTTAAAATTTGATCCTCTGTTTACAACCACAATACTTTTCCCTTGATACTGAAGGAAATATATTAGCAATAACTTTTACTATTCCTAGGAGGGAACATGTCCTTAGAAGTTAAAATATGCCCTCAATCTCGTTCTGTATTCTTCGTGTTTTTGTTACAACAACATGCCAAATGGAAAGTAGAAATCAATTTTTCACAGGACAAGCATTTTCCGCTGCTTATTAAAGGTTTTATGATACAGTAACATACAACAACAGTTTTAGAAGATGGAAAAAGATTTAAAAAGCAGCATTGCAAAAATAACTAAAATAATTTGAGCAAAATAATACAGAAATAATTGCATTATAATTATTAAGTTTTTTTCAAAATAAAACAGATATATACTTCTCCAGCGTGCTGATAAAAAACCAGGAACACTGAAGTATTTCAGCTTCGAACGGCTAAAAGAAAGGATCAAAGAGTCAAACGGGAAAGAAGATAATTTGGGTCAGCTGAACTATATCCATCACCAATATGTCATATGAGAAGTCTTATTTGTCCGTAGGTCAGCTCGTGACAGTGTAAACACCACGGCTTCCGCGCTGCGAGCTACCTGGTCTTGGGTCAACTTCACGAGGCCATGCGCGGTAGTTTCCTTGACTACCTTCCCATCCTTTGTTAACAGGCAAACTTTCCTTTTCCTGCTCAGGTGAGGTCGGCCTCTGTAGTGCAAGAGTAGGGTTGTTATCATCTCCCAGAGACCGCCTGCGCCTGCGGAAAGCAGCACGCTGAGCAGCGGCTTTCTGCGCCTCTCCTGATATGTCTGACTGCTGACGAGACAAGTGAAGATGACGCTCGCTGTGCATCTCCTCTAGCAATTCAGCGATGTGTTGTGCATCCTTCTCCAGCTTACGCTGGGTCTGAGAACCTCTACCGTCCCTTGACGATATTCTAGCCTTGGAAGGCAGTAGCTCTTTCGCAGAGTCCTTATGCGATAAGAGTTTAGATTTGGTTCCATACTCTTTACTCACAACTCTGGGCACTGCATGCGTTTTATTCACAACCGGCGGCCCTTTTGACCTATCGTTGACTAGAGAAACATTCATTCTTGACCGTGGCACATTCCAGTCGAGGCCGCTATCAGTTCTTCCTGAGCTATATCTAGCTGGTGATGTGGATAAATGTTTCGCTGGGCTGGACTCGAGCCGAATATTCCTCGAGCTCACCGTTCTGCTCTCTGGTGATCTCTGTGCTGTTTCTCGTTGCATGCCCCTCTGGCCCCTTGGCACTTGAACAGGCTGACCCCCCGGAGTCTTTGTAACACTTGGTTTGACGTTAAACTCTTTCAACGAAACCGGAGTCGTTGTATGAACTGATCCGATCTTTCTCCGAGCAGCAAGGGAAGATGGAGAATCTCTCCCCCTATTTTGGCTGCTACTCCGAGGTGTTGTATTACCATCGGACAGTCTACTTGAGGTGCTCTCAAATCTCTGCCGTAACGTACCCACCTTTCTGGACGAAACTTCGGGTGTGCTTTCAACGCTAACCCTCCTCGGTGGAGAGGAGGGCTGGGACCTTGGCCGCTCGTCTGATGAAGGAACCGTGAAATATTTACTCGTGTTTATTTCTATTACACTGTTCGATTTCCGCTCTATTACAGGATTTTCGGCGTTCCTTGGAGTTGTATTTTTTTCAGAATTCCTTGTGTGAAACCCTTCTCCTTGAGAATCAGTTGAAGGGCTCACTCCAACAATCTTGTAAATTCTACCAGGTTCATCGGATGATCGCCGTTGTGCCGTATCTACGCCACTTGGGATTGGTCTCTTCAGAGGTTCGCTTCTCACAGAGGATCTATTCTCATAGTTTTGTGCCTCGACTCTGTTTTCTTTATTTCCATATGTGTTATCTACATCCAGTAAAATCCGTAGCTTTTCGTCAAACGTCTTGGACATGCTGATGGCGCATTCGTTTCCTTCGTCGCTGGATGCATCACTGCTATCTTCAGATCCCAGAGATCTCCTGGCCAGGCGGTGCTCTTCAGCACTGTCTCGTTTTGTCTTGAGATCCAGACGAGCTGGCCTCCTAGGTGATTCAAACTGCCTCAGTGTCCCAGACACTACTCCACGCCCTACAACAGCCACCACGGTTTCGTCGGATCTTGGCGTTGGCTCGTGATGTACCACCTCGTTTGCAAAAGACATCGCCTTCACGCTATTGTTTATCCGCGCTGCTTCGCTGTGAAGAGTTATACTAGCCTTCTTATCAGGATGAGGCTGAACAGTAACGTGAAGCGAGTCTAGCGACGGGTTCTTGCTGCTATGTGCACTGCTACTTCGGCTAGTGCTGCTGCTACTCAGCTGATCAGTACTCTCAAACACGCCCTGATCCGACATCTTCCGTTCACGCGATACGTCATCAATCCTTTCACCAGGCGGTGATGTGGGGGATGTCACCCCCCTATCTTCACTCTGTCGCCTTTTCTCCGCAGCTTTCTTCTGCAGGTTAAGCCTCAGCAGCCTTCGGCGTGTCTCTTCACTGAAGGAAGAGAAGCTCGGCTTGGGGGTGTTGTCCTGATCACTGGGTGGTTCGTCAGCCGACTTCTTTGCCTCTGTATCCTGCACCACGGTAAAGGTGACATCCAAAGGTGAAAGCGACTGCTCAGGTGTTCCGGGACTGGTTGACCTTTTCTGGGGGTTAACGCGTCGATACGACGGAGGGGGCGGCATTGCGTATGAATACGCCTTAAGTGAACCTGCTCCTTTAGCTCTAAACTCTGCGTCTGGAGGGTCTAACACTAACTGGAGAGAGCCCGGGGCACTCTCTGTACTCCTCTTGCTGCTAAATCTTGTTGATCGTTCCATGGTGGGCGAGTTAGATCTCGACCCGTCTCCTGACAAAGCTCTGACCACCGGCGATCTTTCGAGAGGAGGCGAACCCTCGGATCCCTGTGAATCGGACAGCGGTCCATCGGAGGAGCTGCCCTGGCCCGAGTCAGACTTTGAACTTTTACCACTTCGGAACTTTGGGATATGAAGAGATATTCCGCTGGACTGTAAGACCAACAGCAAGCATAAGAAAAGGTTACAGCACATATCGAGACCGTGTGACCCATTGTCCTTTATTTAGGTATAAGGACCCCCTTGATAAAACATTCTATTTCTCATGACCAGTAAGCAGTCGTAACTGTTCACGATTTACATAAAAGTGAGCTGAAGAAACAAGTATGGGTTGAGAAGAGAGCTTAACTCAGAACTGACATTCAGCACGACAAGAAAAAAAAAATACAAAGCAAAACTAAACAACAACACTCACCTTCGGTTTATATGACCCATCATCTCCTGATAAGGAAAGAAAACAAACAAATTAATGCTAATAAAAGGTAAGAGCCTTGTCCATACACACTCCGATTTGACTCCTCGTTGTTATATTCCCCATCTTGTGGAAGCAATACGTGACATATTCGAACGTTATTGGGAACCTCGCGGAACAAGCATGAGTAAACGGATACGGAATCCATTTTAGTCACGTGGTCTGCAAGACTGTTTTATCTCCTCGTTTGAACATATTGTAAGCAACTGTAACCATTTTTCATGGGTGTGGATCTGAAGTGCTACTACACTTTATGACACATGAAGGTTATACAGCGACTATTGTATTTTAGCCGGAACCTTGCTAATAAGGAAAAATCGTTTGTTCTCGCCAACCGCTAATCGATTCGACTAACGTAAAAATGAATGTTTAACCAGTGCCCTAAGAGTGCAAAATCCAAATAACAGTGTAGTTCAGCTGTAGTATTAACAACGTCCAGTTTACTACCATAATACTACGATGATATTCGCCATTATAGTTAATCTCAGGCTTGTATGGTTTCTCTTGTTCGACGAAAAGGTAAACAACTGAGAGCTCACCGAAATTTACAGCAACCTGTCCTAAAGAGCTCAGAACATTTTGAGACAGGATATGCTCTTGCAGTGTTTCTTGACCTTGTGGGAGGGCCTATCAGGAAAATATCAATAATTTCTTCAGTCTACACCTTATAAGGGGTAATTAAAAGGTTTCTTTTCAACATCATGGCCTAACACATAGCGCTGTTAGTAAAATGCGGAAAACAACGAGTTTAGAGCGCTTTTCGATTAAGTGTCGTACAACGAAAACCGAAGTTATCACTTTGCCCAAGCAGACGAAAGAAAATACCGCAAAAAAAAAGGGAGAACTAGCACTAAAACCAAGCGAAATTCCTAAAGCGCGGGAAAACACGGGTGACCAAGTCGTCATTGTTAATTGTTTTGCATCTGATTGGTTAAGAGAGTGGCGGGAGTTTTCTGGACCAATCACCGAGCGAAGTAAGGCAAAACCAATACAATCTGGGATTACTTTCGACACTCACCCGAAAACCACTCCAAAAACAGACGAACAAACAACAGGGAACGGTCTGAACTCGACTATTTTGATGTTGATTCCCGAGTGGGATAAACAAATGTTGGAAGAAAGATCAACTGGGTCTGAAATAATGAGCAATTTGTGCTTGTTGACAGGCTTTTTTAGACATGTGTGGCTCGACCCACTTTTGCTTGAACTCATTTAACTCGTCTAACGCACGAGGCATTAACTTACACGTTTCACAATGTAATTCAGATCCGCCTGAGTCTCCTCTTAACAGAGCAACTAACAAAAACCAATCTCAAGAAAAAACAATTAAAATGGAAGGAAAAAGTAATTGAATGATACCTTCACTGGGCATTCATCACCTTCAGACTCCTCAAAAAACCAATCACACTGAAATAAAGTTTGCAAGTTTTAGTACAAATGGAACTTGCATGATAATAACGTTGAGGCCATCCTAAGTTTATCGATCCTTTAATTTTCTTACTTCAGATATAAGTGTTTCAACTATGCGACACTGGTCCGACATGTCTTTCACCATAGCCATCATAGAGTCGTCCCCAGTCCTAATGATGGTTGGGCCGAACACAATGGCCAGGTTACGTACTTCCATCTGCAAAGCAGAGCAACAAAAGACTTGTTCGTTCTTTGGTATTATATAGAGTTTTGGCATGTGATTACTTCAGAGTTGTTAATCTTTACGGCGATATTCCCCCAACACTTAAAACACTAGCCGAGCAATGTTTGAAACAATCGAGTATAATGTATGTAACGTATAAGACGTTTTGGTGTGTAGTATCTCTCAGGATTTTGACCAACAAGGAAATTGTAATGGACTCACGCGGTATTTGTTCATTACTTATCGCAATAGGATAATAACGAAATATCAAATAACTCCGCTCACTAAGCTGTAAACAGCATTCGGGTTTCTTCTTTTTATTTTTGGGGCGCAAAAATCCTGGCAAAGTCAGATTCAATCGCCGTGCTTCCAATACTGGCAAGACCGAGAGGACAAAATTACTCTCACTAAGGGGAGCGGATAGCAGGTACTTCAGTCAAGAGTAAATCTGTCTTTTTCTCCGATTTCTCTCACCAAACGATCGCACTAAGCCCTTGTAATTTTAACTCGCAAAGTAGAGGCATTGTTAACAAATAACTGACCAACACGAGTGGAAAGATACAGTGTGCATGACTATTCACATTACCTTATTCTTGTCACAGTTATCTGACACCAACTTCAAATGATTCACAAGTGATTTGAGTGTTTCAAAGTTATAATCAGGCAATTCTTGCACCTAACGAAAACAAAAAATCAGTAACGAACAACTCCTCTGTACTCCGTGATTTGAGTCGTCATCAGTCCTTCATCCGTAACAACAAATTAACCCCCTTATTTTATCCTGAGGAGATTGCCCTTCACCCTTAAACTCAAGGAGGGGATGAAAAGGAGAACAGAAAAGTATAACGGCAAAAGGGTTATGTAAGGGGTAATCTTTTAATCACCCATGAGTGACCAAGCCAGAATTTCTCCCAACAATATCAAACGGGTACGGGTACGGGTACGGGTACGGGTACGGGTACGGGTACGGGTACGGGTACGGGTACGGGTACGGGTACGGGTACGGGTACGGGTACGGGTGCGGGTACGGGTACGGGTACGGGTACGGGTACGGGTACGGGTACGGGTACGGGTACGGGTACGGGTACGGGTACGGGTACGGGTACGGGTACGGGTACGGGTACGGGTACGGGTACGGGTACGGGTACGGGTACGGGTACGGGTACGGGTACGGGTACGGGTACGGGTACGGGTACGGGTACGGGTACGGGTACGGGTACGGGTACGGGTACGGGTACGGGTACGGGTACGGGTACGGGTACGGGTACGGGTACGGGTACGGGTACGGGTACGGGTACGGGTACGGGTACGGGTACGGGTACGGGTACGGGTACGGGTACGGGTACGGGTACGGGTACGGGTACGGGTACGGGTACGGGTACGGGTACGGGTACGGGTACGGGTACGGGTACGGGTACGGGTACGGGTACGGGTACGGGTACGGGTACGGGTACGGGTACGGGTACGGGTACGGGTACGGGTACGGGTACGGGTACGGGTACGGGTACGGGTACGGGTACGGGTACGGGTACGGGTACGGGTACGGGTACGGGTACGGGCACTCTCCTACGGGTACGGGTACGGGTACGGGTACGGGTACGGGTACGGGTACGGGTACGGGTACGGGTACGGGTACGGGTACGGGTACGGGTACGGGTACGGGTACGGGTACGGGTACGGGTACGGGTACGGGTACCCTACTACGCTTAATCTCTAACGCTTACTCTCCTACGGGTACTCTCCTACAGGTACTCTCCTACGGGTACTCTCCTACGGGCACTCTCCTATGGGTACTCTCCTACGGGTACTCTCCTACGGGTACTCTCCTACGGGTACTCTCCTACGGGTACTCTCCTACGAGCACTATCCTACGAGCACTATCCTACGGGTACTCTCCTACGAGCACTCTCCTACGGGCACTCTCCTACGGGTACCCTCTTACGGGTATTCTCCTAAGGGTACTTTCCTACGGACACTCTCCCTTGGACGCTCTCCACGTTACAAAAGGTGTAATGTACCTACCGATCACCAAAAATACCGTGACCTCATTCCTAAGAGCAAAAAGCCCTCCACTACCTCATCATCATACTATACACAAAACTAACCATGGATCTTATCGCCCACATCCTTTCAACAGGGTCCTCCTTCTTATTGGCTTCAATAAATCCATCGTACAAATCTGTGCAAGGAAGTATGAAAAAAATATTAACAATGACTCAATTTGTTGGCCCCCAAAACAAACAAGCAATCGTCTTATTCAGAAAATAAAGGCAAATATTTATTACTTAATCCGTTCGCTACTGATACTTTATATATTTTGCTCAACGTCGTCTAACGATTGTTCATTTCTTTTGATTTTCTTAGTACCTGCAGTAACAAGACCCTCCGGTAACTTCCGCAAGAAGAGTTTCATGAGGCTGGTGATATTATTGACATCATTCCACCTCTACAAAGAGACATTTAGAAATAAATGAGAGTCCAAAAACAACCTCATCAAGATCTAAACGTTTACATAACTAGTGTCAAGTGAACCTATTTCCATCAGAAATACCAATTCAATGACAAAAAGACTAAAGGGAATCAAGAGAAGATGACCACATCGTAAACCGTAACTATAAATCTTTGTTTCCAGACATGATTGAGGTAAACGAGGATTACAGCTTCTTTACGTTGTCGCTCTCCAACTTCGTTCTTCTCCGTTCCCAAACACCGTCCTTAAAATCTGGCTTTGATTAAAGTTAACTTCACAGTGCAAATGCTTTTATACCGGAACTTTATTGACCCGCCATTCTGTGTTAATACTAATATCCTTGGCAAACAAAAAGAAAGGCTTGAGCCGGTTCATCTTTCATCCACTTTGCGAAAAAAAAAAAAAAAAAAACGCAAAATTTCCTGTTCGGCACCTCATACAGAAAAGGTAGCTATCCAAACTAGCGCTAAGATATTCCAAAGACACCTCGATAAAGCTCAAATATCGCAGGCATACAGCTTACTTTTTAAAATCTGACATGCAATTACATTTACTGCACAAGCGTTTCTAAAGACACGACGAATAAAGTACCTCTTCCTCGAGACAAATATTTTCGATCCCTCGGTTGTTGAGCTCTTCTTGTAAAGCAGTGACAGCAGCGGAATTTCCAGGAACTCTTTGAATAAACAAGGAATATAAAATTGCTTAGGGTTATAATACATATGTTCATGAAATAAGGAAAAAGAGGTGAAGGATCGCTTTACGAAAATCATGGAATAAATTCACAAACTGAAAAGAAGTAGAAGAGGGAAACTTGAAGTGGAAACTGCACAGACTGCGTATGAGGTGCACGATACCGCTAAAATGTATGTTGATAGTTTCTAGAAACACGATAATCGATTTTTGATCCCCTATTCTCGAAAACTTTGAGGATCAAAGCTTAAATCGAGTTTTGAGACGTTCGAGACCGTCTAACCCTTCACATTCATATTCTCCACACTGATCTCTATACATTTCCTAAGACGCTAACAAGGAGAATTTGTTTAACAATCATTAGAAGCTTCTTAAACTGATGATGATTTCCTTTTGTCTCATGCCCTTTATATTTGATTCAATTCTGATACTGTAAGGAGAAATTAGAAGCCAATCTCTCAGGGGTTTAAGGGTAAAGAAATTATCAAAGGGCTTTCGAGATATTTTTATATTGTTTACCTGTAGACACCAACAGTCTCCAGTCCCTTTTTCTCTACCACCTCACAACAGTGTTCCACGATCAGAGGCACAAACTGCGAGAAAACAAATTCAATTTATAGTTAAAACATTACTTTTCTCTCGGACTCTGAAATATTTATTTCAAGTCCATCATTTTATTAACCGATAGAGGAACAGCTGATAGACAAAGCAAAAGAGTAATTTACTCGCTAAAAGATGCAAAAATCACTCTAACTCTTTCCTTGGAAATTTTCCTTCAAACTTACTTCGATTATTCAGAAAAGCGACTTAAGATAGACTCTCACAAAATAAGCTAGACATTTAACAACCCTTTTTAAAAAGTCGATTTGTATGCATTACGGAAATTTTAATCATAGACAAAGAAATTCGAGACTAAAACTGTAAACAAAACGGATATTTTGTTAGCGACGTTGTTTCGTTTACTTTTTCACGTGGGTTTATCTGCGAATGCAACGAGAAATATTTCGTCGAAACCACACACGTTCCAAAAAAACTGTTGCATGGGATTACCCATAACATCAACATAATAACAGCGATTTCCATGCCATGTTCACTTCTATCCTTAGGTCAACAGCCATGAAATTGGTTTGACTGACTGTTTCCAGCCTCCTTAAAATGCGTCAGAAAATTGTTCAAACATGATTTTTTTTTAAATTGAACTGGTCAGGTCTTTCAGGTATTAATAGCAATATAAGGCATAAAAAGAGACTCTTATAATATGATATTTTCTTTTTTTTATGTTACTAAAAACAATTCCTCCTTAATTGATAGGGTGCCAATTGGAGTCCATGTCATCTGCCTGAAGTTGAGACTTGAATCATTATCAGCCAGACATACTGGCCAAGTGTCAGGGAAAACTGTATTTGTGACAATCTCTGAATGCATCCAACTATTAAAATTTACAATTTAGTCACGTAGGCAAACTGATTTTGAAATATTTGAATTAACTTTGAGTTCGATGAGATGTTTCAGCTTTTTTATTTCCTTTTCGCACCAGGAGAGAATTTGAAACGAAACAATGGTAAGAACAGGATAGAACGCTTTCAGAAGTTCGTTGCTGGGCAAACAGGATAAGGTGTTATGTAAAATTTACAAAAAAACAAGAGATTTCGAGCCAGAAATGATCACTGTTATTCCATACGCTTACTTACACATTCTTTACAAGTTACAATAATATCTCTAAAATTCATAGGCGTCTTGAAAGTTTTTCTATCACCAAAAAAAAAAAAATTCACTACCCTTGTGATCAGTTCGCACGGCAATATGGTGTTAGCCTTCCTTAACTAATCCTTGATTAATGACCCCAAACTTAAAAATAACTGAGAAAGTTCAACAACGCAGTAAAGTAAAACTATTTTCACGTTTGTTTCGATTATGTCATTTTGAATTGTCGTATTCCGGATAATTGCCGTCGCTTGAAACATATGCTTAAGACGCGGTTGGTGTTCCGATTCCGATGCTGCTTTCCATATGGAAATAAAGAATACCAACAACAGCTTACGCGACGATGTAAGAAATCTCTTATTTCTTTATCCCGATAAAATATCCCTCGAACTTTCATTCATGATAACCGTAACTTCATAAGTCAGGCCTGGGATCCAAGAGATATTTAACTCCATGGACAGCAAAGTGCTTGTCTAATTGTTTGTTTTACCGCTTGCCTAACTCCACTAATCTTCCAGCAGTAAAGAAATGGATTTAGCGTGGAATTGAAGTAAACTAGGAGAATCGCTGTTTCCTTCAGGACATCTAAGTGCAGTGAATATGATTTCCTCTGGTTGATCACAATTCCCTTTATAAAATATGGCAAATAACTAACAACTAATGCTGACTGCACCCACAGTGCACTGTACACTGCCTTTCTGTATCGCGCCATGTTCAGTATGTTTACTTGGCTCGGCCGTTGCTGATTTTGATCTTGTACTTGAGCCTGATGATGAGCGAGTGTGCGAAAAATCTTTGTGTACGAGGCGATTGAGATAAGCAAGCAAGATGGTATAGTAGTATACCCATACCATAAAGATATACGGTTATCTAAAATGAAGCATAAAGCAGCGGAAAAAGAAAAAACCCAACCGATAGTTACAGTGACACATACGCGCTTCAAAGTCACAATTTGTTTGTATCTCAGCCCCAACAACAAGGTGAGAAGTCTCTCCACACTTATAGCTGTCGAAGTCAACAAAGAAACTCCACATAATGCAGCGCTTGTAATGAAAGCTGCGTCAGATGCGTATCGAGAAAGAATCGTGGATAGAGTCCGGGAAATCCACCAGGTAACGTAGAGAGGCTGGCTAACAAGACCAACCAACAGATCAGCTGTTGCAAGACAACGATACAAGAATTTGGACGGAGGATGAAGGGAAGTTTCTTTGCGGAGGGCAACAAGGATTAGAGAATTCCCAAGAAATGCTGTGATGGAGAGGAGAATGTTGGCTGCTGGGAAAAAAATCGATCGTTGATGCAACCCATCTAAGAAAGAGATGTTCTTCTGCGTTTCATCTCCTGTCAAATTGGTTTTCGCCATTAATTCGCAGCCCAAAATCGCCAGAAAAGTCGAATCAAAGTGGGCACGGATAAGTCGATACAACTCGCCCATCTCAAATTAGCAATGAATCCTCCGATTTTTCTAGGACACACCTGATAGGTTCGTGCTCATCATGTGATGATCGAGGTCGCCTTATTGTTTCCTTCGGGACCAGTCATTATGTTATCTCCTAGGGGTGGGGTGGGTGGGTTTTTTCTTTTTCATTTTTAGATGGAAGGGGGAAATCACATGGTTTTTAGGAGAACCTTGGGGGATCAGCCTTCGCCAACAGAGTATGAAGGGGGACTACAGAAAATTTACTGCCAATTAACTGCCACTGTGTGCATGTGGGGGAGGAGAAAGAGCCCTGGGTAAATTTTATCGTGACGCAACCAAAATCCTCCCCTCCCTGCCTCCCCCTTTGTCATTGTTTTCTTACTCTTTAAAATGGCGGAAACGAAATTTTGCGCAAAAACTAAACAAAAAGATTTTGGGACTTATCGATTGAAAATAAAGTAAGGTATTTGGCGCCTGCATACTATTAGAAGACTGAGATCTTAAACTCATTTGCATACCATATGGTGTCGTCGGATGAAATTTTACAAAATTCGTAAGACCGAACCGAAATGACTGTTTCATGCCGGAGATAACTTTGAAATAACCCTAAGAAAGGTGTGTCATACCTAGTTGCAAGGGATTCGGAAAAAAAATTAAGAACACCCCAATATATTCTTTGAGAAGAAGATTAATGCTCAGCCCGAAAAATCCAGCGCACAGGTGGTCGAGCCCACTCCCACTTAAACTGCCTAGTTAACAAATGATGGAGTTCTTTTTTTTTTTTTCCTTTTTAGTTTTGTTCTAGACTATTTTTAACCCTTTAACTCCCAAGATCTCATTAGTAATTCTCTTTACTGTCTGCCATACAATTCATATGATATTAGTTTGGAGAATTTGGAATTGGATCAACCAATAATCCCTCAATTGATATTCTTCTGTACTCTCATTACTTGTCTGCTTGATATCGTGCTGATAGCGTAAGGAGAAATTATGTGTAGGTCACTAGTATGACTTAAAGGGTTAATGATTTACTTTCATGTTTCCTTCTTTTTTTTCTGTCAAGCAAGCTGCCACGTATATGGCGGGCGAATGAATTCTCTATGTTGCGATTCACGATCTACCTTTATGTTTTAGAGTTATTTTCCTGTAACTTAGTCAACAAGTAATTTATGAATCGCGGCCAGAAACCAACCAATGGATACTTAAGAACTATAAAGAGTCGTTGAACAATTTATTCGATTCTACCTTCATAAACAACATTTATTTTCAGACTTCTTAATGAGCGAGTACTCGTTTAAAACGCGCGCTCGAAATGCCTTATGGGTGACAAGTAGGACAATTCTCATTTTTCTAAGGTTTATTCTTCCTGGAGTTTATGATTTGCCCTGATTTTCACGCAGTGTAAATATTTTTAAACCAACCTTGTTAGCCTTGGATGATGGACACAGCTCTAGTGGTACGCCAACAGAGTGCCCTAAAAACACAACATGATACAGTAAGTCCCTTAAATTGCCACAGCAACGGCACTATCACAGTCTTCTCATAAAATTGAAATACTTTCAATGTTTAAACAACTATGTAAGCTCCACATTTGCCATGAAGAGGTAATGCAGGTGTGAGTTATGACCAGCACAGAGTACTTTGACAATTTCATAAAGACAATTTTATCATTAGAACACAAGTAAGCTTACGATGTAATAACACCGCATCTGCCTAAACATTCCTCATTAAAACGTAGTCAACTACAGCCATAATTGTGACCACTTTTAGCCGCCTAGTTACTTAGGACACTCTACCTGATGGATAACTATTTGGGTGTTTAGGTTTCTTCCGCTTGTTGGTCGATTTGTTTCCATGGTTTTTCCCACTTTCACCTTCAAAAACAAAATCATCATCAAAAAAAAAACCAAAGATGACAAATTTTCAAAAACCAATAAATTACTAGGGAATACAAGTCGAGACTGCAAAGTTTCAAATGTCACGAAATGAGAGAAATTGCAAAAGTTGCGGCGAAAACTACGATTAAAACTGTAAAGGAGCAGAAACAGTACAAAGATGAGTAAAGCGTTGAGCAGAGGCTGCAAGTGTGAATTTCAGAGCCTCGCTGTCTTTCCCAGTTCGAATTTAGATGTCTTGCCAAATAATAAAACCCAGGATGTCTCTAAAAACAAAGCCAACTGGGGAAAAAATATACACGTTTTGAACACCAAAATCATTTTGCAATGTCCAATTCTCAAACTGTCACTAAGTGTAACCCCTCCTCTCCTCCCATCTTGTACCAGACGGGATAGGAAGGAGTTAGAATAAACGAGCTCAGACTATCCGAGCATCAGACTATCATCATGGTTGCGTCTTGCACCTTTCGGTCCAGCGGTAATGTTCTTGAATGACAGGCTCTTCTTGATGTTTGATATTCCAAGGCTGTGTATCTTGGTGTTCACTGGAGGCGACATTTTGTGACCAGACGAAGCAGCGGTTGTACTATAAAAAATAACATTGGCTCAACGTCAGTATCTGAGAAACTGCCTACCTACCCCTCCCCAACCCAAAAACAGTCACCTGATAACAAGTTAGGTTGATGTTTGGTTAGGGGAAGGGTAGGTGCGCGATAGCGCATATACTGAGATTGATTATTGAAACAATAATGATTATCAAGAGAGAACCCTTATCTTCACTAGCCACCCCTGTTTATCTTTGAGTGACCAGCATCTAATTTCTCCTTAAAGTAATACCGTCGAACCACTCACTACGATCATGAAAATAACTAAAAGGAAATGATCGCCAAACTAAGAAGCTTTGATTGTTGCACAAATTCTCCTTGTCATTACCAAAGGAAATGTGTAGGGATGAGTATAGAGAATATGGATTCTGATCTTAGGGTGTAAAGGGTTTAATTATTTATAAATTTATTTCTTTATTAGCGATATTTATGCAGGCTGGCCCAGTTCAGCTTCAAGCTGGTTTGAATGAGGGTCTGCTTAAGACATACCAGGTAAAACAACATGTATTTAAAAATATAAAATACAAGAGAAGCCCACAACACAAATTACAATTTACACTTAAGATATAAAACATACGTTACATTACAAAGTATATTACATTAATTACATTCTTCAAGTCACATAACAAGAGCGGTCCTCTTCACAGTTATAAAATTAATTTCATACATACATTTTCTTTCACGCTACAAGGCTGATAGTATTTCTAACGAAATACGTGGTTGAAGGAGTTAATGTTTACTTCTTACCCAGAAGTCTCTTGTTCCACCGTTTTCATCCTTCTGATGATCAAACTCTGACTACTCACGCCATTTTCCTAAGAGAAAAGTCATCTTTACGTCTTTGATGATCTCATTACAGAGTGTGCAGCACCACACAATAAGGGTTCTAGTTAGTAATGCATCTTAGTGCGAAACCAAGAGGGGGAAAGGAGTGGAGAGGAGAAGGAAAAAAGCCTTCTGGGAAACCTACAATAAACAACAGTTACTTCAGTTTGCCACTTAGAAACAGTTGGGTAGGGTGCATCAAAACTGCAAACATCTAGAACCCTTAATAAACTTCAGATAGCATTTCTGTTTGTATTACTTGACAGTTTTATGAACTAATTTCAGTGATTTATCTTTTTGGTGTTCTATATTCAACATAATAGCTCAAAATGACTTAAAATAATGGAAAATACACTAACATCTTCATCTGGGTTGTTGTTGGCCTGAATGGCTGAAATCCAAGACATCATGGACTCAACATCTTCACTCTACAAAATAATGAAGAGAACTACTGTTAACCCCCTAATTTCCAGTAGCAATTAACATATAACTTCTCCATATAATATCTATACATTATCCAGCACACAGGTAATGGGAATACTTGAACTGATCAGGTGGAAGTTGTTATTATGATCTAACACCAAATCCTCAAAACCAATTTACAAGGAAAAATATAACAGCTGGAGCAGAGAATTAACAATCAGATCTTGGGAGTTAAAGGGCTAGCCTTTCTTTCCACACAAACAAAATAATAATAATAATAATAATAATAATAATAATAACATAGTAACACTTATAGAGTGCCCACTAATTGCTCAAAGCACCGTACAACAATGATTAAACTATAAAATGAAAAGCTAATAGCTATTATAATGAAATTAACTAAACTACACTACTAAAAACTAGACATCAATTGTTATTATTACCTACTTTCTTGAAACAATTCAGTGGAAATGTTTCAGGCTGAGACAGGGACCATAGCCTACAAGCTTTTTAAGTGGATTACCTGAAATAAGAACTCTGATCCATTGAATGTTGTCAATCTGAAAACATTCTTTCTTTTTGTGTAGTCATGGGCAATGTCCACAATGCTAGACTTGATGCTGATGGGCTGTTCATCAGAACTGTCCTCCTAAAATTTTACATAGATTAAATCAGACCCTTTGAAACACACAATATAATTACAATTTCAAAGAATAGTCCTGACACAAAAAGTACTGATTCTCACAGTCAATTTACAAGGAAATGTGTAGCAGTTGGAGGGGAGAATTAACAATCAGATTTTGGAATTAAAGGTTAAACAACCCACCTGATGAGCAGAGTGTTTATCTTTATGCAAATAGAGAACATGGCCTCTGAGAACAGCATACACAGGTTTCCAAGACCGTGCACTTGAGCGCTTGAACCAAAGAAAAAATAAAGTACCACATTAACATATGATAGTTCAAAATCTAACCAACATCCTTACTTCTTTCCTTTTACACCAAGACCATTTGAGGATAATTTTTATACCAATTAATTCCAATTTTGATTTTTCTTCTATTCTTTATAGCGGAGCTCGCAGAGCGTAGCCCCATAATTATATAAAATAGTAGTAACCCATCAAGCCGAAAAAAATTTGGATGTATGACCATATGACTGTAGTCCAGTGGTCAGTGCACTGGGCTCCAAGTCAGACGACCCAGGTTCTAGTCCTGGCCAGGGCAAGGCGTTGAGACATGTGGACGAAAAAAAAAAAAAAAAAAAGCTCCGCTTTTAGGCTTGGCTAAATCTATATATTATCTTTCTTTTGGACAAGTGTTTTTCCAAGAAGGAAAGAGGGAAAATGTTTGAACTGATTTTGTCAGTAAAATATTGCATATTGAAATGGCTCATTTGATATCTTCTTACAAATTTACAGAAATGTGTTAGCTTTTCTCAAGAATGGGAGTTGGAATCATTATTTGCCATATCGACCTTCATAGCAAAGAAACATGCTTTTATTTTCATGGCTTGATTGTGAGTGCCACCACACTTACAGAAATCTTAACAATTTATATCATATTCTTTGCAAAAAAATGTATAAATACAAAACTTGTGTTTTAATTGTTTCTTGCTCTCATACCTTGCCTCCATCCACCACTGCTACTTTTCTATAAAGAAGACCTTCCTTGCACACCTACATGATTGTACCACAAACATAATTGAAACATCAGTTAAACTACATCTAAAAAATCAATGCTGATGTAACAGCATCCTTTTCAGTTGTGAATAAAGAAGTCTACTAGCATTAAAACACATGCACTAATTATATAAAATCAGAGTATTTAACCACAGGAAAGATAAACTAACATTTTAATGGGACCTGAGTTCTTACCCCCAAGAACCAAATTACTTATTAACAGCAACACAGTGGCTTACCTCTGATATTCCTGGAACTTGATCATTTCTATCTTTGGTTTCCTGGTTGAAATAGATGTGTCAATTAACAATTGCAGTTAGTTATTTTATTACACCCATTTTGAAATCACTGGTGGTCCCTGTAATCTGATTGGCTCAAATTGGTGTGATTAAGTCATGAATTGCACCATTTTTTGCTTTAAATTTCATATTTTCTCAGTCAATGAGGAGGCTACACCAAAAACAAAACAATCAATCAGATTTCAAGGCTTGTAACCAATCAAATTGCATTAAAATGTGAGACAAAGAGTATCATGTGGCAAATTTTGCTACTTTTGTTTCCAAAACTGTTATCCCCCCCCCAAAAAAAATGGATGAATTTAATTTCAAACCAGCTCAGTACTGCATCAATAAAATATTTTAACTGACCAAGGCCTGTATTTTAGCAATTTCAAAATGGATGTTATAAAGTGGTAATTGAACCTCGTGTCATGCAATTTTGGTCTGAAATCATACTTGTGGTTTCAAATTTAACTCGCACTGCATGCTCATTCAATTTTGAAATCACACATATGATTTCAGCCCAAATTGCACTCCACTCAGTTCAATTACCATTATTTATCAGCTGTGGATTCATCAAGATAAAAAGCATAAGGGTTTGTAGAGCTCAAGGTAACAGCTGGTTTGAGAAGTAGGTCAGGGGCACTCTAGCTTCTTCACCAGAGAGATCATGAAATGACTTGTCAACACTTTACATTTAATTTGTGCATTCAGTTATCCAGTTTGGGATGAACTACTTACGCTTCATGAATAAAGGGGGCACGTTTCTAAAGAAACTGTGGCGCTGCATTGGTGGGAGAGTATAACAGGGCAATATGGTATTGTAAACTAAGTTGATAACATAAATAAGCCACCAAAAAGAATTTCAAAGCTGAAATTTTGAGCATAAGCCCTTGGTCCGAGCAAGCAATGCTTAAATCTGATCACATATAGTAACACACACCCTTAACACACATCATTTCAAATGACAAAGTTGTTATAAGAGGTTTATCGCAATGACATCTTAAGTAAATTCTCTAAATAATTTTTCCAAAGCATGTAAGGTATACAACTTTTCATCCTTGATGCATGTTTTTTGGTTCAGATTTATGCTTGGTTACTTGTAACCTCTCCTTGTCACTCATTTTGATACCTTACCACTTCCTTGTGCCATGGCAATAAACATTTTTCAACCAGGGATCAAATTGAACCTCAACATACTGTAAGCTCCCATACTTTAAAAGGTGCCATCCTGCTACACCAAGCTATCAAAAGGGTGCCTCTCTCGAATAAGCCCCTCCCCCCCTCCTCCCTCACTCTCTTAGATGGTGGGGATACAAGGAAAACCCATTTCTAATGCCACTTAATTCATAACTTTTTGAGCTTCAGCTACAGCTGAACCAGTACAGGTTAATAGTTTCTAAGTAAGTAACCCTCCTTTAACTCCTTAACTTCCATGAGTGACCAAGACAGAATTTCTCCATACAATATCAATACAATATCAACCAGATGAGTAATGAGAATAAAGAAAAAAATATCAATTTGGGGATAATTAGTTGATCCAATGCTAAATTCTCTGAGCTGACATTATAGGAATCATATGGTTGACAGTAAGGAGAATGACAAATTTGATCTGGGAGTTGAAGGGTTAAGCCAGATTTTTTAAGAAGTGCTCACTTTGAATAGGTGTCCACTTTGTATGTCAACATGTATGTCATTGAAAGGTTTTTACCTCATCTTCCTTGGTAGCTTCCAGTGATGCTTCATGTTTAGATGTTGGAGATGACGTTGCCATGACATAGGAGATACGTCTGTTTGTTCTTTGGGCTGTACCCTCATTGGAAGACTTTTCATCACCAGTGCCTGAAAACACCTATGCAATACATAATGGATGCAAAATGTAAACAAAATAACAGAGAGAAAACTGAAATACATATTTTCATAAGTGATTACAAAGAACAGACCCAGTTATGTATAGATAAAGTGCAATTTGTTATTTGTTATCATAATGATGAAATTCTTGGCATCCTTGCCAACAGAGAAAGTAACTTAATTACCAATACACTTACATGTATACCAAAAATAAATTATTATAAAGAATAATGAAGTAACCAAGCTTTTACTTAATAATTTCCTTTTTGACCTATTCCTTGATAGTAAAATGTATTCAGTTGTTGGTATTTCCCAACACTAAAAACAATTTAGATCTGGCAGTTAGCTTTAAGAGAGTTTAGTTATATATCTCATTCTTAATAACAGACCCATAATAGACTGCTACACTATTAGCATGTTGGCCAATATTTATGTTAATAATCTAGAAATTATATAAAAGTGTGAAAGTGCAAGACTACCCAAAAATTGAACGAAAGCCCTTAACAATTTCTCCAACAGCCTTGCACTAGTTAAAGCTAAACTCCAACTTTGATTCTCGAAGCTTTGCTGGAGGATTTGACTTGAAGGGACTATCAACTTACATCTGGCTGGCACTGTACCTCGTCCTCCTGCTCACTAGAAGGAATGTCCATCCCTTCATCCTCATTCACGTCCTCACAGAGCTCCATTCCAGATGAAACATGTACCATAACTGGTGGTAACATATTAGAAAATGCTTCAACCAATGGTGACTTTCCCTTGCTTTGAGGAGCTGTGGACCAAATTTTCTGGTCGGATGGAGAAGAAGAGGAAGGACCTTTGGAGGTTGCCATTAGATACGAAACCCGACGTGGCTTTGGACTGCCTTGTTTGTTTGCTGCAGATGGGTCTGGTTCAGATACAGCATGTCCAACTGTTCGCGTGACAGTCATCTCATCAAAAGGGGGCTTGTTTGGATAAACAGATAGCTGACTTGAATATGCAGCTTGTTTCACATGGTCCTCACTCTGCCGTGGCACTTTGGCTGGATGAGGAGATTCTGTGTCTTTGTGTGTTTCAGAATTTGATTGTGATGACCAGCTCCCAGTGTCACCACTCTGTCTATGAGGCAGCCCTTCTTTACTTTCAAGAAGTGTGGCCCCCATTGTTGATGATTTCAACCCCACTGGACTATTCTTGTTCATATGAGACGCAATAGTTCTGATTAGATATGATGTGGTCTCCTCATGGGAAGGACGACTCTTCCTGTAACCTGGATCTGTTGCCACTGGCTGACGAGACCCCATGTCAGGGCTTGTGTTCATGTACGTTGTTGAAGGGCTATCTGAAGCCACAGTTCTAGGTGCCGACAGCATGAATGGGGGTATGCTAACTGAACCATGTTCTTTACTTTTTGATCCAAACCTGTCATTTACAGAACTGACTTTCTCTGGCTCAGATATTCCACCAGGGCTCCTGTTTTGATCTTCATGCCCTTGCATTTCTCCCACTGGAAGAGAATGAGAACGGCTCTTAGTCCAAGAATCTTCCAGGACTGTTAGAGTGTTTCCCATTTTGGAACCTTTGTCAAAACGAAGAGCAAGAGGCCTCCCAGTGGAATCGGTGGCTGCCATAAAATAAGAGCCATCCATATGAGGGGATTTCACAGAGCTACTTTCCAAAGTGCTTGAACTTCTCGACTTTAAATTATTATTGTAAGCACTGCTCTCCGAGGTGATAACAAAACTCCTGTTCTCCATTGCAGTCCTGTCCACAGAACCACGCCTAAGAGTGACACTTGGAGTAGGAATACCCCTATCATAAACTGCAGAGCTCTGAGAATCTTTGTCAGACAATTTCAGGTGGAATGAGTTTGCTGGATTTATGGTCATAGTAGACATGACTCTTGTTGGGCTGTCATGACTTGACAGTCTTCTGTACACTGGTTTGGGCTTGACAGGAGGTGGTGACTGACTGGTGAATTCATGTGACCTAACAGATATGCTTGATGGAATAGAGGACAGTGTGGGAGTCACCTGCATGAAATAAAAGAAATTAGACATTTAACAAGCAACATTTTGAATAGGTCATTTTACCTTGAGACAGATGATACTAGTCTGTTTGTCTAGAACTTTTGGGATGATACATGGCTTTTATTCATTAGTCAATACCAGAAAATGAAGATATTAAGGCACTTTTTGATCAAGTGTTGTGTAAACCCAAAACAACCACAACAGGCAATCATGGCAAGAAATTAATATCACCAGAAGCTAATTTGAACTCAAAGTAAATAACAAACTAACTGCCTGAAGTGCACAAAAACACAAGTGACCAAGTAAATAGTCCCTATCAGGTTTGGTTTTGGATCTGCTTGGTCGTGAAAGTGGCATGACTTTTCTGGACTAATCATGTAATGACATTAAGTAAAACCAAAGTAATCCTAGATTATTTTTGACAAGCAATTGAAAATTGATCTAAAGAAATTGTGATCTCATATTTTTTCCTGGCTAAACTCAGATTTATTATAGCAATTTCTCAAAGTAAGAGAACCAAAACCAAATCCTGAGCTGTGTATCTTTAAATTTGTGCAAGAGTGATATTCAAGTAATCTGTGCAATACAGGGTATGTTGGCTATACCACGACAACTTGCACAGGAGATTCTGAAGTATGTACCTCTATATGCATGGAAGAGTGATTTTTAACCCTTTGAGTGATTAGCATCTAATTATTCTTTGCAATATCACCCTGAATCACACAGTAAGGTCACAAGAATAAAGAAAATGATCATCAACTAAAAAAGGTTGATTGTAAAGCAAATTCTCCTTGTCAGCACCTTGGGAAATGTAAGGAGAATATCCATACTGATGTTAGAGAGTAGGAGGTTTATGTAGTCTTTGCAATACAAGGTATGTTAACAAGCTATATTAAGTAATTGCTTAATTGCATCTTGCACAAGGGAGTCAAGAACCAAAAATGTCATCATCATCACTGACACAAAAACAAACCTAAGCCTATACTTACCATTTGAAGGACACAATCTTCTTTTGGAATGATGCCTAGTTCCAAGAGTTCTTGGCTGAGAAGTAAAATAATAACTATTTAGAGAAATCTTGTGAACAAAATTGGGAACATGGTAAGTGGCTTCCACCAGTAGTACTGGATAAGTGCACCATTCACAACCATTTCATACTGAAGGGTGATCAAATGACTCATAAAACCTTGACAGAACTTTATATGAGAAGACAACTGGTGAGTGAAGACTCTTTAATGCAACAAACATTTCTGTGACCTTATTACTGACCTTGAAACTATGAGCTCAATCACTTGTGAATATGACTTTCCCAATACTGGATTGCCATTGACGGAAACAATTTGATCACCTGGAAAAAGGCAAGAAGTGTACATATAGGTTAAAATAAAGCCACTTGAAATATACTCAAAGGTTGGGCCTGTGCTACAGGTAATAAGCAAGGCTCAATTTAATTTTTCCAGCTGGCCCCCATCAAGTTGGCCACTCAAAACTATTTTTGCTCTAACACAAACCATGTTTGGCTGGACAAAAACCATAAGTCATGACTCCATAACTCCCCTCTCCCCTTGTAAAACAAATGTACTTAAGAAAAGTGATACAGTCATATTTAAAACCTGAACTTAGCTCAGCATTAAATTCCTCTTCAAATGAATAAACAACTGCACAAACTGTTTGGCCATCTAGGGTGTTGACCACACAAAACCTATATTTGACTGCACATGGTCCATCTACAGCTGTTATTTTGAGCCCTGATGAGAATTTTTCTTCAATCCCAGGGTGATCGGCCAAAATGTGCAAGTTTAACCCTTTCACTCCCAAGATCTTTCTACTGTCTGCCAAACAAATCTGATGATGAAAGTTTGGAGAATTTTGTATTGGATCACTAGTATTCCCCTACTTGATGTTTTTCATTTTTTCAATCACCTGTCTTCTTGATTTTTGTATTGATAATGTAATGAGAAATTCTGTCTTGATCACTCTTGGAAGTTAAAGGCCCTGAGCAGGTAGGTCTTTATGTCATGTTCTGGCAAGACACAACTCCCAAAAGTGGTTCTAACCACCCATGAGTGCAAATGGGTGGCAGCAACCCCTCAAGAAAATCTGAGGGTAATCCAAGCTGATTAATCCAAAGTTGCCCTTTCCCCAATCCCACACTACATCAAACACAATCATACTCCTGCATGGAAAGAGGTGGGGGGGGGGGGGTGGGGTGGGAGTAGGGTTTTGGCAATTATTCAGCCACCACATCTACCACCATTTGTAATTCTTGTTGTACTGTACCTGTGGAAAGTCCAGCCCTGTCAGCAGGTCCACTAGGCGCAACTTGTCGCACAAAGACTGTGTCCATGGGCTCTGACTTTTGCCGCTCAGCATCATCAACATGATGATCAATGCCATTAACACCTGGGTCAGGCTGCAGTAAAGGAAAAGCCATGTCATGTTTTGATAAAAAGAAAATATTTCTATTATGTAAACATTGTTTTGAATCAACAGGCTCAAAAAGCTATCAAGGAACAAACAACGATTACAGTTTAGTACCCAACAAGTAACAATGCTTTATAACTGCTAAACCACAGACAAAAACTTTCCCCCAAGCCTTCCATATCTCAAAATTACATATAACACTTTCTTACAGTTGTGTTTGTGCCCTGTCAAACTTCACCAAGTCAATCACATTTACCCTATTACTGTATGTACTTCTTAACTGTAGGACTGAGAGAACACAAACAAAAGGAAACAAGCATGTTTGTCTGTGTCATCTAAGCCTCATAATTAACCATTTTATTCCCAAGATCTCGTTAGCAATTCTCCTTACTGTCTGTCAAATGATTCTCATTATGTTAGTTTGGAGAATTTGGTATTGAATCAATTAGTAATCTCATAATTGATATATTTTTCTCTATTCTAATCACTTTTCTGCATGGTATTGGACAGATATAGCAAGGAGAAATTCTGTCTTCCTTACTCACAGGAGTTAAAGGGTTAAGCTTAAAGTTTTACTTTAGGAGAAGCCTATTACAAGCTATTTGCCCTTTCCTGTTTCCCTTTTACATGAATGCTGAGCCCAAGAGAATTTCTCTGTTCACATGTTGTAGCAAAACTCAGAAAAAATAAAGGAAGTAAGTCAATTTTTTCTGTCACACCACCTCCACTTGACACAATTGGAACTAAAAATGGTAATGCTATATAAATTGACACCTACCTCACTTGTTTTTCTTATCAGTTCTGGAGGGTAAACAACAAAGTGTCGCAATGTGAATCCAAATCCATTGCTTTGACGCTGCAAACTTATCAACTTGGAGGGTGGGAGATATCCTGGGTTATGTCCAATGTCTTTCTTTTGTTGCCAAGCCAGTTCACTTTCCTAAAGAGAAAATTAATTTCCACAGCAGAAGTTACTCAGTGAAAATAACATTCTCATAATACTGTACAAAAGCAGTGGGCACAGTATTCTGTACATTCAGGATCTTTCATAGAGTGTGATACACTCCATACAGAATGACTCCTCATTCATTTATTAATTTTCTTCATTTCAATTTTTCTATATTCTCAATCCCTATACACATACATATATTTGAGATCAAACAATCTCCAAAAGCACATTAAGATTGGAAGAAAATGAGAACTTATGTTAGCAGGATGTCTTCTGTAAAAAGTTCTTCATAGAATTCTCAAAAACTCTGCTTGCACAAAGTTATTGATATCTGCGGAACTCACCAACTATTTAAGATCACTAAAGGTTTATGTTACTTTCACCAGTTAAAAATAAGTTTCACCTCAAGAAAAACCTTCTGCAAACTATATTTAGTCAATGGACTTTAAACTGTCACATGTTAAAATGGAATTAAGCCAGTAATCTTCTTCAATTAAGTATTATTACTTTTTTATGACCCATAGTCAACTGGAGTAATGAGTTTAAATACACTAACAGAATTAAGTTCCAAGGATAACACAATGCAAATGACCTTCAGGTCACCAACTAACACTGTTGGTAATGAACTCAAAATTGAATAATAGAACAGATGTGCAACAGGCACAAAATCACATTTATGAACAAATTATTACCAGTTGTTTTGTGTAACAAAAGATTTGTCAATAAGCAATGAAAGCCATTATCTGCTTCATTCACATCTGTGTGTTTGAATTAACAAGTATTAATAGTAAATGATTTGAAAATTATGTCTTTGACTTCTGAAGGGCCAACTTAATAAGTAGGATGTTTTCACTGAGTAAATCGAACGCCCATATTAATGAGGTGACTTTTGAAATAATTCATTATACAAAATAAATTCTTGAAAAGTTGACAAAAAGTCTGAGAAATTAACAAGATTAGGTAACTGTGACAAAATTGAAAATTGAAAAATAAAAAAGAAGTACCAACAACTGAGGAATGTAAAGACCACTGTACACAGTAGTAAATGAAAGGCTTTTGTTTAATAGCATTACCCACTGTTCCAAGCTTTAGACATCTATAGAAGGTATTATGAAAATGCTGGTGGCCAGTAATTTCTCAAGCACTCAAGAACAATTAGTTTTTAAGCTTAAGTTGATAATTTTGGTGAAAGACCTATGTATTTTTCTTAGGAGGGGGGGGGGGGGGAGAAAGGGGAGTGGTTGGAAAGTTATATTAGATGTTATAATAATTAGTATTAATATTGTAATTACTATATTATCTTTTTCATGTTGGAAATCTGTAAACTAGCCCAGTGGCTAAGTGTTTCATCCATTGTAAATAAAGTTATCTACCTAAATATTTATCAAAATGATAATTGCTGATGGGTCATAAATAGAAAAAAAGTTAACAGCTAGTTTTTTTCAGTTATACTAAAATTTCATTTATAGTCTCCACATTTCAATTGTATAATATTCAGACCTAAGGTTGGGTACATCACGTGTTTCTTTATTTTCAAAAAGCCACATTATTAAATGCATTAAAAAAAAAATTTTTTCCTCATTCCTACGTGCAAAAGTTTCTTTCGCTGACTCATTAATTACTGAAGCATTGTAATCAGTTTGACGGTAAAATAAATTCAAAACCTACACCAACAGATAAGCAGCAAACGCTTTTCTGCACGAACTTAAGTGTCTAAACATTTGACAATTTAACAACAGATAACAGGAATAATACTTCAAATCAATGTGTGCAAATGTACAAAAGAAACTCATACAAAGAACCTCAGAAATAAAAGTTTAATAAAAAAAAACTTTCTGGTAATTTTAGGTCGTTTTAAGAGGTAACTTTACAAAGAACAAACTAATGTTTCTTATGATCATTCATTTGACAATACATGCACACATCATTTCTTGAAACTACTCTTGATCGTTAACAGCTTTCACTATGTGCATGAAATTTGTATTCAACACAAACAAAGAAATTCTTAACATTATTACCAAATGCAAATTTACTCATCAACAATAGAAAACTCTGTAGGTCAATCTTAACTTGAAACACAGCTACAGATTGTGTTCATTGTGGCGAATTCGCTCTGGTGTCCTCCAGATTGTGTTTACGAATGACTGATTTCATGTTACAGGTTTGCTGTGAAGTAATGTTTAAATTTCATTGAGAGATTTTAAGTACTGAGCACTCAAAAGAATAAAAGAGCCAGCTATACACTACGTTTGTACATCAACGCGTTTGTGCGTTATAGAACGAAATTTCATTTTCTCTTACGGAATGTAAAGGCTTCCATTCAGCGTTACATCATAATTGAGATCTCTTTCCGTCAGTAAAATTTAACAGAGCTTCTGCTTCAACATGATCAGTTCAGGAAAGAAAAAATTAATCTGTTTACCCCAAAGAATACCGCTAACACAATACAAAGAGGTAATTGCATCTATTGAAGTGACCAGAAGCTTACGTATAATATAACAAAAAACTACATTCAATTCACATCCTATACCCGCAGTGTGAAAAGATCTGTTCGGCTACATTTGCTTACAATGCAATATTTACCACGAAATGCTCATTGAATACAACATTCTGCATTAAAAATTAAAAACAATTGACCCTCAAATGAAAAGGAAATTAATCTTTTACCGCATGAGTACCCTAGCAGGCTAATCACACTATTTTCAAATTACGCTCCGACACTACACAAGCGACAGACGATGATCGTAGTCACAAGAACCGAAGGTCGCCATGTTTTAAAAGTGGTAACTGTCATCTTCAACATCTTATCAAGTTTTGGCAACAACATTGACGCAATCGAATTTTTTTTCCTTTCAGAACTAGCGATCGGATAAAAATTCTTTTCAGTAAAAAAAAAAAAAAAATGAATGCACGCTGAACGAAGATATCTCGCATGAACGCGGACGTGAAATCACAGTTACCAGTGTATGTTAATTCCAATAAATCACTACATAGCCATAAATAACTTGGTTAGTGGGTATTGTATCTTGAAATAACAACAAACAGGTCTCTAAAAATGAACGCGCCGGACACCAAGACACCATTGTGCAAACATATTTGAATCCAGACGTACGATTCTCACATATTCAAAGCCTCACGCGGCTAAAGAATACTACTGGATTTAGAACGGTACTTCACCTTGCCGAAATAGGATTACATCGAAACGACTTATCAATAAAAATAGCCAGTATTAAGCTAAATTCTATGTATTTCCGAATACCTGAGCCGAAACAAGTTTCGCGTGAGAAAACTCTCTATTATAGTAAAGTTTACAAAGTGAGGTATTCTATAACATGACATTAACTCAAACATAAACAAGGTTTACTGTTCAGTTTACGCACGGTTGCAAGTAACAAACTGAACTCTAATAAACATCTACTGAAAATGAAATTATTATTAAAGATAAAAGGAACCAACCAAAAGGGTGCAGACTAGATGTTCGACACCAGAAGAAAAGAATTGGCTGAGGAATTCTACACCCTGCTGAAAAAATTTGCAATGTTTAAGGATAGTGATTGTCGAATTGGATCAACAAAACCCATAACCGCTGTTTAAAACAGAAACATAGAGATAACTCACCTCAACGCTGCCTCTAATAGAAGCCATATGTTAGTGAACAAAGGCTAAATTTAACCCATGATGAAGAGCCAGCACAGACAGGGTACAGTCAGCAATGCAACTAGTAAACTTGTGCTGGATACAGAAGAAAGTCGCAATTCTTGAGCACGTCGAAATAAATTACTCCAGTTGACAATTCGTAATTAATCGTTTGTATTCCAAATAACGAATAACTCGTTGCACTTCTGGGGTAAGAAACTCTCAAAATAACCGATGCTAAACTCTTAACCAAATCACAGATCAACGAAGGAGTAAAAACTGCCTTGACCTTCCAAAAGGAACTTCAATATTAGACTGACATATGGGCCGCCGAACGCTACGTCCAATTCAACAAAGGCGAACACCGCACTTTACACACGTAAATTCCTATTATTATTATCTGGAAAATAGACGACTCGTGAATTGATATTCTAATGATCAATGGGCGTCGACACAGAATCATCCAGCAAACACATCCGGCGCAACTATCGGAGTCGAACGTAGAAACCTTCGGGCTTCCCGTGAGCGAAGTAAGAAGTAAGCTACTTCAAAACAACATTCCATGAAACGGATGCTCCATAATGCGACATAAACTTCCTCGCATGCAAACCAAAAACACAGCCAGTAGCTGTGATACAGCCCTCTAAAGCCCTCAGCACTTCAAAAACGGCAAACCGAGCACCAGTTTACAGAGTAAAACTTCCAATTTCTCGACTAATCTCTCGCGGCCTCTCTCTTGGCCAGCGCCGAGGAAAAATTATCACGTGACTACAAATTCCGATCCTTCCTTCAGATTGACTTGGAAATGAGGCTATAGTAATAAAAGATGGCGCGGATGTCAGATTTCATCAAATTTCGGTTATTCCTTTCATTCTTTTAATCCACTTAAAACGTGTTTCGGCCGGATCGGACCGTGCCTTACGTATGCATATTCCAGACAGAGTGAAAAGGGCGTAACATAGTGATATCTGTTCGTGACTTTTTGACGCACTGTCATGAGTGACTCATGACAAATAGTTTAACGGAGTAGGACGCTGGTATGTCATTCATTTCGCAACCAAATTCACCGGAAGCGAGATCAGATAAGATAAGCAATTAATTTCGGGATTGGTAAACCTCAATTGCTACCTAAATAGCCGAAATGTATTCAAAATTAGCCAATTAGTTAGCTAATGCTTTTATTAATTTTTTACGTTGCTGTTTTTTTTTTGTTTTTTTTTTAATTCTAAATAGCAAAGAGTTTAGTTCGTGATTTAGCGTACGGAAAGCCAAACGAAAGCATAAAAAATCGAGCATGAATCAGATCTAAATTTTTTAAATGACTTCCTGCTTAGGATCGCTCAAGAGACCCCCATTTAGTTAGGATTTACATACGTCATGGGCAAGGGGTGTAACTTTTCGCCACAAACGCCCTATCAAAAGTCGTTCTGTTTTCACGTCTCGAACGCCATCAGTAAACGAAACCAAACAGACGATAAAGTCTAGGCCCAAATATAGGCCGTTTGATCGATTTGCGCAGTGCGATTTTTTTTTCTCCTCTTCCCAGCAGTGGATCATCTACGGCCAAACAGAGCCGATGTGATCTTCTTTTCAGTCAATTGTGATTTACCTCAGATCCACCCGTTTCTCTGGATTGTCGCCGTCCCAGTCTTTACTTACCACGATTTTTCAAGAAAATTGAATAAATCTTGATTAAGTGTGCGTTAGTTTGAGGTTCACATTTTCTTTTTCCTTCAGTTCACGCCATTCCATTTTTTTTTCATTTCAAAACTGAAATCACCCATCTCAGATTTAACACCTTACCATCTAACAAACGCTCCATGAATAATTCCACTAATATCAACTTCCGGTTTCGCCGAACGGAAATACATTCCACTCTGACTTGAAAACAAGTATTGATTTCTTACAAAGGGGCAATAAAGGATATTTCTCTCTACTTGATCACGATATTTCCTTTCTCAAATACGGGCTCCCGATCCCAATAAAACTACGATAAAATTACAATAGAAAATAATCACCTATTTATTTTCTCTCTGAAATAGTCACCACCTGGGTTGGGTGTTCGCAGAAAATCTGTCAGTCCTTTTATCATAAAATTTATTTGAATTTGAAGGTTAATATTCTAAAAAATTGACTGACTCGCATGAAAGAAATTAAAAAAGATAAAAATTAAGAAAATAAAAATCGAATAGAATGAAGAGCTCTTTGGTTGAGTGTTCACAATTCTTCGAATCAATTTTGATGCGTGAGTGGTCCAAAGCAGTTTAAGAGGCGTAGTGTGCAAGACGAACTCGCTAAGGAGAACATCGCCAGCTGGAAAGGTAAAGAAAACAAAAATGTTTTTAATCTCTTGTACCAAACAGATAAATAGTTGGCGCATTTGCGGTCATGCGACGCGTTTAAACCAATCTCTTTTGAGCAGAACATTCGATGGATCACTCCGAAGACCAATATCTTAGGAAATTTTTCTTAACCACACCACAACACTATTTCACTTGGGGTGATTTGTTCATGCAGACCATCTGGAAGTTCCTGTTTATAAAGGTGCCTGCCGGTGACACTAACCAAGCTGTCAATTTGACACTTTAAAAACTAATCAACACCTGATTAGTGAATCGATTTGAACTACGAACATCCAATCTCTTTTTTTAGAAGTGATATCCCTTCAATTTTCTTCTCTTTTCAATGCTTATTTCTTCGTAAATTTTTGTGCTCTTGTCGGTAAGATTTTTTAAAAAATTGTCGTTATCATTATCAACAGAACATAACCTACAAAACTAGTCTTCTTTAAAGCTTGCCAAAAGCATCACGTACATTATTCTCAGTAATCTTAGTGTTACATAGTCAAGATTTGATTAAACTGAAATAAGAAGATCAATATACAAATTGTAAGAACAACATCACCAGAATTTAGGTTAAAATAGATAAGTTTTACGAAGAATTCAACGCTTAGAGAGTGATAAATTACAACAGGATGAACAAAAAAGTTCGAGAAGGGGGCCGATGAATTAAAATCCCGGAAGATGAAAGAAAAAGTTGTTTACAGAAACAGCCACCTCGAGTGAGTGTGTTGTATAAAAGCTCTAAATAAAGAAAGTGTTAACTGTACTAAATTAAAAATGAAGAAAGTTTTTTCCCCAATAGTGAATTGGTCAGAAAATAAAGTTGAGAAAGGGAGCTAAGAATGACAGAAAATATAAGATGGCAATTTCAAGGAGGGCCTGGTGCAAAAATTAGCTTAAGCAAAAGCAACTGCACGCTGGTGCTGTCATCCACAGAAATCAAAAAACACGTAGTTTACTCAAAAGAAGCTAATTGAACAGCTGTACCAACCCGCCTTCACGATAAGAGAAGGTATGAGTCGATCAAAACAGACAACAGCTGACAGTAAGCTAGGCTCAGATTCTACTTAAAAATGCTATGTTTATTCACTTGATATTTCTATTTACCATGGAACCATCCATTGTCATAACCAATGTACAACCACCGTCTCCACAAGCACCAAGACTCGTCGTGTGACAGTGGATAGGGAGTGTGTCTGATCCAAGGTACAAAGAGCAAACTCAGTTGCTGATTGGCCCGCTATTAGGATCAAAACACGATGAAATGAATTATATCATATCTCGAATTGCGGATGTTATTCAAATAAAGAAATGACTTTTACAAGGTAGATGAAAAAAAATTGCCAAAATGTTTACATAGAGAAATGTCTAACATAATTCGGGTTTCAAAAGGACTCGAACCCATGCCCCCAATGAGCACACCATGGCCTCTAGCTGAGCCATATACTGAAAAAGAAGGCCTAAGTTTTAGTACAGGTTTTTGAAATTGTTTTCATTAAAATGAGTTAATGAGGTTTGTTAATTAAACTGAAAAGGGCTCTAATTAGTCTTAACTACACGGTACTCTTCTCTATTCCTACTTTGTTTTTATTATGTTTTTTTTCTCCATGCGTATTTTTTCTAAAGAACCTTTATACTTGTAATTCCTAGAAACCTATCATAATCAGTCCAGAAGAGTTATCAAATTTGATAACCTAGCCCAGTCATAGACTCCTACCTATCGCTGCTCAGATTCAAGTTCACGTGACATATTACTGAGGCAACAATACCATAATCAACATGTGGTCCGAAGACCGAACCACACTGACTTCATTGAGCTGACAGACTGTTTAAGCTAACTTGTGATTGTAGCTTAAATTGTCGAAATAGAAAGGTAAATACTTAATAACCATCCCGGACTGATAATAAGGATGGAGAAAAATGATAATAATAATAATAATAATAATAATGATGATGATGATGATGATGATGATGATGATGATGATAGCAATAATAGTGATAATAATAATAATAATTATGATAACAATAAAAACTGCAAAAACTTGCTTCAAAGCTAGAAGTTGCTCTGAAGTTGCCAAGCGTAATTAGGACAGGCCTAGTTAAAAAACCTGATGAGATTTGATTTAGTTTTTTCTTTAAATAGCTTCCATGAAATTTAACTACGATAAATATGGTAAACTGGATCGGAATGAAGTCAACAATTTCAAATTTTGCAGCCATGAGCAAGATAATCATAAAAAAAAATAGTCTAACAACTTAACCGTATTTTCATCTATAGCGGTAAAGTCTTTTTAATGCTGCCTATTTGTGCGTTTTAAAATTATTGGAATGTGGATAGAAAACATTTTCTGAGTTTCTAAGAGTGAAACTGCCTCTTTCCACATCGAGAGAATATAATCTATTTATAACCTCTTGTCCTCCTAGTCAGGCGCAGTGTGGGAGGGTTTCAGTCCAGCGGACTGAACTCCACTTGAGAAAAGAACGAGAGGAAGACCAGGAGACTTGGCAACGAACAGTTGAATAAGACATGCGGGTAAGCGAAGCCAGCCAAGGAAAGCTGAGAAAGAAAGCGAGGACAGGCAGCAGAGGCGGTCTCTGGTAATGGCCTGAGATGTATAAAGGCACAACGAGAATTGACTGACCATGCAGGCGGACTTGAGCTGAAGGACAAGAAGACAGTGAGAGGAAAACCCGAGACGACGAGATGACACGACGACACGACGAGATGGGAACACAGCACGACGCAATAATGTAGCAACATGACGAGATGAGTGTTTGGCATGACGAGATGACAAGACGACACGACGAAATGAACATTTTTTTCCGAGATTTGACGCCATAGTTACCGTTGAGGATTTAGCAATTGTCGACTGAGAAATATGGGCCGACAGTATAGTAGATAAATGTACTAATCCTTACAAACCAACCAAGTATGCAAGGAATGGTCGAACGAGGGATGTTTTCGAAATATGAAAAAACGAAAAATTTGCATCTATTACAATCAGGAACCTTTCAGGTTTCTCTAGGAAATTGTTTTTCCTAATCATAGAATATTGTGAACATGAAAACTGCCGGAATCGTACCTCCCAAGTTAACAAGTATGAGCTGCTACATACCTATGAAACAAAGCATACCTTTCTCGCATTCTTTTCCAGCGAACCTGGAGGGCACACACATTTGCATCTGCACCTCTCGTTTTCTGGAAAGCTAGTCTCACCGTTCTTACAGGGATTTGGAGACTTGAAAACCTTTAAAAAGAAGGCAGTTCAGTACCTCTGCTTGCTTAAAATTCGATGTTATCTGATTCCCTTTTATATTCCTTAAAAAAGGAACTGAATATATGTTTTCTTCGTTTTCTCTGTTTTCACTCTTCTAACTAAATCGGTAATACTACAG